ATTGAAATTAAAATTGTCCGTATTTAATGAAGATATTTTATTTAAAAAACCAAACACGAAAGGATGCTTGTACTACCGTTACATGAAATAGTACAGTTTGAAAATGATAAGTCATAAAATATAGACAAAGTTAGACAGGAGTTTAGTACAACTGCTTGCAAAAAGTACTTTTTCAGCAGTTCTACTGAGCAGTCGTTGCCGGCGCCGAGGTTTGAGCTGGAGGGGCTTTGCCTCTAAACAACAGGAAGTTAAAGAAAGCATCAACTGCAAATAAAATGGTTGCAATGAAACAGCAAACCTAGAAAACAGAGTTAAGTGATGTAAAGTTGACAAAGCAAAAACTTTCATGAGTGGACGTATACTTCATATAAGGTTCACAGAACGTGACTAAGAAAACATTTCAACATGTTACTGACTAACCGTAGCACCAATAAGATGACCACATGTTGCACCATGGTTTCTTCTGTCCAGGATATCACAAGATGAAATAGGAAAAAACGCAAAATTCTTATTATACTTGCGAACAGTATCAGCTATGAGACAACCAGCTATGAACAGCATTACAGACCATATCAAACAGTTGATAAATACCTAAAATTAGACATTAACGAGTATTTTGTATTATGGAAACCATAATTTAAAAAATAGGAGATGTTTGCTGTCTTTGCCCAGATACCGCCAGCTATCTTAAGGCTGATTTCCATTCAGTGCAAATTGTCGCGCAATTGCTTTCTTTTGAATTGTGGCCAGCAGTGTGAAACTGTTCCGGTCAAGAGCTTACAATTGAAAACAAGGTGATCGGAAAAAAATGATCGCGCGCGACAATTCGCACTGAATGGAATTCAGCCATTTAGTGCAGTATTAACAAAAGCGAAATTACTTACCGTCAAAGGCCAGTTAATAATGCTAATTTTTTCATGTAGTCCACTAACAAAGAGAACGGCAATTATAACGACAACAATCCATGACACGACAACGGCAAACATTCCAAAATCTAATCGACTTTTTTCTGAAGTAGGGTCTATTTTGTCCAAAAATCTTCCCAGGGTACCAATCGCAACCAACAGTATAACCTAAAGATAAATGTGGCGCTGTAAAATGTATGCATCTAATGTATAACATACAAAATATAATATGTGCATACTCTCTGGAAGATTGTATAGTTGAAAAATGTTCTTCATCGAAGAGTCCTTCTCTATTGAAACAAAATATTTAACTTACAAATTCTGCTATCTTCAAGAAAAAAGGAACCGTTTTGATGTATTCAAAGCCTTTCGGTATCGTTCCCATGTTTGGCTATAATGCTGGTATGAAAATTGAAAATAAATTAATTAACGTAAAAGTGTTAAAAAAAGTGACACGTCAATATTATTTACTTGTCAAATTAAATAATTTAGTTCAGCAATATTCATGCTTCTGTATTTCAATGTTATTTCACATTATATGCCAGCGAAGCACAAAGCAACATGGCGTATAATATTTTACGCTTTCGTTCATTTCAGATATAATTTCATCCACAAAAAGTAACACTTACCAAGAAAAATACAGCTACTTTAAAGATGAGCAAGTATCGAGTGGACTTGATAACTTAGAGTTGAAAGCTGTAATTTATCCTTCAAATTGACTCATGCTGCGGATGAACTGTTCAAAAGCGGATCTTATTGCATAATTTTAAGGAAGCTGATGCATTAGTGATATCATAAAAATCAAGAAAGAGGAACCAGCCCAGATTGTAAAATAGATTGGTTAAGACCGAGTGAATATTGTTCAAAAAATGGTAGTATAAAAACAAATTTACACATCACAATATTTTATTGAGTTAATATAACATTAACAATATTTCATTTTTATTTTTCTATTTTCTTCTCTACACTCCTTGTTCTTTGCATTATGAATAACAATTGCACCAGGTGGAGACAGCAGGATGTTTTAATTCTGTAATGCAAAGTTTTTCTACAAAACTTTTTATTTCCTCAAAATTTTACTTCCTCATCTTCCATTGAGTAGATACCAAAGTATTGGTATTTTAATAGTGAAATATTAGGATATTTTTTACTGATAATCAAATCGTTTTGACTAATTGACTTTAAATGTTTATTATACATTTTTTTCGACAATGAATGGTAACATGTTTGTAGACGTAGATCGTCCAGGTTAGTATAGTCATGAGAAGGACTGTTTTTGTTGTTGTTGACTGACGTTTCGACAACAACAAAAACAGTCCTTCTCAGGACTTTACCAACCTGGACGATCTACATCTACAAACATTTAACGATACTCCTGGGTTCAAACCATTTACTTTAACGAATGGTAAATTATTCATATAAAAATACAATCTTTATTTTAAAAGCGTCTTTGTTGAATATCTTTGAATTCAATCTGGCTATCTATATCCCCCATCTCTGACTTATTTGACAGGAAGAATAGCAATTTTCTGACAAAGACTTGTTTGTTTTTTAAATTTTGTTGGCAACGTTTCAAGTTTCGTTTTCGGTATGATTTTATGACAAGGTAGCTAATTTATAGCCTACAATCATATAGCAAAATATGAGCAAAAACTTTGAACGTTAAATGTTATCTTATTGCACGGGAAAATGCCACAAATGGAAGTAAAGATCACTAAAAACCAAAAAATATTCTCAAATCAAGTAGGTGTTAGGTTTTGTGATGCAGCCATCTACCTTTTTTAGTATATATTGGCTTACACCAACAAATAGAGATATCACAGATAACTATTACGATCACATTTAATGTTCAACGTCAATGTCTATGGTCAACGATCTATCGTACAATGGTTAAGTTTCTTCTATTTCTTAGTTTCTTTACTAAATATGGTTAATTTACAATCAACGGAAAACTATTAGGAACTATAAAAAATATTGTGATTATGCACATAAGTATCTCTTAAAACAATCATTTAGTTAGTTACACTTGACTTAATTATTTACTAACTATAGGAAGAATATGAGAGCATATCATAACAGTAGGTTTGGTGATGTTAATGATAATTTAACCTTTCACTTTATACCACAAACGGAAGTAAAACAATAATCATGCGCAGTTAGAATTATATAACTCATAAGTGTTTTAGAATTCTTGAATTGCAACCAACCTCCAGGAAATTATCAAGCCATGACGTAACACGTAAACCACCTTTTCTCTCAGCATAGTAGCCAGCTCAAAAATTATGGGGGGGGCAATAGTTCTGCCGCATTACCACACAATAAAAATTATACAGAAGGGCCACTCAAGTGTGTGCCGTGTCCTTATGGCCGCCATCATTCCAGCAAGATACTTAAGCTTTTCACTGTTTCCAACCACTGCAAATACATGACGTCATTTTTTGCCAATGAAATCGAAAATTTTTCAATAAAAGAAATGACGTCGTGTCATTTCTGTGGTTGGAATCAAGTGAAAAGCCCTAAATATCTTGCTGGAAAAAAAGCTGCCAATATGCGCGGCACAACATGCTTGAAGCCAAAAACATCAAAGGCTCCGACACGAGTGACCCTTCAGTATATTCCATATTTTGTGGTATTATGTCCTTTTAAAATTAATGGTTTTCTGCGGATAATAACATGCATAAATTAATATCGCCCCCCCTGAATTATCGACAAGCTACGGCTACGCCACAGTATTCTGCAGCTTACCTTCAATTCAGAAGCTCAAAATCTTTCTCAACGATCGTTTGGCAACCTGCGTGAGCAGAATACATATTTAGAAATCCGTAAAAAGTTGTTACTGAAAAATTTGATCAAGCTGTTGTATAACTACACCATCCCCTTAGGAGTGAAAGAACAAAAGAATTTTCACAATCTTGGATACATTTGCATTGTAAATAAAAAAATCCCTTGTTAAAAAACGTCCAGCATGGCATGGTGATTTGAACAACAAGAATTAAAAGATTCAGGCGAGCTTTCAACTATTGAATATTCTACACCTTTTACGGAATAATACGATGTTTGGACGCTATTCAAGGCATCTTTTGATGCTCGGAGATCGGAAAAATGACGGATATACTAATGATGAAAGTCAAAGGCTACTTTAGGAAGGTTCATTAATTCAAGTAAATCACCAGCAATATATGATACTTACTTTTATCAAACTACCAGAAGGTGTCGCATACATCCTTTTATATTTCATTTGATGTTGTGAATCTTTCGAAGCGGTTTTATTTGAAAGTTTTTATGACAAAATCCTAGTCGCTCAAAATCCAGCAAGATTTTTAAGCTCAATCAAGAGAGATAGTCCGGAAAGTTTTTGCGAGTCTTACCATTATGCGACTATCCTGATGAATGATTTTGTTGATGTGTTGTTTAAAACCAATTTTTTGCACGAAACGAAAGATACAATAAAAAAAAAATATTTATTGCATTGAAATGATGCGAAAAGTTTTTATTGCAGTGGTAGGCAAAATAATATTTTTTATCAAAATAATTTTGACTATCATTTTGCTTTAAAAATAGTTATCGAGTGACGATGTGTAATCTGTCAATATTTAAATAAGGAAGTTACAATTTTTGGACACGAAGCAAACGAAAGAAAAGCACGAATTTAAAAAAGAATGGCCGAACCACAACTTAAATGTCTGGAAGAATACATGGAAAGTTTCTGAGAACATGACAGAGTCAAGCAATAAAGGTGAGACATGGCAGTAGACAATGATTTGAAAGTAGAAACATTGGGCGCTTTCCTTTCGCCCAAAAACACCAGTTTGAATTTCCGGAATGCTCTTTGTGAAAATGGAACGAGCTAAACCGCGCGGCGCGCGCCATCTTGCGTGGCTTTTAATGTTTATTATAAAATAAAATACAATGAAACGCGTGCGCTGATTGGTGTAGAGCTGTGTTTGCATTTGCCTGTACAAACCATGGCGCAAACACAGTAAACATTTTTTATTTTTTAAATATTGAAGATCAAAAGACCTTTAATTTTAGAAAATCGACAATGATATAGAATCGTAGTGTTTACAACTGAAAATTTATCGATTCAAATCCAAATTATCAGAATGAGCACATTTTATGAAAAAAAACCAACAACAAAAGCACTAAAACATCTACTGTTACATGAAGGAGAAAGTTTTGAGTATGTTAAACGACACTGTATAGTCAGTGTGTATATATGATGACGTGAAGCAGTCTATATTTCTATAAAAAAATGGCAAAAGTAAAGTTTTAGTACAACCACAGGAGAAAGTAAATTATAATTAGCTTTATTTTCCTTGAGTTGAAGGTGCCGGAGCAGGAGACGCGTTGTCCTTGTACAACTTGTAGTTAAACTTAGCATCAATTGCAAATATTTTGGCTGCAATGAAACAGCAAGCCTAGAAAACATAGATGGTTATTGTAAAATTGAAAAACGCAAAAAAATTTTTATTTGAGGTAATTCATAATAAACTTAAGAACGAGACTAAATAACCACGTGACTGACTAACCGTAGCGACATAAAGATGGCTGCAGTTTGCATCAAAATTTTTCGCCCTTTTCAGCGTATCACAAAATGTGAACAAAAATAATGTCTTTTCAGTTTCATACTTGTAAACAGTGTAAGCCAAGAGACCACAGGCTACCAGCAGTACTGCAGCCCATAATATCATGTTGATGAGCACCTATGAATTAGACATGCATTTACAAAAATTTTGCATTTCAAAAAATAGTCAAAAGACCAATATTGGAGTAAGGTGATGCGAAAGATCAAAACAAATTTAGTCACAGTAAAAACCTTTTGAGAGAACAACTCAATGTAGGTCATGTTTCTAAAGCATTTCAGTAAATTAAGGTGTTATGTAGGCAATCGCGTTGGATGTGAAAATATAAACAGAATAAAACATTCATTACTCATAGTTACATAAAGTATTTACAATGACATTATATTAGCGTATTTTCTTTTAATGATCCAATCAGCAACGATGACGTAAATAACGCAGACCCCCATAGAGACAACCAAAGCAATGTAGACCAATTAAATTGGCTGGTTCTGCTTCACTATAGCTTGCTCATTGTGTCGTTGCAAATTTTTTTTCTTTTAATGCTGAATTTTTTGCTCAAGTGTTCTATTTTCTGCTTAATTTGCATTGTTGCACAAATTATTTCAAGTGCTTTTTTCTCCCTTCGTCGCTTGGCTGTTGTGTGTTGTTGCCTTCCCAAATTATAGAGCTAGCTAAGACTCTAATTACTTACCGTCAAAGGCCAGTTAATGGCAGTAATTTTCTCATGCAATCCACTAACAAAAACAACGATCATTACGATGACAGCAACCCAGGAGACGACAAGGGCAGACATTCCAAACTCTAAGCGAGCTTTTCCTCCATAAGATTCGAGAATGTTACCTTTATCTACTTTGTCCAAAAATCGCCCCAGTGTGCCGATGCCAACCAACAGCACAATCTATAGATAAATGAAAAGTCGTATCAGGCTAATACATACGCATATAATAATGGTGCATAAAAATATGGTATACGTGGCATGGTCATTGAAGGGTGGGGTCGTAACATTGAATAAAATAATTCACTTACAAATGCTGATATCTTCAAGAAAAAAGGAACCGTTTTGATGTATGTAGAGCCTTTTGGTATCGTCCCCATGTTCGGCTATGATGCTATTATGAAAGGAAGAGAAATTAGTGTCGCAATTAGTACAAAGATTGACACGTCAAAATCATCAATCGAATTCCGAATCCAATTTGGCATCGTTGTATTTTTTCTTGAGAACTTCAAATGTCATTTTTTCGTTATTGAAGCTGCAACGTATAACTGAAGGTAGCTAAAAATGCATAAATGTCCTCATTCCAGGATTTATTACTAAGGCGAGAAAGAAACGACTTTTGATTACGAGAATTGAAAAACTATAGAAACATCAAAATGACCAACGATGCACTCAACTAGCACTGTTGAACTTCTATCTAGCGATGTAGCCAACACTTACTTACCTGAATAAGTTTCTCTACTTATTTTCGAATGTAAAGCAAAAATCCAGTGGACCTGATGCAACCTGTTGTTTAATGGCCTCGCGTGACAGCTAGACTGTTTGATTGCGTGTTTGTTGTATAGTTTTGAAGGTGAGACTTGTGAATTATTGATGAACCGTTTTTTAAAGGAATCCAGCTGCGTTACGATAGTAAAAAGAAAAATCACAAAATCTTAAAGGCAAAATTACGCAGTTAACTTTTTTGATGCGTTTGGCGTTGTAGAACTGTAGCAACATTCGAGTTTTTCATTTAATTCTGTCGCCCGATTTTTTCATTCAATTTTCCAAAAATGACATTCACACGGGCCGGTTTAAAGTGAATTTTTACTTTTGTTATGCAAATTGTTCGACAAAAGTATTATTTAGTTTTTAAAAGCTGATTTCCTGTCGTAAACGAATACAAAAATATTCGTTGCTTGTGAAATAAGGATTCGATAATAAAGAAGTGGAATTGATGATGGATGGAAAAACGTTGAAACCGAAATGAGAAAAGATAAAAGCCGACCAAACCGTCTCCAATTCAACAAGAAATCGCTTGACTTCAAAAAAGCTCAAATGGATGAAATGAAAGAGGTTGAACCTTTGTAAACAAATGGGAAGATCTTATAGAACAGCGTGTTATGGGTATAAACGTTTAAGTTAAATTAGGTCATTATACCAACAGCTGGATCAACGTATTTGAAATCATTTCGAATCTCTTAGAAATTACAGACGAAAAACTGGATAAGTAGATGGATCGGTCAATGTTGCTGGATCGAAAATATCGCGGGTAAAAAGTTGCGGGTAAAGTCACGTGTACAAAAAACTCTTGGAAAAGATTGAAAGAAGTTGACGTTGAATTCTCAAGAACATGCTCTTTGAGTTAACCTTCTCTGCTATCAATAATAAATAAGACCCGGTGCTTTGGATATTTATGATTTATGTTTGTTATACCTATCCAATTATACATGTGTTGGATTTAAAGTACTTTATGTTTAAATCGTGAATGGTCCTATACTTACCAACCGTCAACAATTGAAGGAATTACTCCTATACAACTAGATATGTTGTTAACTTGACACTTAGAAGATATTGAATAGCGTTGCCAAATGTAAAAATTTGCTTGCATTGGAAATTAAATCACTTATAGTTTTATAGGAAAGAACAACTTTCCAATTGTCGGAAAGTGTAAGTTATACTTATGACGTACGAATGCTTTTAAATTTACGTCAAGCGATTCAACCTTAATGCTAGTGTTTTTTTTTTATCGTTAAATTAAAGGATTTACAGAAGACTGTCATTTTTTTTGCCATCGACTAAATTTAATAGAATAGTGTTGTTCAAGGTGGAACTCAGCATTTTCTACTCTATGAGAGCATAAAGTAGAAAATGCGGAGTCCGTGTTATAGAAGTATCTATTCTTTCGTTTGAAGAGACTGCGCATTTTTCACCATGCCATTGAAAATACAATTAGCTTTTCATACCAAGCTTCACTAACCACAATTCAAGATTTACTTGGATACAACTATTTTAATGGTAATGAAGCACTTAGTTGCTAGAGAAAAGCAAATTTATAATCGTGGGAAAGTGCTAGTTCTACATATAATTAAGCCATATCTTATAATCTTTGAACTGGGTGTTTACAATTTCAATTGAATAAGAGCTTTAACGGCAATCCCTTCCAAACAAATAGCACTTCCTTTTTCATTAACAGCTCATTTCTTTGATTTGCGACAACCGTGGAATTATGTCAAAGGTACACTTTATAATTTGATCGATTGAACGCCTTTAATTTGACTGTTTCCGCTAATCCAACATCGCAGCTTCTAATAATAGGATTCACAAACTACTTAAATTACGAGAACTTACGCTTTCCCACCTCTGGAAAGTTGCTGCTCCCCGGTATAACTATAAGTATGTCATTCTCCGATGCGTTGGAATATTTGCAATTGTCAATGCTTTTCTCTTCCGAGAGTCAAACACAAATCATAAACATAGCAAAGCGCTAATGACACATTTCAAGGTTGACAGAACGTTGACTTCCAGAGCACATTCAAGTGCGCTTACATAGAAATAAAGACTTCACGAAGATTCAGCATCAACTTCTTTCAAACTTCTATATTTCCTATGAAAATAGATTTTTTAAGCCCGCGACATCATACCCACGACCCGCGACAGTTAGACATACTCCAGGAAATTCACTGTATACTTCACTGGCTTTGTTTCAACAGCGAATGTTATCTTAATTCTCGCCGCTGAAGAGACCACAGATATCTATAAATGCTTCTTTACAGAAAATGTACAAACCGAAAAAACAATCAGGAGATTATTTCTTATATCCTGCTTCAGGTTTTAAATATTTTAGCGAAGTGAAAATTTTTAAAGCAAAGTACTTACAATTAAGGTTAATTAAGGAGAATTACAAACGAATTGGCAACTTAAAAGAGGAACGTTTCCCTGCATTAGATAATGTCTTTCAGTCGGCTCATCTTTCATTCGATAGTTAACACAATTGAACAGGAGAAGACTACAGCAGATGTCCCGCTTTGCAAAATTTCAATAGTTAGCTAATGGAAATATATATACATGTATACAAGCTAAACCATGAAACTTTTTCAAAGTGCTGATTATTGGCAACATATTGCGGGATGTTAAAGTAGAGAAGTTTATTTTAATAACGTCTTTCGTCGGGCAGTCGCTGTCCATTATTATCTCTGACTTGTCTTACATAAAGTAATGACGTGTTGTAATTTTATGAAAAACACCGGTCTGTTATTTTCATATTTTGTCAACGTTTCATTTTCGGTATGATTTTATTACCAGACTTCGCACAAGGTAATATTTCCTGTCTATATTCCATCGGCAGGTATTTCTCGATCAATCCATTGAACGACTCTCTTGATGTCACTAGATTTTGTCTAAGAAGAAAATAAATCCTTTGAAAGTTGCTAAATTTTGTCTAAAAAGAAAATAAATCCTTTGAAAGTTGCTAAATTTTGTCTAAGAAGAAAATAAATCCTTTGAAAGTTGCTAAATTTTGTCTAAGAAGAAAATAAATCCTTTGAAAGTTGCTAAATTTTGTCTAAGAAGAAAATAAATCCTTTGAAAGTTGCTGAATTTTGTCTACGAAGAAAATAAATCCTTTGAAATTTGCTAAATTTTGTCTAAGAAGAAAATAAATCCTTTGAAAGTTAAATGTTATCTGTAAAAGTTTATCTTTAAAAGTTAAAAGTAAATGCTACACGGGAAAATGATACCGATGGACAAAAAGAGCACTGTAGGGCACAAAATATCCTCTGATCAAGCGATCACTGTTGATGTACATTTAATAAAAATGTGATTTTTCAATTTATTTCACAATACATTATTCTGTGTTAACTCGGAATTATCAGGAAGCTTACCTTCGCATCAGAAGCTCAACATCACTCTCATCGATCGTCTTTCGACCAGCGTGAGCAGAATATGTCTTCAAATCGGTCGAAAGTTGTTTGAAAAATGCATCAGATCTGAAAATCAAATTGATAAGAAATTTCATTGAACGATTCAAACTGCTTTCCAACACCGAATATATTCCACAGAACCTTTGTTTGTAGCTACTTACGCATTCTGGACGCTATCCAAGGCATCTTTTGATACTCGGAGAGCGGAAAAATGGCGAAAGATCCCGCTGGTCAAAGTCGAAGGCAGTTTTGGAACGGTAGAAGTTTGTCTGGGAAATAAATAAAAGAGAAATTTAGTTCGAGAAAGAAATGATGAGTGTTTTAAACCAAGTTTTATTTAAGAAATAAAAGATGTTTACTGTGTTTGCACGGGCTTATGCAAACTGAGGAGACCTTTGGGAGAACTTGAGAGTAAATTAGTGTAAACTCGAGACCGAAGATCGAGTGTTGCACATGCTCGAGAGTCAGTGCAAACACGAAAAACATCTTTTATTTCTTTTATAAAAAAAACAATAATGCAAAACAGACGAACATTTTAATTCTTCCTCTAAAATGTATTCATGATCGATTTGCAAATTCTTATTGACTGATTGACTGTTTTGATTAATTTGATTGGTTGAGCTCAGATGTGCTTTGGACAGGCTAATGCAAACACAGTTCTACACCAATCAGCGCACGCGTTTCATTGTGTTTATTTTATAAAACGAAATGTGAAATCCTTGTGTTCATAACAAATAACCTTTTCTTCCTGCTCTCTTTTCCCGTCGATTTCGCTTTGGTTAGTTTACGGCTGAAAAAAACCCAAACAAAATTAGTCTCGAAACAAATTATTTTCAAACCAATCAATAACCGTTTTCAGAGCATCATAATACCATTACAATATAAATTCCAATTTATGATAGGCGCGCGCTCATGTAAAAAGAGGAGTCCTGGGCCGAGGATAGCGTAATCAGTTGCATTTGCAAGGCATTTTATTGTATTTAAAATCTCATAAAAGGCCAAAATTAAACGCTACGATTTTTTGAAGATAAGAATGTTCTATGATTGCAAGATAAATGTGACAACCTTTTTAGCTAGAACAATTTAAAAAGTCTCTATATAATAAATATCTATGTCTGCAACCCATCTCCACAAGACTTAAGCCTAGTTTAGACGTCGAACATGAACTTTACATGAACAAAATGCATTTCAAACAAAAGATAACGACGGAGTTCATTGCATTTTTGTTGGTCTTAAATGCATTTAGTTCATGTAAAGTTCTTGTAAGGTTTGCCGTCTAAACTAGACCTTAGTTCTCAGCGCGACAATAGTTTTGTTAGTAATAAAATGTGCCTTCATTACGTAATCTACCAATAACTTAAAATCGCTTTTTTAGTAGAAATAAATTGCAATGAGTGAATGGTTTGAGCCCGGGAGATTCGTTACATGTTTGTAGATGTTGATCGTCCAGGTTGGTATAGTCCTGAGAAGGACTGTTTTTGTTGATGTTGACTGGGGTATTCATATTTAAAAAGGGATATTCATATTTAAAAATATTTAAAGTGAACCTTGGTTCAGTTTTCTCGCGTTGAGAGGGGATCACGTGAGGTTTTCTAAGTACAACTGGTGTTGCTTTTTCAATGGATACATTACACAGAATGGGAGTCTCGAGTTTACTGAAATCCAATAATTTAGAATTTCCACTCCTGTTCACATTATAAGATCCTCTACGCTGTGAAAGATCCACGTGACTTGATTCTTCCCGTTGGTGATCTTTGAAAGGAATTTTCTCATTTTGCGAGGAACATGAATCAGAGGGTAATTGAGAATCAATGGGTACATCTTCCAAATTCCCATTCACGTATTCCAAATTATTCGTTATTTCATTTTGTGTTTCAATGTACTTCTCTCCGTGTTCGCCATCAGTTTCATCTTCTGTTTCAGTGTTTCTGTCTCCATGTTCGCCATCAGTTTCATCTTCTGTTTCAGTGTTTCTGTCTCCATGTGTATCACCAATTTCATCTTCTGTTTCAGTGTTTCTGTCTCCATGTTCATCACCAATCTCATCTTCAGGTTGAACATTTTCAACTTTAACATTTCCCCCTGGAGAAGTCTTGTTTTCAATTTTAGTATTAAGGATATGAGATGAACGATCATTAGTCTCGAGAGATTTTTTATCTTCACCACTTTGAACCATAGATTGTTGCATGCTTTCCTTTGTTTCTTTGAAGTCCAGAGTTTCTTCTCCAAATCCCCTTTCTGGTTCATTCTGTTCACTTCCAGAAACTTTCTCAGCTTAAAAGATAGTAAGATACTATTGAGAAAACATTTTCCTGTTTGAATTCAAGCAAATCCTTGAGAAGAGTGAGCACTAACCAACACTGAGGTACCGTCTCATGGCTTCCCTTGGTGTTAAACATTCACCATGTGTTAATCCAATGCTGTTTCTAGGTGATCTACGTCTTGTTACTTTCTCAATTACCTTTTCAACCTAAATTATCAGTTTTAAAAGTTTGGCATCATAACAAACCTAGGCTGGATTGAAATCCAGGCTGGAAAGATTGCAGGATGGCTATAGGACTAACATTAAATTTTGAACATACAGATAATCAAATGTTCAAAGTGTGCCAAGGTGAATTCCTTTCCGCCGAAAGAGTTTGAATTAACAATGTGCAATTTGTTGATAATTTTTTCTGAAACTTCGAAAATTGTGCAACCTATTACTGTATACAAGACTTTAATGCAAAACAATACTTTCTTGTGAAAAAAGTATTTGCTGTCAATTTGACATTAAAGGATGAGTAAGCAAGAAATGTAGCCATTTGATTTAAATACATGCCACCCAAACCTGCCTCAGTTCATGGTGCATATGGTTTGAGCACAGGAGTATTGCTATATGTTTGTAGATGTTGATTTGCCAGGCAACAACTGAGAAGGACTGTAGATGTTTTTAATGACTTTTGACATCCTTGACTGTGAAGATGAGTATCATCCAGTATAAGGATGTTGAAACCTCAGTCCTTCTCAACCGTGCAAGCAAATTTTATACAAAAACTTCTCATTGTTGAATTTGTAGTTCAGTTAAATAGTCATTGAGGCTATTTGCGAATTTCAAATCAGTGACAGCCAATGAAGTGTTAGTAAATCTTCTCCAAAACTGTGCCCAGTTATAATGGTATTCTGTAAATGGAAGATTTACTAATGATCAATAGAAAATACCTGCTTATTACTAATCATTAATTTTCTTGATTTTGGTGGAGAAGATTGATCTAGCTGCTCTTTTTCAGGTGTTCTTGAGTCAGCTGTAAAATCACAACAGCAAAACAACCTTAGCATAACTTCTGTCTGTGCCAGACTAATATTCATGTATCTCTGGGTATTACAACTGTCTGCATATATAAATGCTGAATCTTTTCAACACACACAAACCTGCTTTTAAAAATGCGCGTATTGTTGAGCGAGGTGTCATGGTTTCGCTTGGTGTTAACGACACATCAATCCTTAGTCTTTTTGTGATGGTACTCCTTAACAGGCTTGTTGATGATCTCTTTACGGAACTTGACACTTTGCCTGAAGAAATAGGCTGACTGGATCTCTGATGAAAAGAAATCTTTCAATATTTTACAGTCGATATGACATTTTTTTGAAGATAGATACATACGTACGTTTTGATTTGAGGACTTTGGTTCAAGACTCGAAGATTGCAAACCTCTTTGTCTGGGACTGTTTTGATTTTGTCGAGGGCTTTGGTTTCGACTTAGCCTTGGGCTCCTTCGCGCGCTCTCCGCCATTTGAACAAATAAAATCAAAAGAGGTTGAGGAAAAGAAGAAATTCTCCTTCGATTCTGTTTGTCTTTTGTTGTTTACATATGAAATTCAAAAGATCATGTTTTGTATTATGTAAAATATTTCAATTTTTCGCGCGCGAGAAATGGAAAAATCATTGGGAAAAATTGATCGAAGTTGGACGTGCTTCCACTTTGATGAAAGTTTGCAACTTGCAAAAATCTTGGTTGCAACTGGCAGTAACTTACAACCTGTGCAACGTTATTTTACCACAAGCAGTGTACTGCCTAACACGAAACACTAGATTTTGCTGCTCAACATATTAAATTTACTTCTTATCTCCATTGCATGTCCACAATCATCTCGTATCTTTTGTAAAGCGTCACGTCCTCCGTGTGATGGATGGAAATTAGTATCAAGTTGAAACAAAAACCGTGAACACAAGGTTCAAGTTTTGGAAAGTTTTTGATGAGTAAAAAATTGCTTAAAATACGTTTAAGACTTTCAATTTATTCAAAGACATGTCTGGTGGTTCGTATGATCGTGCTATAACTGTTTTTTCACCCGATGGCCATCTTTTTCAAGTTGAATATGCACAAGAGGCGGTGAAGAAAGGATCCACAGCGGTAAGTTTAAAGTTTTCAACCATTCTGGTGCATTTTCACAAATAAAGACTTTTAAAAGTTCTTTTCGAGAATCCTTACTTAACGGTGTTGGCAAATCAACTCGAAATTCCCAACAATCAATTCAGTCTGTGTCAAATTCTGTATGTCTTTTTCATGTTCCCCTCCCCCCCGGAAGGTTGGTGTGAGAGGCAAGGATTTGGTTGTACTAGCAGTCGAGAGAAAGGCAGTGCCAAAACTTCAAGACCCTAGAACAGTAAGAAAAATATGTCTCCTTGACAACCATGTATGCCTGGCGTTTGCTGGTAAGGATTGTGATTATTCTTCAATTTGTTTCCTCACCTGACTACTGTATGTGCTTGATAATTCATCATTTTTCACTTGAAGGGTTAACTGCAGATGCTAGGATATTAATAAATCGAGCGAGGATTGAATGTCAAAGTCATAAACTTACTGTTGAGGATCCTGTTACATTAGAATATATAACTCGTTATATAGCAACATTAAAACAGGTAAAATATTTGTGATTGGTTATCGACTTACATCAGCTAAAAGTAGACATATTTACATATTAAATTAAACGTTTTTCTATATTGTTGCCAATGAGGTGCCAGGCGGGAAACAGATTCTGAATATAAATATTAGAGCCCAACAAATAATTTTAAACATAGTCATAAACAATTTGGTTTTATGAAATTTATTAAGATGAAACGTCACTCTTTTAATAAATTTCATAAAACCAAATTGTTTATGACTATGTTTAAAATTATTTGTTGGGCTCTAATATTTATATTAAACATTTTTCTATTAATTACAATACCTTAACAATGTTATCTTCGTATGTTGTACTTTACCTCAGAAATATACCCAAAGTAATGGTAGACGTCCATTTGGTATATCAACCTTGATAGTTGGTTTTGATTATGATGGTTCACCACATTTATACCAGACAGACCCCTCTGGTACTTACCATGCGTGGAAGGTATGAAAACCCTTAAATTCCACTATCCGGTTATAATTGGTGCTTCTCGTTTTTTATATAAATATTTAATCGTTTCAAATTTTAACACCCCAGGCTGGAGCAATTGGACGAAGTGCCAAAACAGTTCTAGAATTCTTAGAGAAACATTACAATGCAGAGCTCGTTGCATCAAATGATGAAACCATTAAACTTGCCATCAAAGCTCTGCTGGAGGTAGGCAATTACCAATTACATGGCAAGCCAGCAAGACTACAGAGCATTGCTGTTTTTGCCAAGATCTTGATGTTGAAAATCTGAATAATATCACCCCAGGGGGGAGGGACTCATGTTTACAAATGCACTCAAAGGGCTTGAATTTTGTGACGTTTTTGTTTTCCTTAAAACACCCAGGGGTGCTAAAAACTTGTCACTTTACACATCTTTGGCATGAAATTGTCCTAGAATCAAAGAATGATAATCAGCTGAAATTTTCATATCAGGCTGGCTATGTTAACTATCATTGCAATTGTACTATGGAATCTTTGCCATTTGAAAATACTTTAATTTTATGTTTTTTCCAAATGGTTTTAAGTGTTCTGTCATTTTGGTTTAAAGGTTGTTCAAACTGGAGCAAAGAACCTGGAACTTGCAGTTATGAAAAGAGGCGATACATTACGTGTAAGTGAAAATTGATTTCGTATTTAGTCAAATATTTGCTGAAGTATAAAATAAGACATGCACAAACAAAGGTCCATCATGTACTCAATATTTATGATGAACAAGGTGGCACATTTTTAAAGAAGTCGAATTCCATATTTTTCATAAATTCATTATCAAACTCTTCCAGCTCATCTTTGTAGTGGTGGTAAAGTTTGCGTAAATGGAGCCCACAAATTTACTTGCACATTGTACAAGTCTGATAACGAACATTTGGTATATTTAAAATAGAACTCTCATCTTTAGTGGTATAGATTACAAATTGGATGCTCAGTCCTTTGTATGTTTCTTTTTGAATTGTGTAAAATATAGCTGGTTCACACTACTCAGAGTGTATCAAAAAACAAGACTTAAAAATTTGCCAGTTGTTAGAATGTCTGATCACCATGCATGCTTTACCCATTGGTTCCTTTACTGAGCAGATTTTTCTCTTAGAAGTTGTGTTAAATTACGAAAAGCAAAAAAGTATGTGTGCAGATAACAAAGATATGATTTTCAAATGCCTGCAGCAAACAATGCTTTAAGTATTTATAAGCTTGGGTTCTGTGACAGGCATTATTACCTATTTTCTACTTAAAAGTATTTTTGTTTTTTTGATACGCAGGAATCATTGACGTCATTTTGACCAGAGGCCATGGGACTTTGACTCCTTCCTCCTCAATTTTGTTTTGCTTTTTGCACATGTGATACCAGCATCTTTGCAATGGTCTTTATCAAAATATACCATTTTTTTTGTTTCAGATATTAGATCAGGATGAAGTTGAAAAGTATGTGGAAGAAATTGAGAAGGAAAGAGAGGAAGAGGCGGAGAAGAAAAAGCAAAAGAAAACAGGGGGGAAGCCATCAAAATGAAAAAAAAAAACCATTTCTATAATATTCATGTTTTAATTCTCCAAAATATTTTTGCGATTGAACTTCAAAATGCTGTTTTTATTGAACCACAAGATGGTACATCAGGAAATTGAAATCCCCCTATCTACAGCTATCACCGAATAAATATTTTCAGATGTGAATATATGCCATGGATGGCATTTGTTAAATCAATGTTTTACGACTGGAGATATTCTGACAAACCTTCCTTTCAATGGATTTAGGTGACAATATCTTAGTCTATATATAATATATTAATCCAAGAGAATATATGTAATACATTTATCCTTTAGGATTAATATATTATATATATTCTCTGATGATGGCTTTGGAGTAAATATCTTAGTCTTAGATTCGTGCAGTGCTTTTAAAACTAAATAAGTTGTTTGTCGAAGGAAATTTTAAAACGATTATGTCTGTATTGAAGAATGAAGTTTGACGATAAAAGAATTCTTTGATTGTACTTCCTGTAAAAGCTTACCCTGCTGAAAAGGTGGTTTGTTTTCCCGCCATTTCCCACTTACGACGTCGACAAATGTTTCGGCGACATTTTTTCCGTCGAAAAAGCGCGACTTGCCGCCGCCCTCCGAGAAGTAAAAGCAAGTGTGTGTTCTCACACTTTCAGTGCTTATTTGTGTTTTAAACATCCAAAACATGAACGAGAACTTTGAACAGATTGGAAAGGCATTTATTGATCAGTTTTACAAGCTATTTGATGGCAACCGTGAAGGATTAAGACCTTTTTACGTAAGTACATGGAGGGGAATTTTGTCAACGATGTATTGTGACATGTTGTATGTGTGTGCGAGAAATTAAGTGATTTCGTATTTTATGATTCCAGAGAGATGATTCTTTGCTCACGTTTGAGGGCGCACAAATGCAAGGAGTGAATGCTATACTTGAGAAATTGAAGGTACATTCAGTCATGATAATATGTTATTGTGTCTTGTCCTATATTAGTTCTTACTCCAGACTACCACGGCCGTTTGCTATAACCCGGGCGATGATCGGGGACGCGCCTATTAGCTTCCTGGTCAGCGGCAAAAACCTTTACATAATAATCGCTATAAGTACAATATATATGTCTCTTGTATAAAATTTCATAACACAAATCAACACAAAGTATACAGCACAGTGCCCACATTGTATTATATGTTCATTTGGCGTTTACAAAATATGCGGTCTTTTTTATAACGAATGTTACTGCAAACGTGCATTGTGAAGTATATTGTTCTTTGTTATTGAGCTTGCTTGTAATATGTTCTAAAAGATATTGATGATGCTCAAAAGTATTCTAATCGTTAAGTCTTTTTTACTTGGCACTTTTAAATCTAACAATTGAATTACAACTGTATTTAATAATGCACATTTGAAGCAACATTTGTTATAAAAATGAGCACAGGTTTTGTGTCACAGATGCTGCTTGGATGACAATTAATATAAATAAAGCATATTTTGTAAAAGCCAAATGAACATATAATACAATGTGGGCACTGTGCTGTATACTTTGTGTTGATTTGTGTTACAAAATTTTATACAAGAAACATATTGTACTTATAGCAATTATTATGTTAAGGTTTCTGCTGCTGACCAGGAAGCTAATAGGCGCATCCTTGATCATCGCCCGGGTTATAGCAAACCCCTATTACCACGTTTATTTTGAGATCAGTTGCACCTGACTGTAAGATGTTTGGAAATGTTTGATTACCTAATGAGGTGATCATATGCCATTTTCATCAGAAAAAGCTTTTTTAAAGTGTTGAAGTCGGCTTTCTGAGATGTAGGAACTTATAAATAGAAATTATTTTCCTTTTTTGCAAAGATCTGTGCTGTAATTTGCTGATCCGAACCTCCCAGTAAAGCATGTAGCTGTAGTATACAATATTGTTAATTGTGATAACTTTAAAATCCTATTGCCCTCAACTTGTAACTCAAGTTGTTGCTAATTCCCAATGAAAAAATATGCCTGGCAGTCCCCTTGTTAATACGAATCAAGCAATGCTAAACTTTGCATTTATCCACTTTAGCATGGTTTCTAATTTGAAGTTTTGAAGGACTTCTTTTTCTCATTTCAGTCGCTTCCCTTTCAAACTGTACAACATGTTGTAACGACTGGTGATTGCCACCCCACAATTGACTATGGTGTGCTTGTACATGTTGTCGGACAACTAAAGGTTTGTTTAACTTGCTGCTTTTTGTTTGTTTGTGAGTCTTGTCTGTCATTGTTTCATTTTTTTTCTGTTTGGTGCTTCTTGGTCTTGTATGATTGAAAGGTACGGCGCTTGTGTATGTGTGTAACACAGACTGTTTACTTTACTGAATACAGACTAAGGCATATTCTGACTTATGTTTAATAACACCTGACCTTTATGCTAAATCTGGGCATTCTATAATTTAAGAAACTTCTCACCATATCATTGGTTTTGCAATCAGGGTGGTGGTGGGGTGGTGGTGGGGTGGTGGTGGTGTGGTGATGGTGTGGTGGTGATGGTGTGGTGGTGATGGTGTGGTGGTGATGGGGTGGTGGTGGTGGTGTGGTGATGGTGGTGTGGTGTGGTGTGGTGGTGATGGTGGTGGTGATGGTGTGGTGTGATGGGGTGGTGGTGGTGTGGTGATGGGGTGGTGGTGATGGTGTGGTGGTAGTGGGGTGGGGTGGTGGTGTGCTTACCACTACTAAATGTTTCACTTGACTCAAAAAGATGCTTTAAAAATTTCTTTGATCAATTTCAGACTGATAATGACCCACCACATAGTTTCAGCCAAACATTTTGTCTGAGACGGGATCCAGTGAATCCCAACAACTATTATGTTTTAAATGACGTGTTTCGACTATCGCTGCATCATGGTTAAGGAAAGTTTGTACGGTCCACATCAAGCAAAGACTTTGGAGCTAAGTAGCTGAATGCCAAGACGAGACGAAAGTAAATCTTACAAGTACTGCTGAAAGATTGCCACAAACAATACATCTCGTAATCAAAATTACTTTAAATAACTTTGCTATAATAAAATCATCAGAGAATATTGTTATTAGAAGACTTGTAGTAGCTATTCCTTTTTTTTGTCAATGATGTAGTTTAAGGTGGGCAATAGTTTTGTTATTATTTTCAATTTTTGATGTGTAAATGATTTAAGTTTTCTTTCCTTAAAAAGTTGCAAATTCTAAACGGTGATAATTTTTAATTTCGGTGATAATTTTCAATTTTTGTTGTGTAAATGATTTAAGTTTTCTTTCCTTAAAAAGTTGCAAATTCTAAACGGTGATAATTTTTAATTTCGAAGTTGGCTATTTTACATTTGCGATGACTAAGGGGTTTTAAATTCAAATCCTGAAGGATGTAGTGCAGTGGAGCGTTTCGTTATATTGCAAATTATCACCCCCCGGTCTCCCACTAAAAACTGTATTGCCCCTCGAGAGTGTCAGTCGTCAACCGCGAGATTCTTTTTGCTTCTCTTTTTGCTTCGTTGAAGCTATTTCGTTTTTTCAAGCGAAATGCCGAGGAATTCAATGTTCGAGTTTCGCATTTTATTGGGAGGTCGGCCCGTGAAGGAATACGAGAAAGACGGTCAGTGTTTTATTTTGACAAACTTGTGTCATCCTACGACTTACAAAGAGCAACGAGTTGAGTATGTCGAAGACCGCGAAGAAATTCAGGACGTTCCCTTAACACCTTATGAAATAGCTATTACTCTGTTAAGATCTTATGATGGGCTGCAAGCTTGGGGGAAGGTATTTATTGACGGCTCTTTCATTCAATGGGTTTTACTTCGCAAGGAAAAACAATAGTAAGTATGCTGTATTGATGTGGAAAATGGTAAAAAATTGTTGTTTTAATGCGAGTGGACTTTTTTGGGTTTGCAATGTCCACGTAAACTTTGAAATCTTTTCCTGATTTTCTGTATGAATGCATAACATTCATTAATTTTTTAGTATCCTTCGCGGCTTCAGAGATTCAGGAACAAGAAAAGAGTTTGTTTTTTCACTTCCACGGTTCGCAAGAGATGGGGTAAGTGAACAATTGTTGGTCGTGCTTTCTTGCCAGCAGAGCTACTCTAAATCGCCTGGCATCATCCATATTCCAATGATCTTTATCAAAGTAATCATTGTAAGAAGTCCTTCCCTCTTTCAAAGGGTCAGACCATTTCAGAAGAAAAAGCTAAGCATGTAGGCTGCATTAATGTTGAATTGCATGAGGCAATTTACATGGGGGTGAGAATTGGCAGGAATGTAAATCGAAATAGATATCCAAAACCGCTGGAATTCAAACAAGCAAGCAAGGATGATTCCAAGGCAGTAACCGATGGAAAGTATACAATGTCCACAACCAAACCGGGACGCCCCTTGCCTGGTGAGGAATATAGACTTAGCAGAAAACGCAGTCATGGATCACCTAGGGAAATCAGTATTTATGACAAGGGGGAGGAAATTGTTTCAGAATTACAAGTTAGGTATCATATGAAGCATACTCTGAATAGTTTAGGAATTGATGTTACAGAGTAAAATATGTACGACCAGATCATCAAACCTAATGTTTTTTGTTCAACAGAACTTAACACATATGCATACAATGCTGATTTACAAACTGTTGGGAGTTATGTGGAAGGTGTTGCGGTTGATGAAGTATTATTTAAACGTAATTTGACAAGTATTGCAAATCTATTATAGCATAGCTACATCTTATTCAATTTTGCAAGCATAACATGTTTATTCGTGCCATGACTGTGTATAAGCTGCATATGTTATAAAATATGCATATAAATTGTGCTTTGTTAAATGTTAAATGCAAGATTGTTATGTACATTTTAAATGACAGTTTCCCATGTATTTATTGGCTAGACTGGAAAGTTTGTAAGCCGTGCACCCTAGATTCGAAATTTACATGCATAAAAGCCTAGTTTTCTCAAATTTGTGCATCCAAGATCTCAGGTGTGCAGTACAAACTATTCAGTTTGGTTTATTGTTGTCACCATGTCCATATAAAGTGTTGCATCGTGTTTGTGTTAACCACGAGATCTGTGGTTAGGTTTTTTACCATTGTAGATGACTAAATTATCAACAGAGATTTTTTGTTTTCATTTGTGTTCTCTATTGTACTTGCCTCTCAGAAAGATTATTCTACAAACATCCCAGGATAATAATTTGGCTATATATGGTTACACAAGAAATGACCCCTCCCCCCCGTTAATTTTTTACTTCCCAATTTAACCATGAATTAGTCAATTGCTACAAATTACAAATTGTATGTGTGGTGGGGGCGGTGTCAATCTTCTGAAATATTTGCGTTCACGTGACATACACGCTTCAGTGACAAGACGATTCTTGTCGTTCACCTTGGTGATATCATGATTACAGACTGATAATTGATTGTAATCTTGTACACGATTTGTTGGATTTTAGGCTTTAAGTCACTTAATAAAAATGTTCTTGGAATGCTCAACTGCAAAGTGTGGTTATTTTCGCAATTTTGACATTCAACATCACAAAAAGACAAAATCGTTTTCTTATTCGATGCTGCGTTTTGTTTACTGTAAAGCTTGTTTCTAAATCCTTCCAAGACAGACAGACAGAGGATAGTAAACAAGCATATAAAGATGCCTCTTCCTAAAAAAATACCGTCAGATCTTGCTCACAAAAGCGGCTGCGTTGGTCGTGTCTACGCGAACCGATACAAAGTTGTTAAGCGTTTAGGATCGGGTAGTTTTGGAACTGTTTATCTTGTTGAAGATTTGAGATGTAATGGGGAAAGGTTTGTTAAATTGTATTCTAATTTGTTTTATTTGTTTTCTTGTGAGATTATTTAATATTTTGATATTTTAATAAGTCTTTAAATCCTGAGGCTTTAGGATTATTTCGTTTGAATTTTATTTCACCCAAGGGTCCCAAATGCGGATACAATACAATCATGCAAATGTATTCGGTGAACTGAAGGCGTGCGTTCCCAATGCATAGAAAAAATTTAATTTTCTAAAAGTTCGATTAGATATCATTTTTTATGTGAGGTAGCTTCTGCAAAGTTGTTTGAGCTCTGAAGGTTTCTTCAGTGTGTTTTTTAAATCATGGTTTCAAGATAAGGAAGGAGGCTATGGTCTGAACGTTAAAGAAGCTAAGAGTTGCTTTGGGATCATGTTGATGAAAGTTGGTGGTTGCTAGTCAGTTTTTGGTTAGAGCTGGGGGCTGATAATAGTCATATGGGAGATATCATAGAAATTTCCCTCATATTTTTGCCTGACTAATGTTAAAAATTTGCCCAACTTTTCAATCTTTAAACTTTCTTGGTAGGTGGATGGGGAGGAAGCCCCTGTCCCCTACACCTATGCTAAAGTATGGTTGCTGGAGGTTAGGTGTTGCTAGTGGGTTTAAGTAATATGGATATGGGTTGCAAAGGGTTATGGATAGTTTAAGTGTGAGGTTATCGTAGGCCAAGGATTGCTATGAGATCAGTTGTTTTAGGGATTGTTATACTATGAGGTTGATAAGGTTAAGTGTTGCTACTTTGAGTGTTAGGATTACAAGGGTTAAGAGGCAGCTCATGTGTAAGGATCATTATGGTTTTTGGTTGTTTAATGTAGGATATCACTTCCTTGGAAAGATTTGGATGGTGCTTGGACAGTGCACAATGTTGTTTAGTGCAATTTTAAGTGAGTTTTTTTTCTATAAACATATAGGAAAGTATTGAAAGAAATATCAATTGGCGAGTTAAAAGAAGATGAGACATTTGATGCGAAAAGGGAAGCTGATTTGTTGTCAAAGGTTTGGCAGTTCTTTCTTTGTTCTTTCATGAGCATTATTTTCATATATAACTCTGAACAAAGTTTTAACTCCTTAGCTAGATCATCCTAACATTGTGAAGTTTCTCGATAGTTTTGTCTACATGGAGTCTTTTTGCATCATAACCGAATTCTGTGAGGTAATGTGCATAATTTTTTTACTGTAAACTGGTTTCAGAAAAGGCTGTCCACAATTAGCTACTGCATTTCCCCTCTAGAAAGCAGACACAAATTGATAAACATATTGCCTTATGTTTTGAGTGGCAAATTGCTCCCAGAAAGCACCCACAATTTGACCAACAAATTATGTATCTTATAAATATTTTAGGGTGGCGATTTGAATGATAAAATAAACTCATGGAAAAAGGCTGGGCGCACTTTTGATCAATCTCTGGTACTAGCCTGGTTTGTTCAACTATTGTTGGCAATCCAGTTTATTCATAAAAAGTATGTAGACAGCAAGTTTTTCAAAAAAAAACCAGTACTGTTGCAAAGCAGTGTGTTTTAGTCCTGCTGGGCAAATTTTAAAATCACTACCATTGTTTCGTGCGTATCTTTAGAAATCCATTGTTTTCGTAATAAGTGAATAGAGAAAAATTTATATGATATGGCAAGACTAAATAAGGAGTCTTGTTTAACTACTCAATGTTATTTGTCCTTGTTTACAACTCCATGTTGACTTTAGTCAAACACATATTTTTTAGAAGAATCCTTCACCGAGATATTAAGACAAGGTATGTTAAATGAAATGGCAGTTGAAGGATTGTTTTAACAAACTGATCACATCTCAATGTTGGAATGTAGGAATATTTTTTTAAAGAACAACATGATAAAGATAGGAGACTTTGGGATATCGAGGATTTTGATGGGTACATCAGATATGGCCACCACATTCACTGGCACAGCGTACTACATGAGTCCCGAAATTCTCAGGCATGAAGGATACAATTCTAAATCAGATATATGGTACGAATGTTATTGATAGTTTCATTGTTTTGGTGGTACTTACAAAAGGTTTTGCTCTGTCCTGAGTTTCATTTTGCGCTGTGTTAGGGCTGAGTTACTTGCCAAGACGGGTAACTCGGTCCTTATATAAAATGAATGCATTTCCTGGTGAATCGTTTATATGACACATCCGAGTAACTCGCCTTGCCGGGAACTCAGTTTGTGTAAGCGAGTTACCCGGCTAGGCGGGATGAATTTTTCCATATAAACGCATTTGCCGGATGACTCAGCGAGGCGAGAAAATTGGCTCTGTTGGTACGCTTGCGTACTAAGCCTTATACTTGCAGCATTATTATACAAAAACATACACATATCATAATTTTCAATTTTATATTCACCCATTCCATTTTTGCTGCGAAACTGTGAGGCTTTTTAAAATCTCGCGCCTTTACTCGAAGTTAGCATAGCCAAACTTCATTTAAAACAAATGAACGGAAGTACTAGCCGAGTTACCCGGCTCCATATAAACAGGCCCTAAGTGGGGTAGCCATCCGCAATCTTTGGTCCTGTTTAGCAAATTTCAGAACTTTATTGTGATTCGGTTCTTTTGAAATCTTATGTTTTCACAGTAAGTGAGAACGCAGAAACATTAACATAGCACGGCCAAGTAGTAAATGAGCCGGCTGGCTACTCTAGTGCTCAGTGCTGTACATGCGAAACTACCGCATATACCTTTCAATAAGTTCAGTGCTGTTTTTTTTCAATAAACTGTTAGGTCTTTGGGTGTTGTGCTGTATGAAATATGTACATTGAGTCGGGCGTTTGAAGGAAAGGTATGAAAATTAATGTTCGTCTTTTTTGTTTTATAGTTACCAATGCCGTCTAAGGGAAGGCTCAAATATGCGTCTCTGGCAAAAACACGCCATTATCACATCTGGGGGGGAGGTTGCAATCATTGACTGACGTCTTTTTACCTCAAAATAAACGCACAAAAACGCAAAAAAATTGCAGTTGAAATTTGAATATAATTATTTTTGTTCAACGAAAACTTTTGCTCATGCGCAAAACGTACATACCTGCAAAATAAAATTATCAACTATTTGAGCTTGTCGAGTCTTTTGGATGTTAGAAGGGGCTTTGTAAGAGACGTTAGATTGAAACATCGACGAACAAGTCACCGCAAGCTTTTTTGTTTCGATTAAGTATTTATTTCGTCACCTGGCTTAATGATTTCTCTTTCAATTTTCCTGATTTTGTTTAATAATCATTGTTTGGAGAGGTAATCAAGATGGAAGTCATTAAATTAACGTTAATTGTTTGAAAAATTTTTTGCGTGCGTTAGTTCGATATGTACCGACGACAAAACTCGCCAACACCATCGTTGTTACGTTGTTTTTATAGAATCTCCTAGGTGTTATGTACAAAATTGTAGAAGGAGAAGCACCTCAACTTCCCGATACTTTTGAACCAAAACTACGAAGCATTTTTGAAAGGTAAATCGAAGTTTTCCTGTATTGGTTTTGAACTTTACAGTTGTAATTTGTAAAGTGGCCTAACATCGATGATTATGCTTTCAACTGCATTCATTTTAACGACTTCTGCAGTATGTTGAGTAAAAATCCAGTACAAAGACCTTCGGTGTCGGAGATACTCACAAATCCCTACATATCAACATTGGTCAAGGTTTGTTCATTTACCGATGATAAAAGTAGCTGTCACATATCCGCACTCCAAGACCATGTTGCATTTTAAATTTATGATCATTTGTAGGATATCAAAAGAAAGATGGAAGAAAGCAACAGGAGCAATTTCGTTGAAAGTGGAAGCACAAAATCAAGGTATGTAGCATCAGCAATTCGGCATAATTCATTCCAATGATTTGTTCGTTTAACACAGGCCACTTTGTTGTGCGCTTGTTTTTGAAAACTTTGACGTAGCCGGGCTTATGTTTAGTCGTACTGTGAAAATTTTATAGTTGATTTTAAATTGAATGTAGAGAAAAATGTTTTTTACAAGTTTGTAAATGTAGATCGTCCAGGTTGGTATAGTCCTGAGAAGGACTGTTTTTGTTGTTGTTGACTGACGTTTCGACAACCTTAGCGGTAGTCATCTTCAGAGTCAAAAGATGACTACCGCTAAGGTTGTCGAAACGTCAGAACAACAACAAAAACAGTCCTTCTCAGGATTATACCAACCTGGACGATCTACATTTACAAACATGTAACGATACTCCCGGGTTCAAACCATTTACTTTAAAAACGTTTTTAATGCAGACATGTTTCGGCAAACCTACGCCATCATCAGTGCGAATGAGTGATATGTTACAAGTTGTCTTTCACATTTCAATTTCTTGTAAAATATTTGTAACTCCATTATCTATACTCATTTCAATTATCTGTAATGTAAATAACTTATCACTATATATATACGTATATATACACCCGTCACATCTTGTGAGTTATCACTCATTCGCAATGATGATGGCATATAAATGCCGAAACATGTCTGTATTAAAAAATTTCGTCTCTACGTTCAATTTATAACTTCTGTTATGCTTCCACGTAAATTTAAATTGTTTACTTACTTCTTTCGAAATATAAATATGTGCAAACACAAATGTTTGCCTGGTAGAAGTGACGATTTGCAGGCTGGGTACGCCAATTCCTTGCAATACTAAATAAACAGGCAGGACGGGTGCAAACTTAGTTTTTAAAATATTACAATCATGTTTTTTCTGCATGAATACCCTTTGAAACATTGTATTTTTTGTTGCTCTAGGAATGTAGACCATACTCCGCACTTTTCTCCATTAAAAAGGCCAATGACGCCATTGTAAGTGTCTCTGCATTACGTCATTTTTCTATATTGTGTGATGTCATAGTTTAGTAGGCCGTACTTCATGTCGTTTTTACTCTTAGAGAGAAAATGAGATTGCGAAAACAAGAAAGAGCTGATGCCCAAGCTGAAAGACTAAAGTAATGACGAAAGATGAATATTCAGGATTCATGTTTCAGTCTGTTTTTATTTTGTACAGGAAAGCATTTGAAGGAATTGTGTTTTTTGTCTTTATTAAGACAAGTGACGGCCCAGAAATATGCGGAGAGCAGGCGAAAGTATTCAAACGTAAAAAGAAAACAGGTAAATACATAGTTTTTACATGACATTATGTATTGCTAAAATTGCATCACATTGTATTTATGAAACATAACATCCTTGCATAACACCACATTGTCCTAACTTAGCATCGCACATCCTGCATGTTCCTCGCATTAAATTATAATAGTCCTTATGTAACATCACATATTCCTTGCAGTACACCACATTGTCCTCAACTACGTTCTACGCATGCTTTTTACATTGCCCATATTTTCTCATCAGTATATGTCTTTGCATGTTTTAGTCATTGTCGAGTGTGGGCCTGCCTTGGGTCAAGGAACATCCTGATGTATTTCATAATATACCTGATTATCCTGAAACTGATGCTGAATGCTCCGGATCAACAGCTTGCCAGTTTGGAACACGTGACGTCAGCTTGATCAACAGCAGTTCGGATAGCGGGCTTTTTCCAAGCGATCATGAGGAAGAGCCTGGTAGTGAATTTGACCATGAACTTAAAACTGAAGGTAGTGTTTATTAGGTTTTTGACAAGTGTCGTATTTTGTTTACTGAAGTTGATTTGGTGTCAAATATATTGATTTGATATAAAAGAAATTAATTTCTAACAGCTTTTAACAATAATTATTATGAATTATTATTTGCTATTTTTATTAAATACTACGTAATAAAAGTTATTATTGTGCTTGCGTCGTTAATTGTTACATTGATTTGTATCAATTATTATTAATTATAAGGATTAGTTATTAATATTATCAATTAGCATAATTTCGTATCATCTTATGAAACCAGGACTGATCATTTACCTTATTAACTTATAATAAACTATGTTATTATTTCTCAGGGCTACATGACGACACGTCAGAGTTGACGTTGACAAACGTTTCGACGATTCCAGAAGATGATCTGGAAGCGGAGACATACTACTCTCAATTCGACAACGAGTTCGAAGATTATGAGGATAGCGGGGGATCCGAAGGATCAGATGAGGATGAAGATGAGCACAATGCGTTTATCGATCAACTTCAGGCCGTCCTGGAGCTTGACGCGCAAGAAACCATGGAGGACGAGACCATCGAGGAAAGATTTACACTTATATCAAGGCAACAAAAAGTTGTTCAACTAAGACGGTATCCTTTTAGCGATTTAAAAAATTTTGTCGACTGTTTCATTCGATAGTTGCTATAAATGATATAGCAAGGGGGGCGTCCTTTTAGCACGTATGAAAAGACGTGGTGGGGAGGGTGTAAGGGATAGGGAGGATGTAAGGGATAGGGAGGATGTAAGGGATAGGGAGGATGTAAGGGATAGGGAGGATGTAAGGGATAGGGAGGGTTTAAGGGATAGGGAGGGTGTAAGGGATAGGGAGGGTGTATGGGATAGAGAGGCAGCTAAGCTGTTGTTTTCGATGAATGACATTTTGGCATACAATTTCAATATATTCATATGTTACGGTTGTGAATAATTTTACCTATTCGTAAAACAAAAACCTGGTTGTGCTTACAAACTTAAATATTGTTCTGAATAGCGTGATTCTCATGGTGAATGACAATCGACAAGCTGATTGGTTTTCATCAAAGCTGACGTCACACCGGATGTGAAGTCCGCCGAAATGCATCGTGTCATTTAATTTTATAGCTATCTTTATTTTGGTTTCAACATTTCTGTAAAGAACTGCTCAATTATCATTCACCATGACAAACACGTTGTTCCGAGCAAAAATTTACTTAGATAGCGAAACCAGTAAGTTTAGCATCAATGAAATTGCCTTTCAATACAAAAGCTGACTTTTTCCCGAGGTTAAAGACCTCAAGAGTAACCAGGACAAGCAGACAATTTTAAGTTAAACAAAATGAAAGAAATTCCGAAAACAGACATCTCGTTTTCTTGATATTCAAGATGATACAAGAGTTTAAAAACAAAAGATGGTGTAAAAACTATTAGTCTGATGATGTTTTTGGGATAAAAACGAAATATTACACTTGTTCTCATCTTTAGGAACGAGATAGCCACATATTATATATTTGTGTACAAAAGGAAAGGGTCATAGCCAAAGTTGGTTTATTAGTGTCCAGTTAAAGAATGGGGGTTAAAATTCGAACAATTTTTGATTCGTGATAAATGGACGACCGCAAGTGTTTACGAAGTCTTTAACTTATTCATCTTAGAGAATGTATCAAAGTTTTTGGTGAGAAGACTTTCCTCGATGTTTACCGCTACTTGACGGAGATTCGCTTTAATTCTGAGGAGAAAGTGGACGAACAGTTGATATTTGAAGGTCTTCGAAAATTTGTAGCCCATCCAACGGACTGCTTTCTTGTCGATCAACTACTTTTCCTAGAAAAACAAATGGAAATTTCTGCTAGCATTTGAAAACAATGCTTTTGTAAGAAGAAAATTGAAATCATAATGTAAATTTCAGAGGGACCGTAGAGCTGGGCGACCATGAACCGCTTTTTTTCATGGACAAGTGATTTATCGGTTGAAATTCATCTTCCCACTTAAAGAGTATACTTTCATACTCTTCTGCAATGCCGCCTTCTCTTTTGGTTAAAATTGGTTAAAATTTATATGACATAGTTAAACATTTTGTAATTTTTCATGTAAATATAAATTTGTATAAATTACAATTCATCTTGCCGAAGAAATAATTATCAGCAGTCGCTTCGAATCAAGGGTGAAGCATTTACCGCTGAAATTCTTTGCATCAAACAAGGGGGATAGTGATCATATTGACTATTGATGGATAGTCTTGCAAATTTCACCTGGAAAACCACTAATTTCCTTTTCTCCCCTTTACATGAAGTATCGATAGCCACCACAATCCAATATGGCAGCTGCAAACGTGGAGAGAAAGTTTGATTTTGTTGTTGTTGGTGGCGGAATAGCTGGCGTCTCATGTACGGAGTATTTATCAACCCTGAATGGAGAAAAGAATATATGTCTTATTTCCGGTACAGATTTAGTAAAATCGGTTTCTAACGTGAAGAAACTTTCGCAAACTTTAGAAGAATACGACGTAACAGAACAACCTCTGCATGCGCTTGTTCGTCGTAACGTCACCGTCGTCAAGGCAACCGTGGTAAATTTTAACCCTGAAGGTTTGGAATTCATGTTGTTTTTTTCGTGTACAAATATTATTATCTTTGGCATTACAGAATTGAGTCCCTTGTTGAACTCAAACCTCAAATTTCAATTGACCAGGAGAAGGTTTAATGTGCTGTGTGTACAGTGGACTAAAGAAATATCATCTCCTGACCTACGTCACTTACCTGACGTCACGTATTATCTTTTAATATAGCGCATAAAGTGATGACAAGTGATGGCAAAGAATATGTTTACAAGAAATTGTGTATTTGTACTGGAGCTCGACCAAAGCTTATTTCCGAGGAAAATGAACATGTTATTGGGCTAAGAGATTTACAAAGTGTTGAATACTTTCAGAAACGACTTTCAACTGCCAAGAGGGTGGTCATTGTTGGTAATGGAGGCATTGCGTTGGAGTTAGCGTAAGGGAAATGCTTGATGTTTGAATTTTAGCTGTAGGTGGTAATTACAAAGAGCAGATACTTTGTCTATCTTTTCTGTTGTATTGTGACTATTTATTGTAATACATGACCATTGCAGTACATAGAAGACCATTGCAGTACATAGCAGAACATTGCAGTACACAGAAGACCATTGTAGTGCATAGCAGAACATTGCAGTACATGACAGACCATTGCAGTACATAGAAGACCATTGCAATGCATATCAGAATATTGTAGTTTGTGATAAACCATTGCAGTACATGACAGACCATTGCAGTATGTGATAGACCATTGTAGTACATGACAGACCATTGCAGTACATGACAAACCATTGCAGTACATGACAGACCATTGTAGTACATGACAGACCATTGCAGTTCATGACAGACTATTGTAGTAAACAACAGACCATTGCAGTACATGACAGATCATCGTAGTACTTGACAAACTTATAATTTTGTGAAATCTTATGATTTCATCCATGACATAGATATGAACTGCAGGGATGTGCTGTCGTCTGGGTGATAAAAGATGATACCATTGGCAATGCATACTTTGACAAAGGAGCAGCTCATTTTTTCTTAGCATCCACGAGCAAGCACTATGTAAGTTTTGAAAGCAAAACAAAGTTGACAAAGATGTTACCACAAGACAAACTTTGCAACTCATCAGTACCTATGAGTTCAGGTAAAATATTTGGAAATGATCTCTAGTATATTGCTTTCATGTTAAAAAACATTCTTTGACACAGAGTCAGTGAAGAAAGTGGAACGTCTTTCTGACGTCAGGGAGAAATATTTTTTTGGTATTCAATATTTATTGTTAATTTTTTCTCAGGTGAGGGGTCAATGTATGCTGCTGCCCTTGGTCAAAGTTGGAAAGATGACCTCAATATGGGTAGTGATGAAGTATGCAGGAAAAATGTTATTGTTGAATATTCGACTGAAGTAAAAGCGCTTTTAAATTGTGAACAGTTCAAAGATTTAAACAATGGTGAAATTGATAAAAATAACTGGAATATTTTCGTCGAACTGAGCAATGGTAAAATCTATGGTTGTGACTTTTTGGTTTCTGCAACGGGAGTTTTACCGAATACCGAACCTTTTACGAAACATTCCGATCTCAAAATCGCCGACGATGGTGGGATTATTGTTGATAAATGCATGAGGACAAATCTCAATGACGTGTTTGCGGCGGGAGATGTTTGCAATGCATCATGGGAGCATTCTGAGTACTGGTTTCAAATGCGGCTGTGGACACAAGCCAATCAGATGGGAGCATATGCTGCGAAATGCATGATATCTGACCTGGGGGAGACGGAGAACTTTATGGATTTTTGTTTTGAAATGTTTGCGCATGTCACTTCGTTCTTTGGCTTCAAGGTAATACTACTGGGTAAGTATAACGGTCAAGGACTGGGCTCTGATTACGAAGCATTGCTCCGTTGCACCATGGGACGGGAGTATGTTAAGGTGGTTTTACACGAGGGTAGGATTCACGGAGCTTTGCTGATTGGTGAAACGGAACTCGAGGAGACCTTGGAGAATTTAATTTTAAATCAAATGGATGTGAGTCAGTTTGGAGAGGATTTGCTGAACCCGGACATTGATATTGACGATTTCTTTGATTAACATGCGTGGGATTTTGTCCCTCAAGCGAACTTCCTCGCGTGGTTCTCACGACATAAATTATGCTAGTGAATGGATGAATGACGAATACTGCAGTATTTATATCGTGGACATCGTAATACGATCAATTTGACCATAAGCGTACGGGACGGGGGCAGCTACCCTCCCCCCCCCAAAAAAAGTTTAGTTTGAAGATTGAAAATTTTGGCAAATTTTAAACGTTAGTCGGGCGAAAATATGGCGAAACCTTCATTGCGTGCTGTAGAAAATATTTACTAAAGCTCCCGAACGCCTATGAATTTGACAATAATTAATCGTCTAATCTTTCGAATTTCGTTTCAATGTAAAATGTTCATTGAGGCGTTCATATATCATTCAATCAAATTTAAAATTAAGGATCAAAGACCTTTATGATTGGATGAGATAGAAAGTTTGCAACAAACATTTGAAGTAAAGTAAATGGTTTGTACCCGGGAGTATCGTTAGTACATGTTTGTAGACGTAGATCGTCCAGGTTGGTAGAGTCCCGAGAAGGACTATTGGTCAATGACTTTTTCGACAACCTTAGCGGTAGTCATCTTCAGAGTCAAATGAGGAGTAAACTTCAGGTTAGCAAATACGGCTAACCTGACGTTTACTCCTCACTTGACTCTGGACTCTGAAGATGACTACCGCTAAGGTTGTCAAAACGTCAGTCAACAACAACATCAACAGACCTTCTCAGGACTATACCCACCTGGACGATCTACATTTACAAACATGAAACATTTGCAGTTTCCAAACAAATTTGACAACATTTCTCGGAAAAGTTACATAAAATGCTTAGAGACAAGTCATCATGTATTTTTCATCTATAAGCGCGCAACCACATGAAATCTGCCTATGGTCAACAAATTTTCATCGAAAACCAACGTTTTTAAATTGAAAACTGCAGAGTATAAGTTTGTTTTAGACTTTTATGGTAAGATTCGCTGCCGGTTAAAGTCACGTGGAGAAAACGGGTCAAATTTTTTATCGTTTACGATGTTATTTACAGAATGATTTAAATTCAATTAAAGTGCTATGTCTCAGTTCACTTTAAACATAAATAACTGCCATAAGTTTTATTTATTGTGTATCTTCCTCATCATTAACATCCATCTTTCTTGCGCGGCTTGGGTCCATATTAGGAATACCATTTCTTATGGAATAAGCGACTTTCAGACTGTCGTTGACAAGCTCGTGACGTTCGCTGTCATAACTAAAACAAGATGAATAGAACTCGATGAAAACGAAGTGTACAACACTTCTCTAAGCGACAGAACTCCTGGTATGGTGAGCGAAACTTGTCGTATGTAGAGGAATGTGTTCTTACCGCAAAGGTTCTTTGGACAGAGGACAAACTAAAATATCCAGCAGAGACTTATCAAATTTCTGACCTGCCATTTCTTTAGTGCAATAGGTGGAACGTGACTGTAATACAGACTTCATAGTGGTTGCAAAAAGTCTGCCGGCCATGTTGTTTTTTTTCGGACAATTTTTCGCGATAATTTTGTCACATGCTGTCGAAGTTCTTAGATATTTCGAAAAAACGATAGAAACGCGACATAGAATGAAGAAATTGTTGTCTAGTTATGCACATGGCACATACATTGTTAATTACTACATTTTTAATTCAATCATTTTTTTTTGAATCTTGCTTTGATCAAAAAAACAAGAAATTTCAAAAACGCTAATCGGGTGGTTGTAAAAGAAAGATGAAGACGACGTCATCTTTCACTCACATGTTTGTGGCATTCAAGATGGCGGCGGATACTCCGCATATTTCTTGTGGACGTGACTTCTTCTCCGTCCCTGATTTATCACAAGCATTAAACTCTAGCGCTTCAGATAAGTAAGTAATGATTTCATATCAACCTCCTGCCATTTTCTTCTTGGTAGTACGTTAAATGTTTATTTAGCGTATTTTGAACAATGAACAAACATTGCCATTCACCCGTTATAGATTTCACTTTATTTGCCTGCCAATTGCTCACCCACGATTTAAACGAGAATTCATTAAACCAGTGTGTCTGAGAAGTCGACCTTTTACGAGGTCAGACCTCCTGTTACCTAGTCAAGGTGAGTTGACCGTTAACTCGTTTTCAAACTTGTCATTAATTATTAATAATAAACTTTGAGTGGCATAAGTCATTACAGCAGTATAAATAGATTTTTATAAACCACAAGTAAGTCTTTTATGGCTATTTGACGAAAGTTGGCCCTGTTTAATGACAGTTATAAAATGCCCTGCCCCATAAACTGAACGGTCATATGTACTTACGTATATGATTCAGACTTGAAAGTATACACTGATCACCTGAATGTGCTGTGTGCAATATGAATTTCTGGAAGGTACTAGGCTTTTATTCATGTGCATGCCAAGTTTGAATCTCGGGAATGCTGTTTACATACTTTCCAGCCTAAAAGGCATTCTGTCATTGTAAACTATTTGCCGAAGACACCCCAATCTTTACAAAGTATACATGTTTGTAGATGAAGATGGTCCAGGTTAGTAGAGTCCTGAGAAGGACTGTTTATGATGTGGTTGACTGACGTTCTGACAACCTTAGTGGTGGTCATCTTTAGAGTCGAGGTTGTTAAGATGTCAGTCAACATCAACACGAACACTGCTTCTCAGGACTCTACCAACCAGGGCGATCTACATCTACAAAAATGTAACAATCCCCCCGTGCTTAAACCATTCACTTTATAAAGTATATCATGCTTTACATTGATTGGGGGTATGCTTTTGACAGTTCATGTGGAAGATTTTTGGTGTAAAATTAAGTTATACGAGGATTGCAGTCTTGTCTACCCTACATATGTACATGAATACATTTGTATGTACATCAATGTACCTCTTATGTAATAATGTTATGTTCAGGTTTATGTTTAGTTACATTTTTTAAATGTAGATTGTCCAGGTTGGTATCGTCCTGAGAAGGACTGTTTTTGTTGTTGTTGACTGACGTTTTGACAACCCTAGCGGTAGTCATCTTCAGAATCAAAATGAAGATGACTACCACTTTTGACTCTGAAGATGACTGCTGCTAAAGTTGTTGAAACGTCAGTCAACAACAACAAAAACAGTCCTTCTCAGGACTATACCGACCTGACGATGTACATCTACAAATATGTAACGATACTCCAGGGTTCAAACCATTTGCTTTTTATGTTTAGCATTAGTTATCACATTAGCTGGTGTATGCATGTGGTAGAATACTTTATAATTTCATGGAAAAAGATTTTCACTTTCAGATGATGTCTTTTTCATTATAGAGAGGCATTGTCATGAGTTATTTAGGTAGCTCTTAATAAAGAGCATTGACAACCGTACAACCTTACTCTTATATTACATCAGACTTATCTATGAAGCAATAACAATGTAATATATACTTGTGTATGGTAATTATATTGTATTTATCAAATCAACAATGCAGATTGGAATACGCTTGTGGTTGGCAAGGTCTCACCATGGATAAACACAGACTCGAATAACGATGTTGAAAGAAAGAACTCAGAACAAGTAGGGAAAAAAATGATAGTTGGTGTACTTGTAATTGAGCATTTATAAGTCCAACTTCCAATCTGGTTGATTTTGGCATTGTGTGTTTGTGTCATGGAGAAAGAATAATCTTTTAAGGATGACTTGTAAGATTAAAGCTTTACTCTTAGGAATGTATTTTATTATTTGTTAAGGCATTACTTCAGGAGATAGCCTATGCTGTTCACCTTGGTCTACCTGCAATTTTGGTCAATCTTACAAAACAACCTTGTACGAATCTTGCGGCCATCATCAATGGGATCTGCTTTGATTCTCATGTACAACAGGTGTCGTATAGCGTACTTTCAATGAATTTTAAATGTTTCACAGCATGCTCTAAGATTCTTGAACTACTATTAATGAGATTTCATGTAGTCATTATCATGACATATCCTTAGCTAACCATGAAGTACCTTTGTTGCACACTTTGTATATCCCTAAATGTCCTTAGACAACATTCATCAGCAGTTGCCACAATATCCTACCGTATCCCATCATATCCACATGTGTCTCATATGATGGTGGACTGTGTCCTATATTATCCATATTGTGTTCTATGTTATTCAAAATACATCCAATATTATTTGCGATATTTCTCTTGAAATTCTGTATATTACCTTCAATTTTGGTATGCATAGTTTTGGATTCGAGTGCCAATGAAGAGCCCGGCCAATGAAATCGACAGGTCCTTATTTGAAGATGGAAAAATTAGTAAGGTATTTTTGTGCCCATTACTAAATCTTTTACTTTGAATAAAAGATGTTTACTGCGTTTACACAAACCAAAAAGAACCTTTGCGAAAGCATATTTGCACGTGCTCAAGTTATGAGTCAAAAGGCAGTGGGCATTTTTGGAAACTTTTCACTGTCCTTGCATTTCTTTTATATATTTTCATGTTTCACGGGTTAATTATTAAACTTTTATTGTTTTGAAGAAATCCGAAGAAGATAGCGACACGTGGGAATGGTATGTGACGTCATATGGGTTTTTTCTTAAATATACGTAAGCTCAATGTGATTATATTTTGTGTTTAGGTGGAATTCCTTCAGAACATTATGTCACAACACTAGAAAAGTTGGACTTGGTAAAGCATTGTCAGTTATGATAACTTTTGTTTAATTTTAATGACGTTCAGTTTCGTGTTTTCATTCCATTTGTCTGAAAGCTCTTGAAATCAGCAATGAATTGCCAACTGAGAAAGAAATCAAGCGATGGCTTGGCGAACCAATCAGGACGTTGATTATACCTACAAGAATTTTTTTGACCAATAAGAAAGGTGCTCTTATGAATGTATCGCATATGAAGTCATACATGGATGATGTCATATGTTTTTGACGTCACTTTCTATGTCAACAACCAAGCAAAGTAAATTAATAGAAGTCAATTCCTGTTATAGGTTATCCAGTTCTTTCCAGATCGCATCAACAATTTATTAGACATTTATTTAAGGTGGGTATGCAGTGAAGGCGACTACCGCTGAGGTTGCCGAAACGTCAGTCATCATCAACAACAACAGTCCTTCACAGGTCTCTACCAACCTGGACGATCTACATTCACAAACATTTGTAACGATATTCTTGGGTTCAAACCATTTACTTCATGTTGTATTTCATGTTTATTGTTAGCGAGCTTAATTTTTTCGATTTTTTTAGTTCAATGTGCAGTTCGTCATATCCGGATCAAATAAGATGCGGAATAAAGGAATGATTACGTATTATCAATATTTGGATCATCTATATTTGGTTTGTGCTTCTATTTCTTAATTTAGCGAACTTTCAGTTTACATTTTACCGTTTTCCAAATACTGCAAAAAATGTTTGGAGAATATGTTTGCTTGATGACCGACGGTACACACAGATTTCAGAAAAAAACTTTGACAAAGTCAATTCTCATGCAAGACTAGTGTAAATACGTACAGGCTATATAAATCACTGCTCTTAAATACTGCCCCGAAAAGCGTATTTGCCATATCGATGGGGCAACTATAGTCGGGATAGTTCTGCACAACTAGATTTGGTATGAATACGTACAGCTGAAACCACTTGATTCGTGATGTTTATCCTACACAAGATGAGATCATCACACTAGTTCTGGTATGAGTATAAATCGAAACACTCTAAGTAACACTTGACAGACTTTGACACTGTTGTGCTGTCCAATGAAATTCATTGCGTTGTTTTGCTCCCCTTTGTTAACTTCTTTTTAACTATCAAGGCTTTCCTTGTTGTTAACAATGAAAGATTTGCTTAACAAAGCAACAACTAATGTCAGCCGTGAAATACCGAGGCGTTTCTAACAACTTAAAGACAGACTAGGCCAGTTCTCGTTTCGTTTGTGTTCGCTGTACAAGTCCTCGATGACGGAAATTTCCGATGTTAAACCGAAAGGAACACGAACGCAGTGTTACACGTTACTTTTGAGCTTTACTGCGTGTATGAGGTTTATTTAAAGTGGCTTTACGTATTTCCTTCATCTTCTAGACAAGACCACCTTTAGACTGCTACAGTCAGTTCTCCAAAGGCTACGAAGATTATTTACAATGTCCTTTACAGGTTCGTGTTGTACACATGTTTTATAAAGAAATGCTCAAATGTGACGACTGTGTATTTTTGAATTCAGCCTCTTATGGACAATCTTGAATCACAAACGTATGAAGTGTTTGAAAAAGATCCCGTCAAGTACAATCAATATCAAGAGGTATCCCCCATTAACATTTTGTTGAGTCTTCAAACATCGTTCTGCATTCAGCATTTCCTGTTGTTCATCTACGTAGGCTATAAGACAGGCGCTCATTGACCGTGTATCGGATAAAAGTATAGAGTCGGCAGTCACGTGAGTTTCTACCAGTCAGCGTTGAACTGTATTATAAACTGGAACGCTAACCTTGCCGCCATCTTTGAAACCGAAATGGAAGATAGTTTCTTTGGTTTTAGAGGTTTCCTGATATTTATTGAAACAATCAACCACCATACTCACGATATACGTATCGTAGCACAAATTGTCATCTTAGGTTTTACCGCATGGGCTCTGGTAAACAACCATAAATCTCAGATAAAAAATGCGTCTTAACGTACTTCAAAATGGCTTATAGCACTAGTATTGGTGTTAGCGTCCCAGTTTATATACAGTTCAGTTTCAGCCATACTGTATTTGTCATATCTCGTGATGTTTTTCCGTCAGGGTAGTGATGGTTGTCGGAGCGGGTCGTGGCCCACTCGTCAGAGCTTCGTTTGCCGCCAGTAAAGCATGCGGTCATGCCATAAAAGTTTACGCGATCGAGAAAAATCCAAACGCTGTTGTGACGTAAGTAGGATTTTCATTCGAGATTGTTGGAAATATTTTTTATCAAAAACTTTATTGTGCTTGATTTTCTTTATTTCTTATTCACCCCAAATTACAGTTGACCAATCACCGTTTGCAAAAAGAGCACGTGATACGACTTTGTTTCATCCCCACCTGTCCCCTCCTAAGTTCCTTTTGCGACATACTGCTTAAATAGCTTTAGATTCATGAGTGATGTTTTTGATGTTTTTTCATAAGATTGCTCACACTTAAACAAGAGGAATGGGGCGATAACGTGATTGTCGTGTCCTCGGACATGCGCGAATGGAATGCTCCTGAAAAGGTATTTAAAATTTCTGTCTAGTCGTTGTCATCTTCAGAATTAGATGACGAAACTAACGTTGACGTGGACGATCGACATCTGCAAATGTGGATGATTTATTGTTTAACTTTTTCTTTCAAAGGCAGACATCTTGGTCAGTGAACTGTTGGGGTCATTTGGGGATAATGAATTATCGCCGGAGTGTCTGGATGGTGCTCAACGCTTTTTAAAGGGTACATGTAGGGATATCTGTAATAACGTAAATTACTTTGACCTTCAGAAAGTGATGTAGCCAGCCCGCAAGTTTTAGTTCAGCTATGTAAGTTTCAGGTCGTTGGTGTTGTTCATTTCTTTAGAACTCTGTTATTTTTACAATTAATGAACACAGAAAAATTTACATTGTGCATCAAACTTGCTGGCTCGCTTCGCCACTGCCTTCAGTCTTCCTCAAGATCTCTTGCGTAGAGGAATATTAAGAGTTCTTTATTTTATCAATATAAAAAAACAACAATTACATTAATTTTGTATTATTAGATTTTGTACCGAACAATGTTCGCGCTTATGTATGAGATGTTTTGTCCTAAATGGAGGAAATATCCTTTCGTAGTTACATCTACACAATTAGAAAATCTTTTAAATAAAAACGAATTAAATTATGAAATAATTGTTTATATGCTTTGCAGATGATGGCATATCAATCCCAGAATCCTATACTTCATATTTGGCGCCATTGTCGTCGGCCAAACTTCATTACGAAGTATCTCAATGTCGCGAACCAAATAAAGGACCACAGGTTTGTTGATGAACCAGAACCGAGTATATTTAATATACATACGTAGTGGTTTGAGTTTTCATGGAAAAGTACGCTTGGTCTGTCTTTTAGTTAAAAAGTACTTAACATATCTTGGAAAAGTATGCTCGGTCTGTCTTTTAGTTAGAAAGCTTTTAATATATCTTGGAAAAGTACGCTTGGTCTGTCTTTTAGTTAGAAAGCTTTTAATATATCTTGGAAAAGTACGCTTGGTCTGTCTTTTAGTTAGAAAGCTTTTAATATATCTTGGAAATGTACGCTTGGTCTGTCTTTTAGTTAGAAAGCTTTTAATATATCTTGGAAAAGTACGCTTGGTCTGTCTTTTAGTTAGAAAGCTTTTAATATATCTTGGAAATGTACGCTTGGTCTGTCTTTTTGTTAGAAAGCACTTAATATATCTTGGAAAAGTGCGCTTTGTCCGTCTTTTAGTTAGAAAGCTTTTAATATATCTTGGAAATGTACGCTTGGTCTGTCTTTTAGTTAGAAAGCTTTTAATATATCTTGAAAAGTACGCTTGGTCTGTCTTTTAGTTAGAAAGCTTTTAATATATCTTGGAAATGTACGCTTGGTCTGTCTTTTTGTTAGAAAGCTTTTAATATATCTTGGAAAAGTGCGCTTGGTCTGTCTTTTAGTTAGAAATCTTTTAATATATCTTGGAAAAGTACGCTTGGTCTGTCTTTTTGTTAGAAAGTACTTAATGCATCTTGGAAATGTACACTTGGTCTGTCTTTTAGTTAGAAAGTACTTAATACATACATCGATAGTAAACCTTCTGTTAGAATCACATGGTTTGACAAACCTTTGTTCATAAACCTTGCTGTTCAAATGTGAATAGTTTCTTTTTTCATTTTGCAGTATTTTAGTTTGAACGACAATTTCTCCATTGACCAGTCACTTTTCTCTATGCTTTCTAATATTGTTCAAATTTTCATAAAATGAATTGTTCGTTGTTTTTTTTCAGGCCCCATTTGAAACACCTTACGTTGTGAGACTTTGTAATGTTGACATTGTCGCTGAACCCAAGGCTTGTTTTCATTTCTCCCATCCAAATAAAGGTTTGTAAGAATTTACACTCTTAAAGAATCATTGTCGACCACAATGCAACGCGCGCTCATATGATCTTCGTTGCCATTTTTTTGGTCCAATAAATAGACTCACTGTATCAGTTTATAATCCGTGGATATTCTATGCATCTTTTGTGGATGTATAAAAATTTGTGTTGTTTTTGGATGAAAAAGGATTTTCAGGAGCTTGCTAGTGATTTTTTTCATAAACGTATCTGTTTGGGTGATTTTATAATCATTCAAACTATAGCTACCTCAACGGTTAAAAACATGCCTAAAAGAGGAAGACCAAAACTTGGTATGTTGGTAGACTTCGTATAACTTTTAGAAGTCGTACAAAGAGTGTATGAGGAAGACCATCGTGTTTTGGAAGGAATTATAAACGCATATAAACAAACAATCGACGCGCGTTGCATTGTGGTCGACAATGATTCTTTAAGATACAAACAAATCCTTCGATCAACTATTCATTATTTGTGGTAAACAACTCTACTAAGTTCACTTGACTCTGAAGATGACTCTCGAAATGTCAATCAACATCAAAACCAGCAGTCCTTCTCAGGATTCTACTAACCTGGACGATCTACATCTACAAACATGTAACGATACTCCCGGGTTCAAACCATTCACTGTAAACCACAGTTTTAGTGAATATACAGTAAAGCTACCTCCAATGAATTTTTTCGCGCCACGAACATCATATCACGCATGTGATTACCATAGTGGCAGCCAGTCAATTGCTTTTTTTGACCAATAGAAATGATGAAATGGCTAACGGCAGCCAGTAAACTAATTAAATATACAGCAGCCAGTTGCACAAGAAGTGGAGCTACTGTATATTTCCTATACTGTGCTGTGAACAACTCTCTTGTTCTGTGTATTTTTATACAATCTCTCCTGATCTTTTAGATGTCCCCATCGACAACAGCCGTGCGGCAACAATTGATTATCAAATGCAGAACTCCTGTCTTATACATGGTTTTGCCGGTTTCTTTCGAACGGTTTTGTACAAAGATTTATTTTTAAGTAAGTTGAACTATCCATGGTCTTTATCGCATGATCATTTGAGCATTTCACCGAAACCTAGGCTGTATCAAATTAGGAATTTTCTCTTGTATAAAATTTTTGCACAAGGAAGCAGATTCCAAATAATGATATTCAAGAATTGAATTGAACACAAGGCGTAGCTAAAATTAAGTGTAAATTTTCCATTTTTATTTTTCAAAACCCTCTTCAGACATAAAGAAACATAGTACTTTATTACGGTACAAATATAATACACAGTGAGATAAAGTTAAGTATATACGTATCTGAATATTTGAGTTACGTAAATTGAGTTAAACATGAGTCTTCTTTTCGGAGTATGCTTCATATTAGAGTGACTTTAGCAAAAACGACGTTTCGTCCAAGACGCCGTGAAAGTGGCGTGACATGCGCCTTTTACTTCCGGTTCAATCTACGACGGCAGTCGTCTTGACGACGACGACGTGAAAACATACAATTTGGCCTCGTATCGACGACGGCTGAAACAAACTTAATTTTCAGACAAAAATAAGGAAATATCCTTGATATTTGCATGTTAAAAGATTATATAGGCCTACATATATTCATTTAAAAAAAAAATGCGAATATTTTATTTCCTAAAGCGAAAAAAGCAAACAAATAAACAACCCGGGTTCTGCTCTGATTTCGGGGGCTTCCTCGGAGTCAAAACAATTTTAGTCACAAAGCCGTATGTCGATGATTTTGCTTTTATTTCTAATTTTATTGATATGAATATACAGCAGTATATTTTTGATATCAAAAAATTAGTTTAAAATGATCGGAAAACACGATTCAGCGGAAAAAATGACAAAATGGATGAAACCTGTTTCATACCATCATTTGGCGAAGTCCTACAAAAGGTTTGCTAAGTCGCAAATACTTTACGACGTGGTGGCGTCCTAGACCCAGATCCCTCGCGAAAATTTGACGACGTCTAGAGTCTAAGACTTAGACGAAACGTCGTGTTTGCTAAATCACTCTATTATACTACATAAAGTCGACTGGTTATAGTCGTGATAGTACGTATCTGAAGAAGTTTGAAATAAAATCAAAATTTTACACTTGATTTTAGCTTCGTGCCTTGTTTGATTCAAATGTTGGATTTTAAGGTGGCTTTAATCTGCAGAGTCTGTTTCTTTGTGTATATATATATATAAAAACTTATAAAACCATAATTATATATATATCCATAATTTATATATATCCATAATTTCTTAAAAGCACGATGGATATCAGACATTTTAAATGAACGACGAGTTTTTTTATCGTAAACATGTTTCGGCATGCTTATGCCATCTTCAGTACATCGAATGAAGGTGATTAGCTATTTACAGGATATATATATATGTATGTGACTATCGTTAAGTGTATTAAATTACAAAATTAGTGTTAGATATTATATTATATTTAACCTGTAATATAATATAATATCTAACACTTTAATACACTTAACGATAGTCACATACATATATATATATCCTGTAAATAGCTAATCACCTTCATTCGATGTACTGAAGATGGCATAAGCATGCCGAAACATATTTACGATAAAAAAACTCGTCGTTCATTTAAAATGTCTGATATATATATATATTTTAATTTTCGGTTGAACGTAGGTTCTTGTAATAATTCTATAATAATTCTAAAATATTAATATGTTTTGTGTATGCTTTATGTTTCTTTAACATATGATATTTTATCTAGTTTTAATTGAGTTTTTTCCTTATTTTGAAAAAAACATTGTATCGTGTTTTGCTTGAGATTTTCTTATTTTGAAAGGCATCGTTCCCGAAGATCATTCAGAAGGAATGTTCAGTTGGTTTCCTATTTTTTTCCCAGTTCAGGTAACGTGTGTGGGTTATTTAACTTGCTTTCCCTTTGCTTTGTAAAGCAGTCGCGTTTGCACAGCGCACTTGCAATTTGATCATGCGCATTACACTCCAAACGATGAATAGCTTAATGTTGTAAATTGTAAATGATGTTTGAAAAACAATATGGCGGCATACGGAAAAGTTTGAGCAAGTTTGGACAATGTAAATTTCGTATAGTTTATAGCAGATGCAAAAATTTTGGCAAGTAATAAGAGATAAGAACAATTTAAAGTTCTATACAGGCTATTTGATTTGCCCCTGACCTACAGTAAAACTCAGAAGTAACTTAACACTGCGCTCGCGTTCCATTTGCGTTTCGAAAGCGTTCCAAAAAATATAGGGGACACGTTCTGAACACGTGCCCAGTTTTTCAAATAAACGTTGGTATAACATAGAAAATTTCCTAAATTGAACACTTGTATAGCGATTATAAATGATGATTTACAGATCAATGATCGTATGGGCCAACAACGCGTTCTGATACGCGCTTCATCTTAAGTCGAACGCATTTGGAACACATTTTTGAACACATTTTTGAACGAGCTCGGAACACGTTTTCGGTAAACATCTGAGCGGTACTGTATTCTAAATGCTGTTTATTATCTACGAAACGATCGTATATGAGCCGTTGATAAAAGTCATTACTCAACAGCGGTATTATACATCACGTGGTAGAGTGCATGCGCTGTATCATATTTTCATATGTCCTTTTCAGCATCCAATCTACTTGCCAGAGAACTCCTTCTTACGTGTTCATTGCTGGCGAAAGGTTTCACGGACCAAGATCTGGTACGAATGGTGTATTTCAAAACCACACACCATTCCTATACATAATCCTTGTGGAAGATCGACTTTCATCGGGCTCTAACTCATTTTATGTACCGTCTTCTTTCAACGGATGAAAACAAGTTGCCAAAAACTGCACTGAACACTTTCGAATCGAATGGAGTGCACATTTAAACACTGGTTTTCAATGAACATTTTTAAGTATGGTCGGAATCGCTTGTTGACACTTCGTCTTCAAGATAGTTCGGCTTGTATAAAATGTTAGATTGTATTTTATCTGTAATATTGCACAGTAAATTGTAGAGTTAACGGATGTAGCATTTTTTTCGTAGTTGTGAAATAGATATTTCTCCATCAAAAGTTCGTAATATCTCTTGCACCATACTTTATGTAAGAAAGAAATTAAGATGCTTACTACGTATGTTTGCACTGGTTTATGAAAACCTAACCTTTGGGAGATTCGAGAGCAGATCAGCGAATCAGCGGTTTACGCATGCTCAAAAGTTCTCACAAACGTCTTCGAGGTTTGCATAAGCCTGTGCAAACACGAAAAACACCTCTTTTACGAAAGTATAAGTTGTGAGAGATGTGCAGCGCAAGTCGTTTTCTTAGCACATTTTTACCGTCTGATCCACAGTCTATAAAGGACGTTTTCCTATCCATGGTGGGATTTTTTTGACACGCCACGTTTAGTTTTATTCTATCAATTAACCTTAATTATGGGTGAATGCAAATTGTAACAATAACAAAATATCAATCTTTACTTAGCTATAGAAATATCAATTGAGCGCACATTTCATTCTACACAATCTTCGACGTTCCAACAAGCATCAATGAGATCACCAACCTTAAAAAGAGAGATCAAAATGTAGCTGAATGGGCTTTGAATATAATCTTCGACATCACCTACCTTCGTTACCAAAGATTGATGTGATGAGAAGTGATGGTGAAATATTGACCACCATCCTCAAGGCCCCGCTTTTGAAAGCATAGACCAATTTCAGGTAGATGTGGATTTTAGTTGAATCAAAATATTCGTCATTTTCTACAACAGCAACAACATACGCAAATGGTTGCCATTTGTCTTTATTTAAAAAGTATGCCAATGCTCCAGGTCACCGGAAACGAGAACTATGTCATTCTCAAGTTTTACTTTGACTGCATCTTGGAACATAGCTTCTCAGTTGGAAATATCCAATTTTACCGAATTGTGGATACATTTTAAAATGACGCCATATGTGTTTGTGGTTCGAGCTTTAATAATATCATTTTCTCCATCAACCCCATAAGAAAGCTCTTGACTTGCTTTATTCGAACTCTAAGCAAGGGTCTCAATATCATTTATAGCAAGCTCCTGAAAATTTTCCTTTTCCCTTATGTCAATTTTTATTATATATATTTGTATATTCAAGACCAATCTTGTATTGTTTCAGAGAAACAGCCAATTTGTAAAAGTTCACGAAAGTCTTCGAAAAAATACGACAAGTTCACAAAGTAAGTTTCGATATCTACTGACATTACCCTGCATGTATCATGGAATAATAGAATTATTTTTGAAGAAGAACATGGTTAATGTATATTACTGGTTAATGTAATCTTTGTGCCATGCCTTTGTATATATCTCCACTTTTATGTCTACTCTTGTATTTGCTGTTGTGTCTACCTTTATGTCTACCTTGAAGAATACGTTTGTGTTTATGCCTTTATGTCGGCCTTTTTACCCTTGTGTGTTACCTTTGTGCCTATTTTTCATGTTTTTTATGTATACCGTTTCTTACCTTTTTCTCTTCCTTTGTTTTCATTTTTTGTGTCTGCCTCTACGTCTACCATATGCATCGAAACATCCATGTGCAAAACCTTAAGTTGCAATAGTTGCTTTAACATCGTGACTTGTATATTGACAATTTTTACGAGAATATTTTCACAGCTTCTTAACAGTTTCTTTAAGTAAGTCGTATCCACTGACGAGTAAAACAAACTACAACACTTTAGAAATATTTCCGTTACTTACAATAGAAACTTGACCAAATTACATGAATCCATTCATACTTACTTTCATCGGCATTTCTGTATTTATAGTCGTTTTCAATGGATTTTGAAGTAATCTTTGCCACATCTTCTGTTGTATAGACGAGTCAATCAGCAAGCAAATCACTCTTATTTATGTAATAATTTAAACATTGTGAAAGAGCTTTTAAAACTGCTAAGTTTTGACTTCGTTATCACATTTTAAACATATACATAGTCGACCTTTATATTTTACTCAAGTTTGAATTAAAATCTTATTCCGCAGTTCCACTACAAAATATTTCACACGGTTCTCAGGCTCCTTGTGATATGCAAACTACAATGTCATCTGAATGAATGTCATAATTTTCAGCATCTCTTTCCACGCATACACAAATGACACAACTCTATTCTTTGTGCTTGCTTGGTTTAAGTTAATTTACTTAAATGTCAAAATTAGTTTTGACATAACATAGCGAAATTATTCCCTTTGGGAAAACCTCTTCAATCTAAAGTTAGTTCAAGTCCTCAAATTTTTCTCATCCTTTAACTCTTAGGTCTACTTAAAATGTCGAACTTTACATGACCCGAACGCATTTAAAACAAAAGATAATTAGGACGTTCATCTCATTTTCTTTTGTCTTTAATGCATTCTGTGCACGTAAAGTTGTTGTTTGAAACAGGCCTTACATATCTTTACTTTCTAATTGCTTACTCTTGACTTACGCTACATGTCTTCCCACACTTAGCTAAGGACAGTGGAATTGTAATAAGGTGACTTAACGTCAAAAATCACTTAAAAATTTGAAAGAACAGATTAGACGGTGCAGCATTTTTATGAAATGAAGTTGACATAACTGTCTAGCTTTATTACAGACATTTAGATCGACTTTAATGTTTACATGTTACAGAATGCATGTAAAGAAGAAATTCTTGAAGTCGCGTCTCATATTTTAAGAACAACAAGAAAAGATAATTGAAAGCAATCTTTGAAAACAATTAACAAAAAAATACGCACTTGCTCCTAATTTTCAATGAACAAATACACTGGATTGCATATTTTATAATATGTAATGAAATGAAATCATTGTGAGAAGTTTCATCATTAATTTTTACGTAAATTGTTCTTTATAACTCTGGTTACTTTCCTTTTCCTATCCTGTGGAACAATATCTTATATTGCAACCTGGTGTCCCATTAATTTTATAAACATAAAATGAACCACAGTTGAGAACTTTTATAGTACGTCTCCACCAGCAACACTTTTTATTAAGAGAAAAACAAACAGTACGTTCAACAATCCCATCATTCACTCCAGCATGACCTCCTGTTAAATGTCCCGGAACAACTGTACCACAACGTTTGTCACCTTGCTTTACACATCCTGTGAACATTTTGGTTCCAGCACTTCCACCAAATCTATGCCAACCAGACAATGATGAATCACAGTAGCGGTCATATGACGTATAGTCATATCTTCTGTTGGACTCTTTTAACCACTTGTACTGACCTCCACATACTAAAAGTTTTAATTGAATCCAAGGAATTGTTCCATTTAAGTATTAAAATCTGCTACTGTTTTTGCTACTATCCATCTGCAAGTTTAATCCACTGATAAAAAATCGTTTGCTCAACATACCAATATGGATGAATGCTATTAAAACCATGGCATAATTCTATTTTTAAGCTTATTAACCCTTTAGGAAGTGATTCAAACGTTGACTTGGTTCTCATTTCGTTCGATGATTTTTGCAAATCTGCTACAATACCACTTTAAAAATACTCACAGCAGCGTTTGTTTTTTACTAGAATGATAAACACTTTCAGTATGTATCTTGTCGCATGCGTTGTTTGTTGCGGTGCACGAGTTTCACAAACATTTTGGTGCACGTACATAGCACGTACGCCTTGGTGTTAAATTGAATTCAAGTTAAAACTTTAATTTTCTATAGTTCAAAGAGACGGCTATTCCCAACTACTTTTCCCAACTTTAATTTTCACACACTGTTTATTTCGTCATTTGCATGCTTTTGTAGACAACAAACACGCCAAAATCTCTCATTTCCTCGGCAATTGACATAAAAAATGACTACTGCTAGGGATGTCAAAACGTCCGCCAAGACTGAAGTAACATGGACGATCTACATCTAGCGAAACGAACACGCAAAAGGACTCCTGGGTTTGAATCATTCACTCCATTTACTTCGTTAATCTTTATGTATCTTTAATGTAGCTATTTTGCAGTGACCTAGCTAGCTCGATAATGGGAGGGGGTATGATAAGATATTTATGTTCTGCCGTATTAAGTTTCTTTGAAATCGGTTGTTTTTATTACAACACGTATATATGAATACTGGCTCCCCAATCATCGATACTAGTACACCACAATGAAAAATAAAACGTTCATGAATTAATGACTGAAAATATGACTAAAACCACCAAAACTTACCTAAATTGATTTTGTTGTAGTTTGGTTTAGAGAAAACCAATTTTGTCTTCAATTTTGCATTTTCATTTTTAATCTTTTTCAGTTCAGCAGAAATTATTTTGAAATCATTTTGCAGCTTTTCATTGCTCAAATTCATTTTACGTTTCCACTCAGCGTCTGTTGCCTCAATTTTTTTCATCAGTTTATTAAATTTTGCTTCCAATTTTTTGTTGACCTTGCAGTAAAGAAATAAAAGTTTATAAGTGAAGTCTAACATCATTGACTTGTTTTTTTTTGCAAAACTAGGCTGGTGTGATATCAAATTATAGAATTCTCAAACTGTTATAACTACTGCATATTTACCTCCATTTCCTGTGAAAGTATGTTCCATGTTTTGTTTGATCTTACATAAAGTTTCTTTTCATCCAGACGATATTCCAGTAATCCCGGTATTTTAGGAACTTTCTGTTCAGTTTTGTTGTCAGGGACAACAACAACCTTAAAATAAAGCAAACACGTTTATATATTATTTTCTTCAGTATTTTTATTATTCGTTGTTCTTTTGTCTATATGTTTACATTCTTACCCCACTGTTTAAACGTAGTTTGTTTTCTTGCTGACATCTTCCCTAAAACAATCAACAAAATAACCATTCATCTTTATTTACAATAAACTTAATTCTCAAACGCTCTTTGATTTAACTACAACCGTATAACAGTGTCACCTTCTTAGGAGCTGCAGAATCTCCTTTTAAGATGTACCATTGCATCTGACCAAATTCATCTTCACTTTGATACTCCATACATTTGTTCCACAGTCGTTTGGGAAGATTGGATCTCACCCAGATCCAGGTATAGATATTTTTACTGTTGATTATCGATCCACCATTGATGGCGTCACATTTTGTACCACAGTAATTATCTGTTCCTCCCGGTGGACCAAAACATCCACAACACTGATGTAAAACATACAAAAATGACAGATTTATTTCAATTTAATATTACCATTTACTGTCACTTACTGTTCCGTCATAACATCCAAGATAAGCTGTGGAATTATGAAATACTCCTGATCTTGAATTTGACGCACTGTAACTGTTTAAAGTTTGATTTTAGTTTTATACCTTAACGATAAAAAGATACAGACGCTAACCTAAAAGCTGCATTAAATTGAAACTTGATTGGTTTTTGACCTTTTAGATGTAAATATCCTGAACCACTGCAAGGTTTCTTTAGGCATTCATTCATCATCGACTATAAAAAATGAACAAAAACCTGCTGTTGTTTAAACTTTTTTCAAAAAATTGAATGATAATTTTTTTACCCATCCAACTTTAATGTGAGAGCCAGTGTTGGGTCCAAACACTGAACACTTAAAAGATCTTGTTGTTATCTTTTCTGTTATTAAATCTTTAACGTAAGCTATGTCTCCAATTCCTGGCATTTGATGACTGCAACCACGATCAGTAATCATTAAGTTTTTCAGTTTCCTGGTTTGTCGCAGTCTGTAAAACCTGGCAAAAACATTATTCTTTGATGAAGTTTTATGTCTACATAACATCACTTGTACTTGAATTGAAAAAAATATGGAAATACCATTTAATTAGATTTGAACAGTTTTTAAATTTTTACTCTACCAATGAGATTTTGTATCATCAAACGAGTCACTTGTAGACAACTGTATTCTAAAATCCAATATGGGAGCGTCTCCTAGTTGACTTGTCCAATATTTGCCTTTGCTAAATGGATGAACGGGCTTATCTATTGACGGTATGTCCCACGTGACAGCATCATATTTTCTTGCAACGAGCGTAAATCCACCACCATCTGTCTTCATGTCACACCATACCTTAAATAAAGACGCATATTATTCAAATCATAACAAATATGACGCCATCATATTTTGATGATCCCACATTTACCTTTCGTTTGTTACTGCCTCCGAAATCTATCCAATAATATCCATCTTGAACATCTTCTTCTCGATTTAAAATATCTGCGCAATCGTAGCCTGGATTTAAATATTCACCAACAAACGCCTTTCCTTGTGATTTAAATAAATAGAAGGAATACATAAAGTTAAATAGACCACTTTGGCGGTTAGATTTGAATAAAAACACGTGCTCGCTAAGTGAAAAACTCGGACAAACATGGCGGAAAGTCATAACAATGACTAATTTGCTATATGAAATAGAAATATTTTTCGCTCTCTTGCAAATGTAGCGGCGAATCAAACTTAGTCATAGTTGTTGTGCGTCAACAGATATACGATGTGAGTAAGCACAGCAACTCGTTACAAGCTAACCACACAAGCCCGACCACAAAGCATGAAAGCACTATAACGCGCTTAGAAAGAACTAAGTCATCCCACTATTACGTGCAGGATATGACGGAGAACACTCCCTTTAGTTACTATATAAATGCACGACAAAATATAGAATAGGACAAGATATAGAATAGGACAAAATATAGAATAGGACAAAATATAAGCGCTAAAATGGAAGAAAGGTTACGTGAAGATAAATTCAAAGCTATGAAACTGCCAGAATTAAAAAGTTACTTGCAGAGTAGAGGTATAACCGTAAGTAGTTATCTGAGGCCGTATTCCATTATTTTAGCCTACACTGGTTTTTGGCCATCATTTCACCATGGTAGGAAAAGCAACATTTGCTATATTGCATGTGTTCCTTTAAAGCATGTAATGTTACAATAGTAACCAATTTCATATTTAGGCATATTCTTGTTCTGGACTCTTTAACTTGGGATAAAGAAGACAAGAAATCTACATTTGAATATATTTCACAGTAATTGTTTTTCCATTGCACTATGCCTACTCTCATTGCTATGTTACTGTTGGATAAGAATTTTTACTTTTCATTCTGAAGATATTTGGACTACACCTTTCAAAAGCACAGCATCAAAAGAAAGCATCGTTCTCATCATATGTTAAAAGTGAGTTCTTATCATACCACCAATAAAATATATTGTGCAAATAAATCTTGCTATATGCATTATTTGGTAAGTCCCACAGCAGGAAATCTCTTCAAACCTCTGTGCTGTTTTTGTATCACTTTTTATTAAATACTTTTTGAAGGTAATTATGGAAACTACATGTTTCTTCAAGTTAGAGCCTAATAATAGGAAAGATGTACTCAATGCAATAACATAGGGAAGAGTGCTTACTTTTTCAATCTCACAACATTTTTTAGGATATTGAAAAATATGAGAAATGTCCCAATGATTTCATTCTCATGGAACATAAACGGTTCAGTAACAAGGATGCAACAATGGAAAGAAATAAATGGCACAGAACTTTGCACACATTGTTTACTCTGCATTGATCTAAGTTTATTAACACAAAGGAATATTTTATTGTATATTTTTTAAAGCTTCTATATACAATGTTTTTAAGGTGATGCAATAATCTGTGGTTGCAAATTAACCAATGCTGCACAGATAGACACAACAGAATCAATATATGATTTCATTGTTAATGGGACTACACCTTGTAATATACTAAATGACTTCAGTCGTTGAATAATTCTTTCAATGTGAATCCTCTTTGTAGCTACTCTCCTTGTCATTGTTGTTGCACCAGTGCCAACATTACCTTTATGCATAATTGAAGGTGAAATTAAACGGACATGTTGAAGGGCAAGTAAATCCTGGATATTAAATCCTTTGTCAGCCATGACTTCATCCCCTGCAGCTAACTCTTCCAAAAATCCACATCTCTTGATGATTTCCTTGTCGCTTATGCAACCACTGAACAATGTAGAGATATAGTTGATATGTAGAAGCGGTGACATGGAAATAAATAGTTTGAAGGTATTTCTGCCTTTGTAGTTACTATGTGTCCGACATTGACTTGAAGGAAGAGAAGGTTTTTGTATATAGAATTCTGTGCAATCAATTATTGCACGAAGACATGGATTAGATTCGTAAACTTTAGGCCGGGTTATTCCTTCCATGTCTTTCAAAGTGGTAAATGGAATAAATAACTTTAATTCCTTCTCAAGAAACTTCACCCATGTCAAAAATATGCTGCTACCAACAGTTTCTGACATTCCAAATAAATCACATAACATCTTGAGACTAGGGAATCTTTTGATCCTGACCAATGTGAATATAAATTGCTCATAAACTGAAAGTTTAGCCCATGTAGAAGTTTTGTGGATCTATAAAATGATTAAGTGCTTATCATTCATTACACATAGGTAGCTATTAACTGCATTACACAACTATTAACTTGAGTATTTACTTGAGCAATATGTATGATTATATATTACTGTACCCTAGCACTGCTCTTTTTTTCTTGTTTATATTTTGCTGTTTTCTTCACTTTCCATTTGATAAGCCTGGAAGCCTTTGCTTTCACGAACTCAAAAAGTATTTTCAACATTTCACCTGGTAGGCCTACAGATAAATAAATTCAGAGTAGCTCACAAAGTCCTTTATTATTTCCACTAGCTTTTTTAGTTATAATCAACAAAGTAAAAAATGAAATTTTATACCTGTATAATGGGCTGAATCATTAACCACATTTTCTAAAAACATGCATTTCTGTATATTGCTGGTGTTAACCAATGACTCAGTCGCATAAGTTTTAAGATGTTCATGAGTTAGGTTGGTTTGAACAGCAGCATCTTTTTTCTTTAAAACAAGAAGTTCGTCTTGGTCCTCTTGGATATCACGGGATGTTGTACTATTCTCACATAAGGATAGGAGGTGTCAGCTACGTCTCTTTTAGCGTGTTCCCTTTCGCTCAAGCAAAGAAGAGCCTCTGCTGCATCGTTTTTGTAGATTGACGCTCGTTTTGGTGGCGGATTATATACCCTCGTCATTGTTTTTTTTCATTTTCCCGTTAGTTTTCTTCTCTATATGAATTTAAAATGAATGTATAAGCTTATAAAACGTTCAGCAAGCTTTCGTATAATTCACACATTTATGACAAAAAAGCAGTCAACACTTACATTCTCAATACTTTGTATCGCTGAAATAGGGTCTGGGTTATCTACAGTAGGACCATTTTCTCCCACAAAATGAAGACTGCAAATATAACTGTCTTTCGTACACACAAATCTGTCACCTCGATGACACGCACGAATCCAGCGCTCTCGCTTGTTGCTATGGTATTTCTCCCCAGGAAAATGTAAAAAAAATACTTTGCTTCTACTTGCGTCTCGTTTTAAACGATCAGGATACCGCGAATCGCTTTTGCAGGTTCCCCAAGCGCACCTCTTCGTCGTAACCATTGTTATAAAATTACTCCGCCACGTATCGTTATTATTATTGCATTATATTTAATCATACGAGTTTACATTGAATTTTGCTATGCTCTATTAATCTCTTGTCCTATTCTATATTTTGTCCTATTCTATATCTTGTCCTATTCTATATCTTGTCCTATTCTATATTTTGTCGTGCATTTATATAGTAACTAAAGGGAGTGTTCTCCGTCATATCCTGCACGTAATAATGGGATGACTTAGTTCTTTCTAAGCGCGTTATAGTGCTTTCATGCTTTGTGGTTGGGCTTGTGTGGTTAGCTTGTAACGAGTTGCTGTGCTTACTCACATCGTTTATCTGTTGACGCACAACAACTATGACTAAGTTTGATTCGCCGCTACATTTGCAAGAGAGCGAAAAATATTTCTATTTCATATAGCAAATTAGTCATTGTTATGACTTAGTATTGTTATGACTTTCCGCCATGTTTGTCGAGTTTTTCACTTAGCGAGCACGTGTTTTATTCAAATAAAACCGCCAAAGTGGTCTATTAGTATCATATTACGGCATCTGATTTCTGAAAAGGTCAAAGAATCATTTAAAACATTCTTTTTCATGTCATCTCCATATTTATCTATCAACTTCCGGTTCTTTTTATGTTAAAACCAACCATCCAAAGGCTTCCATAAGTATTTTCCATTTTCTTTACTGCAAATCCACAGTTTTGTTTCATCGTTTCTGTCTTTTACAGAATACACTTGAAATGCTTTAGTTTGATTACAGGAGCCTGGGTCATAGTCATCGACATTCACGACGCTCTAAAGATGTCAGTATAAAACATAAAATTTATTTCGTTGTTTTTCTAAAGAAATACCTAAAGTTTACTTCTTTTGTAGCTAAATTACTTACCACACTTACGGACATTGGAATTATAATGACGCTAAATAAGGTCAAAATGTAAAGAACCAAACGATTTATAGAATTCATAATATGGAAATTCTTGCTGGTCGTTGTTAGAGAATCTTTATGGCAAAACGTCCGTAATAATATATGCGTTTTTCTTGAAAAATTTCTCTTAGTTTTTATTTTGAACCTCGACGCATAGAGTTTAAATAGACGTTTACTGAAACGTGATCTATGTTGTAGTGAAGACTGTAAAGTCGGTAAATAATATGATCATATAGTGTTACAGTTGATTAGTTTTAAATGAGATTACTATAACTAAAACCATCTGTTGTTAATATTAAAATCAGATCACGCAAACTGAACCACAAAACATTGTAAGTTTTCAATTTTATCTTTTCCGGACTGCAAGAAGACGTTCTGATCTACGACCATCTATCAAATGGTATTGAGAAATTTTTATATTGGCCAATTTTTTGGTTTTCATATCCATAGAAGACGTCATCACGAATAAAACGTAAAGTCTAATTCATCACTGTTCTACGTCACGAAGGCGCGCAATATTAAGATCAGTTCGAGCGTAGATTTCACAGCAATCAGTTACAAAAAGCAACCGCCCTTTATAGGATAAGTGAAGCAATGACTGCAATGAGTGAATCACTCAGGTTAATGCAGCAAACGTCAGTATCCTTTTCAGTAGAGTCTATTCTTAAGAAGAAAGCAAGTGCTTTAATCCCTGAACCAGTATATGACGCTGATTGTGAAATCTTGTTGGCACAAAACGAAGAACCTTCGACCAAGCGCAATTCTGAAGCAGAATAACTAGCAGTTGACCCGTTGCTGGAAGAGATTTCGCAGACTCTGGACGAAAGTGACAAAATTTCACCAATTGTCAACGAGAAACTCGCTTCAATTATCAACCAGCGTTGGCTGAATAAGCTGAGCGACGAGCAATTGAAGGAAAAACGGGCTAAATGTTTTAGGCCTTAGACCTGCGATCGCCTTATTGTACCTAAGGTAAACACCAAAATTTGGGGAAAATTAGACCGCACAGCTAGAGGGCGTGATTTACAATTGAGTGCCATTCAATCAGCCCTGACGACTGTCGGTCATATAGCAGCACAAACCACCAATGATCTGTTGGTTGCCCGCAATAACAGAAGCGAACTAAATACCGATAATCGTGTTCGTATGAACGCTGATATCATAGCGATCCTGGGATATGTAAGTTTTGAATTGTCTCAACGACGACGTGACGCTATACGTCCCAATCTCCATCGAGAATTTAGTACTTTATGCCGTTCGCATGTTCCCGTTACGAAATATTTGTTTGCAGATGAATTGCAAACCCAAATTAATCACATTCGCACATCCAACAAGTTTTGGCAACGCGACAACAAGCTTTTCTCATACCACTTGGCAGCAACATTCCAAAGAAGAGAAATGACAATGGCGCCCTTTTTTATCCCGTCATCAGGGCAACACCCCATATCGGTCGAAAAAGAACCAATTCGGGAAGAAACGATCGGACATAATGAACGATCGCAAGTAGAAAACACTGAATTTTTAAGAAACTTTAAGACTTTACAGGTAAACCAGTATTTTTCTTTTGTAACCACGCTAATAGCGTATTTGGATGAAAGCTTGGAGACCTATCAGGCTTGCAGCATATCAAATTTTTTAAGAGCATGGGAAACACTTACCTCTGATAAGGAAATCTTAGAGACAGTGTCCGGACAAAAAAGTGAATTTGACACAATTCCGATTCAAAGAGCTTTAACCAAGCAAATACAGCTACCCAAGGTTGAAATGACAGTATTGATTTAGAAATTAATAAATTACGCAAAAAAGGCGTTTTGCAAAATCTCACCCTGAATCAGGGGAATTTGTATCTCCAATTTTCACTTGCCCCAAAAAAGACGGTTCTTTTCGCATGATTCTTTATCTGAAATCCTTAAACAGGCATTTCAGATATCACCATTTTAAAATGGAGTGTGTTTGGTCAGCTATTAAGCTTATGAAACCAAATTGTTTCATGGCATCCATTGATCTTAAAGATGCTTACTATTCCGTACTTATTCACCCAGCATATCAAAAATTCCTCAAATTTTGGTGGAGAGGGCAACTATATAAATTTGTCTGTTTTCCAAACGGCCTAGCCATCTGCCTACGAAAATTTACAAAACTCCTGAAACCTGTTTTTTCTAATTTACGTCAAAAAGAGCATATTTCGGTTAGATTTATTGATGATACTTGGCTGACATCCGACACATATGTTTCCTGTGTTCGGAATATTCGAGATACCATCTGTTTATTTAGTGAAGTGGGGTTTTACGTATATCCGGATAAGTCAGTTTTAGTTCTCTCACAATTACATTTTTGGGTTTCCGACTCAACTCAGTTCTTATGCGAATATCTGTGACGACGGAACGAGCTGAGAAGATAAAACGCATGTGTCATGAGCTGCTACAAGCTTCTAACCCAAAAATAAGGGATGTTTCTCGGGTTTTGGGCACTCTAACTTCGAGTCTCCCGGGCGTAATGTACGGTCAGTTGCATTATCGCTAGCTGGAAATGGATAAAAGCGATGCCCTTAACTTAAACCGGGGTAATATTGAAAAGACAATGACCCTGTCTTCAGAGGCCATACGTAATTTACGATGGTGGCAGTCATCAATATGCACGTATAACAGGCAGATTACTCACAATGAACCTAGCATATGCCTAACAACAGATGCGTCGTTGACAGGGTGGGGCTGCTCTCTAAATGGTGTATGTGCTGGGGGTAACTGTACGCCCTTGGAGGCTCCCAATCATACAAATTATTTGGAAATTCTTGCGGTATTGTTTGCCCTTGAGTCGTTTTCTTCAGAACTAAAAGGTCAACATGTTAAGGCATTAATTGATAATACTACCGCTGTAGCTTGCATTAATCAAATGGGCACACGCCACTCGAGGTCTATTTACAAGTTAACATTCAAATCTGGAGCTGCTGCATTTCGTATTATATTTGGTTGACAGCAGCGCACATTCCAGGATTACAAAATGTCACTGCGGATCGAGAATCTCGAATATCACGTAGAAAAACAGAATGGCAGTTGAACAAGACTCTGTTTACGTGTGCCATTCCAAAACTAGACGTAACTTCAAACATTGATTTGTTTGCGTCAAGGTTGATTAATCAAGTGAAACCTATGTTTCATACCAACCTGACTCGTATGCTATATCTGTCAACGCCTTTACGATATCGTGGGCCAACTATACATTTTATGCCTTCCCGCCTTTTAGCATAATTTCGCAAGTGTTACAAAAGTTAGTACAAGATAAAAGGACAGGACTAGTCTCAGTCCCTAAATGGCCAACACAAAGTTGGTGGCCAGCATTAATGCAGATGTTAATAGCACATCCTGTTGTTTTACCTTGAGGAAGAATGACCTTAACTCTTCCAGCTCATCCGGATCAAATCCACCCTCTCAATACAAAACTGGAGCTACTACTTTGCCCTTTATCGGGGAACTCCTCTCTGATATAGGCATTTCACCAGAGGCTTCTCAAATCCAGCAGTCTTGGCGGACCGGTACCAAGAAGCAATATTTTACATACCTTAACCGTTGGCGACAATGTTGAAAAGCAAACAATGTCGATCCTGTCACATCCTGTAGAAGAGGGGGTTAATTTTCTTACAAAATTATACCAGGAAGGTTTATCCTACAGTAGTATTTATACTGCAAGGAGCACCTTATATACTATCCTAATGCTACCAAGTGGCATCTCGTTTGGTACACATCCACTCGTTGCTAGGATTGTTAAAGGTGTATTTGTTGCAAGACCAGCTCTTGCTAGATATGCCATGGTCTGAGACGTTTCAGTGGTATTCAAATATCTTTGAAATCACCACCCTCTGAAAGATCTTAGTTTGAAATCATTAACACTAAAAACAGTAATGCTTTTAGTTTTATTATCTGGTCAGCGATGCCAAACACTTCATGCATTGGATAGTTCTTATATGGAGAAGAAGAGCGAATAGTTTTTCATGTGCACCAACTGCTTAAAACATCTAAAGCTGGTAAGCATGCTGCTCCTTTAGAATTTCGGGCTTATCCACCAGAGCCTGGGTTATGTGTATTCAATTACTTGTCCCATTATCAAAACGCCACTGCACCCATACGAAATGGTGCAGGACAACTCCTATTGAGCTTTCAAAAACCTTATCATTCGGTCACTTCAGCGACAATTTCAAGATGGTTAAAATACGTGTTAAAGGATGCTGGTATAAATACTGAGCCTTACAGTGCACACAGTACTAGAACTGCATCAACTTCTGCGGCAAACGCATTGAATGTTTCTATGGACACTATTATGAATGCAGCTACATGGCGTAATGAACAAACTTTTCAAACATTTTATAACAAACCAATTGAGGCGAAGAACTTTGGCAATGATATATTTTCAGCTATTTGTGAGACATGAATTGTGAAATTTCAATTATATTATTTTGTTATTAGTTATTGCTCATGTCCACATTGCTTTAAAATCTCACATGACTTCCTAGTGACGTAGAACAGTGACTTACCTGAAGTCGAAGTTTGATTGAAATTCTATGATTTACTGTTCAGGAACTAGGAAGTCACCCACCCAACTACTAACTTACTTCTTTTCAAATGATACTAAGTACTACTTGCCTCCCGATATGTATGTGGACGTTCGCAAACTTTTAAAAACTGATCTTAATATCGCGCGCTCTATCTTACATGACGTCCTAGTTCCTGAACAGTAACTCATAGAATTTTAATCAAACTTTGACTTCAGGTAAGTCTCGTTTAATTTTCCATTTTATGTGCTTATTGTGCACACTTATATCTTGGGACCACATTAATAACTTGCTTTTGCAGTACTCCCCACAACATTATGTAAGAAAGTATTAGTTGTGAGAGATGTGCAGCGAAAATCGTTTTCTTAGCACATTTTACCGTCTGGTCCACAGTCTATAAGGAACGTTTTGCTATCCGTGGTGAGAATTTTTTGACGCACACGTATAGTTTTATTTTGACGCACACGTATAGTTTTATTTTGACACACACGTATAGTTTTATTTTGACACACACGTATAGTTTTATTTTGACGCACACGTATAGTTTTATTTTGACACACACGTATAGTTTTATTTTGACACACACGTATAGTTTTATTTTGACACACACGTATAGTTTTATTTTGACACACGTATAGTTTTATTTTGACACACACGTATAGTTTTATTGACGCACACGTATAGTTTTATTTTGACGCACACGTATAGTTTTATTTTGACGCACACGTATAGTTTTATTTTGACACACACGTATAGTTTTATTTTGACGCACACGTATAGTTTTATTTTGACACACGTATAGTTTTATTTTGACACACACGTATAGTTTTATTTTGACGCACACGTATAGTTTTATTTTGACGCACACGTATAGCTTTATTTTGACACACACGTATAGTTTTATTTTGACACACACGTATAGTTTTATTTTGACACACACGTAGTTTTATTTTGACACACACGTATAGTTTTATTTTGACGCACACGTATAGTTTTATTTTGACGCACACGTATAGTTTTATTTTGACACACGTATAGTTTTATTTTGAGACATACGTATAGTTTTATTTTGACGCACACGTATAGTTTTATTTTGACGCACACGTATAGTTTTATTTTGACACACACGTATAGTTTTATTTTGACACACGTATAGTTTTATTTTGACACACACGTATAGTTTTATTTTGACACACACGTATAGTTTTATTTTGACACACACGTATAGTTTTATTTTGACACACACGTATAGTTTTATTTTGACACATACGTATAGTTTTATTTTGACGCACACGTATAGTTTTATTCCATCAATTAACCTCAATTATGGGTGAATGAAAATTGTAACAATAACAAAATATTAATCTTTACTTAGCTATTTAAAAATCAATTGAGCGCAGATTTCATTCTACACCAGGACACAATCTTCGACGTTCCAACAAGCATCAACGAGATCACCAACCTTAAAAAGAGAGATCAAAATGTAGCTGACTGGGATTTAAATGTGACCTTGGACATCACCTACCTTCGTTACCAAAGATTGATGTGATGAGAAGTGATGATGAAACATTGACCACCATCCTCAAGTCCCAGCTTTTGAAAGCATAAACCAATTTCAGGTAGATGTGGATTTTAGTTGAGTCAAAATAATTGTCATTTTTTACAACAGCAACAACATACGTAAATGGTTGCCGTTTGTCTTTATTTAGAAAGTATAACAATACTGCAAAGTCACCGGAAACAAAAACTGTGTCATTCTCAAATTCAACTTTAACTGCATCTTGGAACATAGCTTCTCAGTTGAAAATTTCCAATTCCACTGAATTGTGGATACATTTAAAAATGACGCCATATGTGTTTGTGGTTCGAGCTTTCATAATCTCATTTTCTCCATCAACCCTATAAGAAAGCTCTTGACTTGCTTCATTCAAACTCTAAGCAAGGGTCTCAATATCATTTACAGGAAGCTCCTGAAAATTTTCCTTTTCCCTTATGTCAATTTTTATTATATATATTTGTGTATTCAAGACCAATCTTGTATTGTTCAGCGAAACAGCCAATTTATAAAGGTTCACGAAAGTCGTCGAAAGAATACGACAAGTTCACGAAGTAAGTTTCGATATCTACTGACATTATCCTGCCTTTTCTTACCTTTTTTTCTTCCTTTGTTTTCATTTTTTGTGTCTGCTTCTACGTCTACCATATGCATCGATACTTCCATGTGCAAAACCGCAAGTTGCAATAGTTGCTCTAACATCGTGACTTGTATAATGACAGTTTTTAAAAGAATATTTTTACAGTTTCTTAACAGTTTCTTTAAGTAAGTCGTATCCACTGACAAGTAAATCAAACTACAACACTGTAGAAATATTTCCGTTACTTACAATACAGAGTTGACCAGATTACATGAATCTATTCATACTTACTTTCATCGGCATTTCTGTATTTATAGTCTTTTTCAATGGCTTCTGAAGTAATCTTTGCCACATCATTTGTTGTATAGACGAATCAATCAGCAAGCAGTCTTTATTTATGTAATGTTTTAAAGTTGTGAAAGGGCTTTTAAACCAGCTAAGTTTTGACTTGGTTATCACATTTATAATATGTACATAGTCGACCTTCGTATTTCACTCATGTTTATATTAAAATATTATTTCTCAGTTCCACGGCAAAATATTTCACACGGTTCTCAGGCTCCTTGTGATATGCAAGCTCCAATGTCAACTGACTGAATGTCATAGTTTTCGGCATCTCTCTTAACGCATACACTAAGAACACAACCTTGTTGTTTATGCTTGCATAGTTTTATAAATTTTGATATTATAATTAGTATTGACAAACACAAATTTCTTTACAGTACATAGCGAAATTATTCCCTTTGGGAAAACCTCTTTAATCTAAAAGTTAGTTCAAATCCTTAAATTTTTCTCAACCTTTAATCATATGTCTGCTTAAAACGTAGAACTATACATGAGCCGAACGCATTTAAAACAAAAGACAATTAGGACGTTCATCTCATTTTCTTTTGTCTTTAATGCATTCGGTGCACGTAAAGTTTGTTGTTTGAAACAGGCCTTACATATCTTTACTTTATGATTGCTTATTCTTGACTTAAGCTACATGACTTCCCACACTTAGCTAAGGACAGTAGAATTGTAATAAGGTGACTTAACATCAAAAATTACTTTAAAATGTGACAGAAGAGATTAGACGGTGCAACATTCTTATGAAATGATGTTGAGATAACTGTGTAGCTTTGCTACAGACATTTAGATCGACTTAAATGTTTACATTTTACAGAATGGATGTAAAGAAGAAATTCTTGAAGTCGCATCTCATCTTTTAAGAACAACAAGAAAAGATAATTCAAAGCAATCTTTGAAAACAATCAACAAAAAAACTACGTACTTGCTCCTAATTTTCAATGAACAAATACACTGGATTGCATATTTTATAATATGTAATGAAATGAAATCATTGTGAGAAGTTTCATCATTAATTTTTACATAAATTGTTCTTTATAACTCTGGTTACTTTCCTTTTCCTATCCTGTGGAACAATATCTCATAGTGCAATGTGGTATTCCATTAATTTTATAAACATAAAAAGAACCGCAGTTGAGAACTTTTATAGTACGTCTCCACATGCAGCACTTTGTATTAAAAGAAAAACAAACAGTACGTTCAACAATCCCATCATTCACTCCAGGATGACCTCCTGTTAAATATCCTGTAGCCTGTGTACCACATTGTTTACCGTCTTTGATACATCCTGAGAACATTTGGGTTCCAGCACTTCCACCAAATCTATGCCAACCAGACAATGATTGATCACAGTAGTAACCAGGTGACGTATAGTCATATCTCCTGGTGGACTCTTTCAACCACTTGTACTGACCTCCACATACTGAAAATTTTAGAAAATAACTGAATGAATTAATAAAATTTATTGTTACCGAAAGAAGGTCGATGAATTTCATCGAGACCTAAATAATTGAATCCAAGGAATTGTTCCATTTAAGTATTAAAATCTGCTACTGTTTTTGCTACTATCCATCTGCAAGTTTAATCCACTGATAAAAAAATCGTTTACTCAACATACCAATATGGATGAATGCTATTGAAGCCAAGGCATAATTCTATTTTTAAGCTTATTAACCCTTTAGGAAGTGATTCAAACGTTGACTTGGTTCTCATTTCGTTCGATGATTTTTGCAAGTCTGCTACATTACCACTTAAAAAATACTCACAGCAGCGTCTGTTGTTGATTAGAAATGTAAACACATTTGCTATGTATCTTGTCGCATGCGTTGTTTGTTGCGGTGCACGAGTTTCACAAACATTTTGGTGCACGTACATAGCACGTACACCTTGGTGTTAAATCAAATTCAAGTTAAAACTTTAATTTTCTATAGTTCAAAGAGACGGCTATTACCAACTACTTTCTCCACCTTTAATTTTCACAAATTGTTTATTTCGTCATTTGTATGTTTTGTAAACAACAAACACGCCAAAACATCTCATTTCCTTGGCAATTGACATAGAAAATGACTACTGCTAGGGATGTCTAAACGTCCGCCAAGACTGAAGTAACATTGACGATCTACATCTAGCGAAACGAACATGCAACAGGACTCCTGGGTTTGAATCATTCCCTCCATTTACTTCCTCAATCCTTATGTATCTTTAATGTACCTATTTTGCAGTGACCTAGCTAGCTCGATAATGGGAGGGGGTATGATAAGATATTTATGTTCTACCGTATTAAGTTTCTTTGAAATCAGTTGTTTTTATTACAACACGTATGTATGAATATTGGCTCCACAATCATCCATACTAGTACACCACAATGAAAAATAGAACGTTCATGAATAAACGACTGAAAAATATGACTAAAACCACCAAAACTTACCTAAACTGATTTCGTTGTAGTTTGGTTTAGAGAAAACCAATTTTGTCTTCAATTTTGCATTTTCATTTTTAATCTTCTTCAGTTCAGCAGAAATTGCTTTGAGATCATTTTGCAGCTTTTCATTGCTCAAATTCATTTTACGTTTCCACTCAGCGTCTGTTGCCTCAATTTTTTTCATCAGTTCATCAAATTTTGCTTCCAATTTTTTGTTGACCTCGCAGTAAAAAAATAAAATTTTATAAGTGAAGTCTAACACCACAGACTTGTCTTTTTGCAAAACTACGCTGGAGTGATATCATATTATGGAATTCTCAAACTGTTATAACTACTGCATATTTACCTCCATTTCCTGTGAAAGTATGTTCCATGTTTTGTTTGATCTTACATAAAGTTTCTTTTGATCCAGACGATATTCCAGTAATCCCGGTATTTTAGGAACTTTCTTTTCAGTTTTGTTGTCAGGGACAACAACAACCTTAAAATAAAGCAAACACGTTTATATATTACTTTCTTCTGTATTTTTATTATTCGTTGTTCTCTTGTCTATATGTGTTCATTCTTACCCCGCTGTTTAAACGTAGTTTGTTTTCTTGGTGACATCTTCCCTAAAACAATCAACAAAATAATCATTCATCTTTATTTACAATAAACTTAATTCTCAAACGCTCTTTGATTTAACTACAACCGTATAACAGTGTCACCTTCTTAGGAACTACGGAATCTCCTTTTAAGATGAACCATTGCATCTGACCAAATTCATCTTCACTTTGATACTCCATACATTTGTTCCACAGTCGTTTGTGAAGATTGGATCTCACCCAGATCCAGGTATAGATATTTTTACTGTTGATTATCGATCCACCATTGATGGCGTTACATTTTGTACCACAGTAATTATCTGTTCCTCCTGGTGGACCAAAACATCCACAACACTGATGTAAAACATACAAAAATGTGAGATTTATTTCAATTTAACATTACCATTTAGTGTCACTTACTGTTCCGTCATAACATCCAAGATAAGCTGTGGAGTTATGAAATACTCCTGATCTTGCATTTGACGCACTGTAACTGTTTGAAAAGTTTTTTTAGTTTTGTACCTTAACGATAGAAAGACACAGACGCTAACCTAAAAGCTCCATTATATTGAAACTTGATTGGTTTTTGACCATTTAGATGTAAATATCCTGAACCACTGCAAGGTTTCTTTAGGCATTCATTCATCATCGACTATAAATCATGAACAAAAACTTGCTGTTGTTTAAACTTTTTTGGAAAAATTGAATAATATTTTAGGAATTTAGCTTTCTTTCATCACAAATGAAAGAAAAAAAATTAAATCTTTTTACCCATCCAACTTTAAAGTGAGAGCCAATGTTGGGTCCAAACACTGAACACTTAAAAGATCTTGTTGTTATCTTTTCTGTTATTAAATCTTTAACGTAAGCTATGTCTCCAATTCCTGGCATTTGATCACTGCATCCACGATCAGTAATCATTAAGTTTTTCAGTTTTCTAGTATGTCGTAGTCTGTAAAACCTGGTAAAAAACATTATTCTTTGATGAAGTTTTATGTCTACATAACATAACTTGTACTTGAATTGAAAAAAATATCGAAATACCATTTAATTAGATTTGAACAATTTTTAAATTTTTACTCTACCAATGAGCTTTTGTATTTTTGAAAGAGTCACTTGTAGACAACTGTATTCTAAAATCCAATATGGGAGCGTCTCCTAGTTGACTTGTCCAATATTTGTCTTTGCTAAATGGATGAACGGGCTTATCTACTGACGGTATGTCCCACGTGACAGCATCTTGTTTTCTTGCAACAAGCGTAAATCCACCACCATCTGTCTTCATGTCACACCATACCTTAAAAGATATATAATAAAATTTATAACGTTATCATATTTTGATGATCCAACATTTACCTTTCGTTTATTACTGCCTCCGAAATCTATCCAATAATATCCATCTTGAACATCTTCTTTTCGATTTAAAATATCTGAGCAATCGTAGCCTGGGTTCAAATATTCACCAACAAACGCCTTTCCTAAAAATGTAAACACAGATTCAATTTAAAGATGGATTTCAAAATAGCAAATACCATGGTGAATGGTGATAATAAAAATGTAATAGTTCTTAAAAGAACTGTTTTAACCAGAACACTAACCCAACAATTCAAAGGAACCGTTATTTACAGCTAGAAAGAGACACAAGAAAGACATACTGGTGTCTCTTTCTAGCTGTAAATAACGGTTCCTTTGAATTGTTGGGTTAGTGTTCTGGTTAAAACAGTTCTTTTAAGAACTATTACATTGATATTATCATCATTCACCATGGTATTTTATATTTTGAAATCCATCTTTAAGTTTGTCACCACGACAAAGTCTCTATTCATTATTTAAGACAGATTCAATTGTTGTACATATTACTATAACATGCTACGAGTATTTATTTCAAAACATGCTACGAGTATTTATTTCAAAACATGCTACGAGTATTTATTTCAAAACATGCTACGAGTATTTATTTCAAAACAATTTTAAATTTTTGTTCTCATATTTTCTTCGAGCTAAATAGAAAACTTACAATACAGTTGTCATTTAATATATCTATTTATTTAGTTGTCTTGTAATCACCAACCATTAACAGGCTTCCACAAATATTTTCCATTATCTTTGCTGCAAATCCACAATTTCATTTCACCGTTTCTGTCTTTTACAGAATACATTTTAAACGCATTGGTTTTGTTACAGGAACCTGGGTCATAATCGTCGATTTTCACGATATTCTTAAGATAACCATTTGTATAAATAAATGAATAAGTTTAATCCTTTAAATGATATAAAAACGGTACAAATAGTTTGCTTTATGTCCCAAAGACCTACCATAGTCAAGCACAGTGGAGAAATCGAAGAAATTAGGAAGAGAATGGTGATCACCAAATGTGTCATTTTGAGTTAGAATGTCTTTGTAATGCCTCACAGTTGATTATTCCTTGCCAGAGAAAATTTATAAATTGCTTCTTTATGTCGTATGTACAGACAGCAGCTCTATCTCGAGGCTTTTTAAATATGTAATGTTTGAGACAATACTTTTATAGCTTAATTTCACAGGAATTCGAGGATCATGAGACCATCATCAACTGATCTCATGGATCATCTTGTGAAGGTCATTTTGAAAAACAATATCATTTAAAATTCATTGTAAATCTCGTGACTTTGAGTCCATGATTGAGTTTGAAATTGATCAAAGACTTCAGACGTGTGGATAAACTAATTTTTGTATGATGTATAAGTTTTATGGTAAATAAAAAGTTAAGAAAATATTATTGTAATATTGGTGTCTTATGTAATACATGTTATTCTAAGAATAAATAAGCTAATGATATAAACATCCATTGCTACCTTCACAGACTTTGATCAAGTTTTAAGAATACATATTGATGACGTATGCACGAAGAACTCGTGTTAAAAACTGCTCTGGCTCTTGCCGTGTTTTGACAGAAATTATGATGACGTATGCACGAAGAACTCGTGTTAAAAACTGCTCTGGCTCTTGCCGTGTTTTGACAGAAATTATGATGACGTATGCACGAAGAACTCGTGTTAAAAACTGCTCTGGCTCTTGCCGTGTTTTGACAGAAATTATGATGACGTATGCACGAAGAACTCGTGTTAAAAATTGCTCTGGCTCTTGCCGTGTTTTGACAGAAATTATGATGACGTATGCACGAAGAACTCGTGTTAAAAATTGCTCTGGCTCTTGCCGTGTTTTGACAGAAATTATGATGACGTATGCACGAAGAACTCGTGTTAAAAACTGCTCTGGCTCTTGCCGTGTTTTGACAGAAATTATGATGACGTATGCACGAAGAACTCGTGTTAAAAACTGCTCTGGCTCTTGCCGTGTTTTGACAGAAATTATGATGACGTATGCACGAAGAACTCGTGTTAAAATTGCTCTGGCTCTTGCCGTGTTTTGACAGAAATTATGATGACGTATGCACGAAGAACTCGTGTTAAAACTGCTCTGGCTCTTGCCGTGTTTTGACAGAAATTATGATGACGTATGCACGAAGAACTCGTGTTAAAAACTGCTCTGGCTCTTGCCGTGTTTTGACAGAAATTATGATGACGTATGCACGAAGAACTCGTGTTAAAAACTGCTCTGGCTCTTGCCGTGTTTTGACAGAAATTATGATGACGTATGCACGAAGAACTCGTGTTAAAACTGCTCTGGCTCTTGCCGTGTTTTGACAGAAATTATGATGACGTATGCACGAAGAACTCGTGTTAAAAATTGCTCTGGCTCTTGCCGTGTTTTGACAGAAATTATGATGACGTATGCACGAAGAACTCGTGTTAAAAATTGCTCTGGCTCTTGCCGTGTTTTGACAGAAATTATGATGACGTATGCACGAAGAACTCGTGTTAAAAACTGCTCTGGCTCTTGCCGTGTTTTGACAGAAATTAAAGCACACACGATACATTTGAGTCTTTATAAAGGGCGAGCTAGCTATTTCAAATTGATCGTCGTCATTTAGACTTTTTTAATTAAACCAAGGCAGTCTTAGCCAAACAAAGATCAAACACGTTATAACGTAATTTTCAGTGAAGATGAAAATGGTGTTAACAAAAGCGATAGTTGTGGTAGTAGTGAGATGACAAAAATCTTATTGCGTACATTGACATTTGCACCGTACCCGTGCTGTTTTGCATGAAACATAAGTTGGTAATAAGAGTAACGGTGCAACTATGATATAATTCTTCAAAAGCATGAATATTATTGCAAACTAAATTGATATATAAAGCACTACAAACCTATTTAATGACTTTGCCAAACGTCAATTACCAAAGACAACAGAACACAATTGAAATGCGTAAGCTTTTTACAGTAACCAAGGCCATAATCATTGACTTTTTGATGACCTGAAAAGAAACATTGATTTTAATAAAAACAATGAGTTTTCCTCCAAATTTTTGAAATAGCTCATAGATAGACTTATTGTTGCAATAAATATTGGCATTAGTTAAGTTTATTATGTGCGTCCAAATTTAAGTCAATAGCTACGAAATTTTTAAACGGACTTTTTTCTGAGAAAGATAAAGCAATAAAGTAAATGGTTTGAACACGGGAGTATCGTTGCATGTTTGTAAATGTAGATCGTCCAGGTTGGTATAGTCCTGAAAAGGACTGTTTTTGTTGTTGTTGACTGACGTTTCGACAATCTTCAATGTGTTTATTTTATAATGTGACGTCAAAAGTTGTGTAAATCGGAAATTACAAAAACTTGAATAACTTGAGAATGATAATCGTAAGTTTTAAATGAACGACGAGTTTTTTTTTATCGTAAACATGTTTCGGCATGCTTATGCCATCTTCAGTACATAAAGTGAAAGAGATTATGCAATTTACATGATATATATATATGTGTATGTGACTATCGTTAAGTGTATTAATTACAAAATTAGTGTTAGATATTATATTACAGGTTAAATATTGTATTAAAGTGGTATATTTGTTTGTTGAGGTTTGGTTTGAGCTTTTTAATGTGGAGCGCTTCTTTCATAAGGTTTATGAATTCTCATGTGCGGGATGTAATTCCCGTTACGTTGGTGAGACAACTCGCCATCTCTCCACACGCATCAAAGAACACACACATTCCGACAAAAACTCACATATTTAAGGCCTAATTCCACGGCAGCGAAATGCGAAATAGTTCGCGTGAAATTCTGTTTCTGCGAAATTTTCTCCTGTAATTCGATTTCCACGCATGAGAAAAAGAGCGCCAACTTTTATATAATATAGCAATATGGAGTTCAGCCGCAAACAATTAATTTGCCTGCTCTTGATATACCGAAGAAGAAAACGACGTTTGAAAAAATACAAAAAGAGATTTTGGGTCAGAAAGCTTTTTAAAAGTCGTGCAATACGAGGGGAATTTGTGAACTTAGTACAGGAGTTGAAACTGCACGACCATGAGTTGTTTTTTAAGCAATTCAGGATGGATCCTAGTCAGATGGAAGAGGTTTTAAGCTGGATAGCGCCAAAAATTTATAAACAGGAAACTCGGAGAGATGTTATAAAACCTGAAGAGAGATTATGTGTGACTATGCGCTATTTAGCAACGGGTGACTCTTTCTCAACCATATCGATGAGTTATAGAATTGGAGAAACCACGATATCAAAGATTGTCAGCGAAACATCGAATGCTATTTGGGAAGCAATGTTGGAGAAAAACATTTTGAACATGCCTAAAGCACCAGAAGATTGGTTAGCAATTGCCAAATTGTTTGAAAAACGTTGGAATTTTCCTAATTGCTTGGGGTGCATTGATGGAAAACATGTACTCATTCAAGCACCTGCTAGGAGTGGTTCACTGTTTTTCAATTATAAAAAAACTTTCTCAATTGTGCTGCTAGCAGTTTGTAATGGAAACTACCAATTTACAATGGTCGATATTGGGAAAGCAGGCAGGTAAAGTGATGGTGGTGTATTTTCTAATAGCAATCTTGGCTATTCTATTCTTAAGAATCTCCTGCCAGTGCCTAGACCAAGACAGATAGACAGTTCAAATGTTTTATTTCCATTTGTCTTTCTTGGAGATGATGCATTCCCATTACGTCAGAACTTGATGAAGCCTTATGCAAATCCTAATTTGGACATAAGGAAACTTGTGACCAACTATCGCATATCAAGAGCCAGGCGTATAATTGGAAAATCGTTTGGAATATTGGCTGCAAGATTCCGAATATTTAGACGTCCAATTCATGCAAAAGTTGACACAGTTATTTCAATTACCAAAGCTTGTGTTGCTTTGCATAATTACCTAATGAATGGAAAGACATATGCTAACCGATACTGTCCATTAGGTTTTGTTGAGCATGAAATCAATGGACATTTCAAAGGAGGGGACTGGCGAGATATGGTAGTTGATACAACTGGTTTGGGTCAAATATCAAGAGTTGGTTCAAACAACTATGCAAAAGATGCTAAAGAAGTAAGAGACAATTTTGTAAATATTTTAATTCAAAGGAGGAGAGGTCCCTTGGCAATGGCATGCATATGATGTTGATGTAAATAATTGCCACAAATCATGATAACTTTATTTAAAAGACATTAATGTCATCCCTAAAATTTGCATGGGAAATGATCATGATTCATGCAAGGAATTCAAATTTTTTTCAAAATAAAAACATCACAACAAAACTTACAAACAAAACATAAACCTGTCAGACAAAACAAAGTGAATATTCACATTTCCCTCATTCATCATCCATCTCTTCCAGAAGAATCTGTTGAATTTTTATTTTTACTTCCAGACTTTTTTTTCTTGGGAACTTTCTCAACACATCCACAATACTTTTACAAAAAAAGAAATCTTCATCTTCATGTTCTTTCTTATCACTGCCTTGATCTTTTTCTTTTATGGCATTAATTAAGTAGTGATCAATAGGATCCATGTCATCATTTTTTTTCCTTTTACGATGAACTATAGTTGCCTGAGGTTCAACATTTGGGAAGCTTTGATTTAAAATACCTTCTGCACAAGAAATAGGTTCTGATGATGTAGACGAGGATGGGGACTGGTGTTGTGAATGTTGTGGTTCAACAGACTGGATGGTAACGTTGCTATGGGTGGTGCGATTACTTAGTGTATCCTGAAGGAATGCCAATTGACTAAAATATCTGCAGCGAGGTGGCTTATAAGCACCTGCACCTGACCTGCTCATATCTCTTTCTCTGTCAAGACATTTTTTGAAGCTATCACAGAGATTTTTCCACTTGTTTTTCAGAAAGTTAACTAAAAAAGTTAAATAAAAAAATTTAAGAAATTAAGCTAGTGAACACAATTAACACAAAGATCTTTTATTATTTAGGCAACTGCATTTTTAACCATGCAATTGATGACTAGATGTGGTGCAGTACAATTCACAAAAAATTCAACTGTATCCACCAAGTTGCAAAATCTTGAACATCAGAGTTCCTGAACTGCCTATGACATAATCTGTAAAGGAGAGCCTTGCATAATTTCATCCCACACCATACTCTAGTAAATATAGAAGTCACTGGTGTAAACAGTAGGGAACTTAAAAACTTGGAAAAATAAAACATGCATGAAATATGTAACTTCTGTGTACTCTTTCTTATTACTTATAGCATGTTCAAGGTGCACCTTCACCTGAAGGCTTGGCAGAAAACACACCAAACTAAACCATGTACTCACCATCGCGATTAAGTTTTTTTGCTAAATTTGCCCAGACAATCCTTTTCTTGTCTGACCGTTTGAAATCAGGGGATTCTCTCATCCATAAAATTGGCAAAGACTGAACTTCGCTAATAAGTATTTCACAAAAATCATCATGGAAATCGGGAGTTTCGTTGGCATTTATGCTATGAAGTAATAGAGCTGTGTCTTCCGAAAGACTAGTCATGTTGATTTCCAGAGACGCCATATTAAATTTTGTTTACAAACCAGTTATTTCATTGGTTTCGCTGGTTTTTTTCGCTTGAGAGTTGAAACTATTTCAACTTTGGCGAAACAGAAATTTTTCGCCGAGAAATGCCTCATGGCAAGGGTGCGCATGCGTTATATCAGTTTCCCGCGAACTATTTCGCATTTCGCTGCCGTGGAATTAGGCCTTTATAAACACTTTCACACTTCACCACATTGCAAATCAAAATACAACCATTCATGTTTTCGCATCTTAGACACCGCCAACTCTCCTTTTTCTCTTAAACTGAAAGAAGCGCTCTACATTAAAAAGCTCAAACCAGACCTCAACAAACAAATGTACCACATTAATACTGTATTTAACCTATAATATAATATATAACACTAATTCTGTAATTTAATACACTTAACGACAGTCACATACACACATATATATATATATATATATCATGTAAATAGCATAATCACTTTCACTCTATGTACTGAAGATGGCATAAGCATGCCGAAACATGTTTACGATAAAAAACTCGTCGTTCATTTAAAATATCTAATATCTATCGTGCTTTTAAGAAATTATGGAAATAATCATAAGTGAGATGAATAAACTGCTTCATAAAATACGCTGTCATTTTCAAAGTTGTGTTCATTGAAAATAGAATTTAAATTGCACAATTTTCGGGTCAGATAACATTTAAGCTGATCATAAGAAAAATACTACATACAAACTTTTCTAATGTTCAGCCAACAGTTACATTATTCCACCGAATAATTGGACTGTATACCAGATAGTGCAAGATGCTGTACGAGTATACGTAGTACCAATGGCCAGGGAAGAGATATGTATAGCTAATTGGTGTTTATGATCGCCATGCAAAGCCACCATTTCAATATTACCTTGATTTTTTAGTTATGAGTCTACTTATACCTTATTTTTTATTGGTGAAGTTTCGTCTCTATCAATAGGGAACTGCTGAAAACTAGCGCACACCCTTGACGCTGGCAAAAAAACAGCGCGCGCGCTTGAAAATTGACCAGACCCTTATCATAACCCAGACCTTCCACATGTGAGTATCGAAGGTGTCAGTCTAGCCATGAACAGTCGTGGCTGTAGGAGCATTCCGAAAATTTTTGATCAATGCATTAGCTCACGTTTATCAATTAATCCACGGAGTTTCTCAGTTTCTCTTTGAAAACTCCTAACTTCCTATTTTGAATCGACGAATCGTACCATGTGTTTTTTAATTAACCGATCACGGCAAAACTTTGTGAATTACTCCGTAACAGCAGAAGCTATGATTATTTGGGATTTATCGTGATTGTATTTATAGCACTGACTATTATTTTGACGGCTGTCAACAGTAAAATCTTTATGATCATTATAAATATTTTTTTAATATGACAGCTGAATATTTTCGATTTCATCCAGCTCCAATGACCTTAATTCCACCTTAGTTTTTACTTCCGGTAGTTGCAATTTCTCATTTTTGAAAGAATATCTTTCCTTTTAAAAAATTGCAACATTTTTACGGAAGTCAACCCGATTCCGGAATTCATTCAGTTACGAAGTGATTCACAAAGCTTCGTTATAATTGCTCAATTAAAAACAGGAAGTTAGGAGTTTTTCAAAGAGTTTCGTTGAGGAACTCTATAGATAAATTGATAAACGTGAGCTAATGTGTTGATGAAATATTCTCGGAACGCTTCTATTGCCGCGACTGTAAAAGGAGAAGTAGACGAAGAAATTTCATCCTCCATGTTGGTTAAAAAATTAAATCCGAGCGCTTCCGAACGTACCTCCTTTTGATGGATGTTATTTTTTCGATTTCCTTGAACCAACAATTGAACAATTTAAATATCAATCGAAGAAGGCCACGTTTGTTTTGACTCTTTTTCAGTGTTCGTCCACAATATCTCTGACTGCATTTCCTCATTACAATTCACGAGAACACAGTCTTGTGTTAAAGTAAAACAATGCCGGCTGAGAACGATCTAGGAGATTGGTTTCGTGGTATTCCTGTTGTAACAAGATGGTGGTTTAGTTTGAGTATCGCCTTCACTCTGCTTGGTCGCTTCCGTATATTAAACGCTGTGTACATGTTCTTGTCTTTTGATCTGATCGCCTATAAATTTCAGGTAAACTACCACGATCTTAGTTTGACAGTTATTAAGCGAGCAAGACCAATACACCGTTACTACTTGTCTTGAAAAGGTTATTTGAATACTTTAAAGTATACAGTATACCGGGGGGGGGAGGTGGGACGGTTCTGTTGTGTGTCGACGTGTTTGTTTGGTAGAGAGATTACAACTGGGACTTAGTTTTCCCCCTGGCTCCCAGTAGAATGTCATGGTAGTAGCTACATACCTTTTTTTGTCAGCAGACTTATATGACCCAATACCAGTTAGCTCTGGTAAGAGTATACATACTACCAAAGTTGATGATATACCAGCTACCATGGTTAAGAATACAGTAGCTACCAGGTCCAAGGGTACATGTATCAGCTACCATAAATGAGAGTTTTACCAGCTACCAAGTAGGTATCAAGTTATATCATGCACCAAGGATAAGGATATACCAGCTACCAAAGATAAGGCTGTCCTAGCTACCACGTATATGTGTATAACAGCTACCAAGGTTAATGGTATACCACCTACTAAGGGCAAGGGAAACCATTTTTTTTTATTTGAATCTTTAGATTTGGCGTCTATTCACAAGCATTGTGTTCTACCCTCTTTCTCCTCAAAATGGCTTTCATTATTTGATCAATCTGTACTTCCTGTACAGCTACTCAACTAGACTGGAATCGGGTACAATTCAATATCAAAGACAGTGAATTTTATGATGTAGAAGTTTGTGAACATTACTTAAGCAAAAAGTCATTTTCTTTATGTGTAGGTTTGTTTAATGGGAGACCTGCCGATCATCTGTTCATGCTAATCTTCAATTCGATCATATCAATTGTATCCTTGTCATCTTGCTTGCAAGTCTTTAGAAAGTTACTTTGATTAGCTTGCTGTGGGTCAGAAAAATGCAAAGTTTTTAACTTAAATTTTATCCTTTGTAAGCATGAATATGTTGTACGTACTGTAGAAGAAAAAGCAAATTATAATACTTCTAAAATATATCTTGGAAGTTTATTAGAGCTAATCAAGCACTAAGAGATAGGGGACTGCACATGACTCCATTTGACAGAAGTACTTATACCATTTGTGGGGTACACATTGTTTCATAAGAGGATAAAAGAGATGTTGACTTTAAATCAAAGGTACATTTGTGTGCATAAGGGATTGTCATTTCCTCAACAGTATTTTATGACAGATTATTGGATTTGTGATGAATTTATTTGTAAGTGTGTTCAAAATCATTCTTCATATTGAAACAAGGACTTTTTGACAGTTAAATTGTGATTGTTTTAACTAACATTTCTATTGCAAACAAGAACAGTAGCGCTCTTTAAAAGAATAGTTAATTCTTTTTTCAAATCTACCTTTTTAGTTCCTCATGGATCCACTTGTCCTCAGTGTGCTTTATATTTGGTGTCAAATTAACCGCGATACAATTGTTTCGTTCTGGTTTGGTATGCAATTTAAGGTAATAATGCTTCTTAATCATCTTTATAAATTTTTATCTTCATTGTTTAACAATGTAAACACAGCTCAGTCATTTATATTCCAGGCAATGTATCTACCCTGGGTTTTGGCAATCTTCAACATGGTCATTGGTGGAGGGTAAGTTCATTCCAACCATGAACTTGCTTTTCAAAATCACATATTTTGAGGATATTTTCACTTTTTGTAGTGGATTGATAGAACTGGTTGGCATATTTGTTGGTCATCTCTATTTCTTTCTCATGTTCAAATATCCCCAAGATTTTGGTGGCACAAGGTTCATAAATACTCCAACTTTCTTGTAAGTTATGAAGCATTGTCTTATGACATTTATACACAAGTCTATTTCCCACCTACACTCTTGTGGGGCAAATTTTCTTGACAATTGATATTCTTTTATCCCATGTACTACCTTTAGGTACAGACTACTCCCAAATGCTCGTGCAAGTGTCTCAGGCTTTGGAGTACCACCTGCAAGCAGGCGAGCTGCCGATGCTGGGGGAGGGCGTCACACTTGGGGTCAGGGAAGACGTTTAAACGATGATTAATATTTTAAAATACTTGAAATTGAGTACAGAACTGCAAGTACAAAAGCGATGGCTTTACAGCTGAGTTTTATTTGAGTAAACAATATTTGTTGAGAGGGAACAGATGTTTGTATGTCAAGTTGTAAACTATAATTGAAAGAAAAGACCTAACTGCTTTCATTCTAACACTGTTTCCTCAGAAATAAAGATTATAGATGGCTATATAAATTAATTAAATGTTGCAGTTGGATTCACATCACCAAATACAAAACATTTGTTTACTTAGAAAGAGTCTCAGCTAACCTGGTAAATCAGTATTTCATCATTTTTGCTGTGTTTCAACCACTTTATCTTTTTCTTATACTACCAGCAAATAAACTATCATACTATAAATTAATGAATAAAGTTAGTCGAATCAAAATAGTGTATAATGTAGTACATTTATGGCAGTTGAAACTTGAAAAATACTATGGCAGGTTAATGGCACTTCACAGACCGAAATCCAAAAAATGATTAATGTTATTGTTTGCTAAGTGTACTTGACATTGTATTCGTTGATGTTTTTGATTGATTTGTCAATGGCAAAATGATTATTTCATTAAAAATTTATAGTGCTTATTTCACATGACCTAAGTATTACTAAAATGTTATCTAAAACTGCCAGAAGATCATGACCATATATGGTTAAAAGGATGAAAGTTAAAAAGTCATGATCATGCGACTGAACAACCCAGCATCAACACTGAGAAAAGCTGTCAAAAACATTGACGAATAGAAATGTGACCATGGCTCCTAGGAACGAGCCTGATTGTAAGGCAATGCCTGCCCATTGCAAATGTTTTTTACCCTGTTTACGTAGCCGAGTTGATATGGCAACCTTTGTATAAGTGACTAATGCAACGCTAAGAACATTGGCCAACACCTGAAAAACCAAAGAAAAAGTGTTGATGTATTTACTTTCATTCACTATACTACTTTTTATATCACTGTTAACATTGTCTAGAGCTTTTTAAATCAATGCAAAAAATGAGCAATGGGAAAATGAAATCACCTAGTTATCTGCAAAATTAGATTCTTCTTCAAACATTTTGAAATGACTCATGTTTTCAACAAAAGATGAACAGACATTTTTGCTATGGTAAATTGCTTACGTACGGTTTGCTTTCTTAAAAGAATTACAACTGACCTAGAACCCACTTGTTAGCAGTGGCATAGCTTGCTTATTTTGCTTTGCCTTGCAAATTTTCCAAGTTTGCACACTTAGAAAAGTGTAAATTTTACAAAGAAATGGATAGGCCTAACTGTGAAATTAACATGGCATGGCTTAAACTTGTTGACTGGCTATGCCATTGCTTATCGGCATATGCAACAAATATTGAACAAATAAAACTAAAAAACGTGATGTAATCTGAGTTTGTATGATGTTATTTGTGAATCCTTAGATAGAGACAGTCCCACTGATCCCCAAGCACTCTTGGTGAATAGAACTCTCAAACAAATACTTACAATTATTGGTGGTCCAGCACTGCTATTCACCATTGGAGGGTTGGGACTCATCTTGGCTGCAGTAATAATGAATGCAACAATTGTTGTGTAGAAGCTGCTAAGAATGGCTATAGCACATAGGTGTGTTGTGGAAAGCAAGGAGAATAGTAAACTTGAGCAAGGGTTGGCAACGTTGGATATGATAAGAGTAAGATAATAGACATTGTTGCCATAAGGTATACAGGCAAATGGTTGAATTGAAGGAACGACGCCATTGCTGAATGCATGAATCCATACTTGAATAATCAACAAGAACGCAAGCTTCCATTTTTGCATTTCTGATCCAGGTTGAGAGCCATCATAGAGGTAAGTCTCATCATTTTCTTCTAATCGGTGGAGTTCAAACTCCTGGCTTGAGTCGAGGGATAAAGCCTCCCTGGGAAATGTCTCTGCATCGCTGTCATAGTGATAATCAACTCTCTCTTGTTTTACTGATGACAACGTGTTCAAACAGAAGAAAGCCAATAGTGAAACCACCATCAGGAACATTATATTCAAGAAAAAAATGCTTGTACTAAAATTCAAGTTATCTGAAGCGCTCCATGTGGTGTTGCCCTGAGTATAATTCGCACAAGGATCACCACTGCTTGGAGTATCTTGTGCAACAGCAAGTAAACTGGGAAGTAAGCCACTTAGACCAGCACCAACGAATAAAGCGGACATATATTCCTTTTTAAACACAGCCATGAATGGTAGAAATGTCACGCTAGACGTACAGGCTACAAAGGCCAAGAAGAACACAAGCGCTATCAAAGAAACGCTGTGTTCTTCGCCTAAAACAACACCGGTTTCCTTCCATAAAAAGACAAGTAAACCGCAACAAATGATTCCGATTGAAAGAATGATGTAAATTATCCATGTATCGCGAACTTTCCCCGGCCAAAATGCGTTGAAAACCGTGTGTAATAAAGGTCCAATATTTGCGATTTGAATGACGACTGCGAAAACCGACGGCAACTTCCAACTTTCTGGTGCGTGTTGTACAAGAACTGGCAGTTCTACCCAAATACCGTTCACAGCAACCCATGAGCCTATACCGAACAATACAACCAAAAGATACGTTGACCACGACACTTCACAGTTGAGGCATAACTTTTGCCTAATTTGAACCCAAAAAGCTTTCATCTCCTGGTATCGGCAAGCTTGCTGTGCTGTGATATTACATATGTTACAATATATTATATCATCAAAGTAAGCCAACTCCGTAGAGGAAATACGACGTGGAAGTAAACTTTTGATTGGTGCGTTAAGTAAAGAAATGTGCCAATGTTTTGGTTTTGTTGAAAGAAATTTCCATATTTATAATAAGAAAAACTCTTTCATATTAGACACTTAAGCAATAAAAATAACGGAAATGTGGTCAATTGAACTTTAGACTGTTATTGTTTCATATTCATGATGGGGGTAATAAAACGATGAGTGAAAACAATGTTTTGGAAAAACTATAAATTTCTGCTGGTGAATGACAGTGAAAAAATGTTGGAAGTTTTTCCGCGTTTTACCGCGACACGCTTAGCTGTATAAAGCCTATTATATAAAAATATGATTATCGCTAATCTCGCTAAAAAAAACCCCAAAATCTAATATTAGCTATGTACTTCTTTCGAATCAGTTCTTTCAGATCGGAATTTCATAGCTTGATTACAACTGCAATTATACGTCCAATTGTTTTTTGAGATCACGTCGGTCAAACCTTCAAACTTCTAATGTTTCAGGAGTCAATTTTCGTATCAATTTTCAGCTGACAGTACACTTTTGAAATAAACCCACTAAAATAAAAATTTCTTAATTTTAAACTGGAAAATTGGCCCGTATTCTACAAGTAAATTATTTATGTTAAATTAGCGAAATAAAAGATGATTACTGTAATTGCACAGTGTTATGCAAACCGAGAAGACCTCCTGCTAAAGCTGCTCTTATTTTTTGTTGGCGTCAACAAGTAATCTCACAAGGTAGATTTTTTGATGATTGTGGCTTATCTTAACAAAAAAAACCAGAAAAATATTTATGTTATCGAAGTATTTTTGGAAATTACTTATCAGCTTGTTTACTAATTGAGCATTTTGACAATAATTTATGGCTTATTTCTAGAAATTTACGCGCTATTGCAGTTTTGCTCGTCCGGATTATTCAACACTCCTCATTTCATTATTTGACTTTTGAAAAAAAAAGATGAAAGTTTATTAACCAAATGCTGGAAAACTGGCTTGTATACTAAACTAATGACTAAGGAGATTTTTATGCTAAGAGCATCGGGTCGTGAGCTAAGAACATCGGGTCGTGAACTTTCACGAGCATTAGAAAATTATTGAGAAGGTAGCCAGCGTACATCTTTTTTTAATTTCAATCAATATTACGAAAAGTTGAACAAGCTTCCTAAAAAAACAAGCCCTGCTATATTTCTTTGTCGAGTCTCCACAAAGCTGTCAGCTGTAGATAATCTCCTTCTAGCCGAAACATACTGTGCTTCAAGTCCCAGCAGGAAGTGAGATTAAAAGAAATATTTGTATCCATTGCAGAAAGCCCAAGCGCGCGGTAAATCGCATGATTTTCATTTTTTTATATTTCACAAGCTTTTTGCATGACATGGCCAAGTGTTATTCCTGTAGTAAGATCCTACGCTTCAGCAATACACATACACTTTCATTTGTAAACAAAAATTACCACGGTGACCGTAATAATTGCGCCAGTGCGAAAATTAGATTAATCCATAATGAGTTGATGATACAAACGCGTTTCCTTTTTGGCAAGCTGTTATACAAATGTAATCTAAACGAAACTTCGATCTCAACACAACTGCGCCGATTACTGTCGAGTTATGGCAACAGGATTCGAGTCGATTCTTGTACGAAGATATGGTGGGATTACAAGACCAACAGGATGTATTAGTGAAGGACTTATCGCCAGTAGCATCCTGATCTATGATTGACGAATGGTTGGAAATACTCAAGACATACCTAGCAAGCTAAGAGGCTTAAAGAGCAAAATGGACGCAAACAAACAACGAAAACGGTGCGTCGTCCCCGCTGCGCACTTTAAAGTATAAACAAATGCGTCACGCAAACAAAACGTTGTTCGAAATCACCATCCCTAGCGTATAATTTTAATCAGCAGCTGTGCTAGCTGTGCGTCATGTCAAAGTACAAAATCGGATCACGAGAACTACTGCGCTCTTGTCTGCCACAAGATTAGCATATTACGCGCTCGAAAGCCAATCACGGAGCACCACTCGTTAAGAAAGTAACTATAGTTTTTGAAACTGTTCACATTATTGATTGTACATTGTCTTTGACGGAAATGTCGATAAACATGAAAGCGATTCGATCGAAAATCAAACACAAATTGTTCTTGGACTCTGAAGTGTCGTGGTCAACATATCTTTTGGTTGTCTTGTTCGGTATAGGCTCATGGGTTGCTGTGAACGGTATTTGGGTAGAACTGCCAGTTCTTGTCCAACACGCACCAGAAGGTTGGAAGTTGCCGTCGATTTTCGCAGTCGTCATTCAAATCGCAAATATTGGACCTTTATTACACACGGTTTTCAACGCATTTTGGCCGGGGAAAGTTCGCGATACATGGATAATTTACATCATTCTTTCAATCGGAATTGCTTCGTGCGGATTACTTGGGTTTTTATGGAAAGAAACCGGTGTTGTGTTAGGCAGAGAACACAGCGTTGCTTTGATAACGCTTGTGTTCTTCTTGGCCTTTGTGGATTGTACGTCCAGCGTGACATTTCTACCATTCATGGCTGTGTTTAAAAAGGAATATATGTCCGCTTTGTTTGTTGGGGCTGGTCTAAGCGCTTTGCTACCCAGTTTACTTGCTGTTGCACAAGATACTCCAAGTGGTGGCGATCCATGTGCGAATTATAACCAGAGCAACACCACATGGAGCGCTTCGGAAGACTTGAATTTTGGCACAAATGTTTTCTTTTTCGGTTTGATGTTAATGATGGTCGTTTCCCTTTTGGCTTTCTTCTGTCTCAACACGTTGCCTTCGGTGAAACGAGAGAGAATAGACGACGATAATAACAGGGATGAAACTAAAATTCCGCGCGAGGCTTTAGCCGTCGACTCCAGTCAAGAATTCCATCTGGAAAGCAATAACGAAAACGAAGAATCCGTAAGCGATGGCGAGACACAAACACAATGCACTGATATAAAGAAACCCAAACAAGTTGCATTCTTGTTGCTGATTCAAGTATGGATTAATGCATTAAGCAATGGTGTCATCCCTTCAATTCAACCGTTTGCCTGTATACCTTATGGCAACAATGTCTATTATTATACGCTTATTTTATCCAATGTTGCCAACCCTTGCTCAAGTCTACTGTTTCATTGGGTTCCGACAACTAAAGTTCTGTTCACTGGATTACTAAGTATGGTGTACAGCAGTTTTGTAGCTTATATTGTGTGCATCGCATCTCTCAGTTCTGATCCACCATTGACAGAGAACAATATTGGTGCAATTATCATTGTAAGTGTATAACAAAAGTTTTCTTGATCTTGTTAATCACGTGAAGAAATTTCTTATGTTAATTAATGTATTTCATAATTTAATATTTAGGTCACAATGAATGTGTTAAGCGTTGCCATAGTCACCTACACTAAAGTTGCAATTTCAACTTGGATGCAGAAAGAAGGAAAACGTCATCTGCGATGGGCAGGAATTTCCATGCAGTCTGGCTCGTTCTTTGGAGCTGTGATCATATTTTTATTTGTTAATGTGTTTGAAAGCTTCTCGAGATGTTAACAAGAAGGATTCCTCTACAAATGTGACATCAATGGACTATAAATGTCCGTATGTTCCACACAATCTCTTTAATTGACTTCCATACCCAAAATTTTTTAACAAAGATGAAGATATAAGGAAATAAACTAAAGGAGCAAATTATTTTACTTAGAGTTGTATTGCTATAAAATATCTATCATAACAGATGAAAGGAAATATTTATACAGATTAATCATGAGAGGTGATAACATTTGTCAAAGAAAGCAATCAGATTGTGCTCTCCACCTGAAGATTTATAAAGATAAAATATTAGAACTTAAATATATCATTATGTAAAAGACTATTATGGTTTTTCATATTCATCTTGTATCTTTTTTACCCAATTCTAAAAACAAAGTTAGACAAGGGAGGGTTATGGTATAAGTTGAGTTTACTAAGTATTCAAAAGCAACAATTTCAATGACTATTGGATTTCAGGAAACATCAAACATTGTATACAATAACCTTATTGGATTATATTGTTTAGTTTCACTGTATATTCTATCATCATACAGGAATGGTTCACCATTAATTTTGGTCCTTTCACTTGGCTCATGTGCATGTTGTAGCATCATACAGGAATGGTTCACCATTATATTTTGTTCTTCATTTCACATGGCTCATGTGCATGTTGTAGCACCATACAAGAATGGTTCACCATTAATTTTGGTCCTTTCACTTGGCTCATGTGTATGTTGCAGCACCAAACAAGAACGGTTGACCATTAATTTTGATTCTGCCTTTCACTCTGCTCATGTGCATATTCAACCATTATACAAGAATGGTTTACCATTATTTGTTTATTCTTCAATCACTTGGAGTGTTTGATTGTCTTAATAATAAATCATATTCCTTCAGCTGCCTCCAAAAACCTTCATTAGGTTTTGCTGTTGGTCATGCTTTCTTTACCAAATGAAATGCATCATCTAACCCAATATTCTTAGATTTCATAAGGTAAGCAATGACAACAGTCGAAGACCTGGACACCCCTGCATTGCTGGACATTTAAAGGAAAATCATTTCATTGGCTGAAAATTTTTTGCTGCATAAGGAACAATTTTTAGTTTAATGGCCATCATCTATAAGTTACGTATGCCTCGAATGTGAAACACAGGCTTCAATTAAGATTTCAACAAGTTAACAGTGAACATGCAGGTTCAGCATTTGTTTTTTGTAATCAAATTAATATCCTCCATGAGAATATAAATTGTGTTGAAAAGCCTATGGCAAAACCTACATGTTTGTATGTGTTCATCATTCAGGTTAATTCAGTTGATGTTGACTGATGTTTTGAAATCCTCAGATGTAGTCATATTTTGAGCCAAGTTCAAAGTAAATAATTATTGCTAAGTATGTTAAAACATCAACATGTACTAATAAAAATATTCAAAGTTTAATTCATTCACTTGAAAACCTAAAATCTTACCATAATAACCTTCACAATACACACATTAGGAATATCAATGGCCATCCCCATTTTACACTTACCAATGAACCAAAACCTTTCCATCCTCCAGTCCCTTTTCAATAAATGAGGACAGCTCAGCAAAATGCTGACCTATTCTTGTTTCAGGTAAATCCAAAATTTCGACTGTTTTGTACTGAAACTCCTGAGAGAAAAATCAAAATTTGACATAAACACAAGAGCCTAGGCTAAAATTTGAAATCCACCATATAAGTTATACTCACATTTGGAAATTGATTTACAATTCCTGTGGCAACATTAACAATATGAGTAATTTTTTGCAGCCTTAAATGTTCAAGATTACAAGCTCCATCTTGTGAAGAAATGTACAAGTTGTCTGCTACATGATATATCTTATCGTCAATACTTGTATCTATGCAATAACCATCGACTTTACCAATTACTGCACAGACTTTGTCCCCACAAGTCAAGTTGCTTGTTAAAACCTGAACAAAGAAGCAAAAAGGTTTAAATCTACTTTAATTAATCAAACACACTACCAAGTACATTCATACAAATTAAAAACAAATACCTTTGTGCCATCAGTATGAGTTAAGACAGTCGAGACGTGCTTCAGTTGCTGTCTTTTAACAAATATTTCATCAGCAAAACTCATTCTCACTTCCCAGTAATGGAAACTTTGACCCTTACGACAATTTTATCCGCTTTATTGGATGAACATTTTAAGGTTAAAGTAGGAGTATAAACATTGTATAATAATTAGTGTGACGAAATCGTCTGTATCCGTTCTTTTCTGAATTAAAGATGGTGTGTAGTGTGTAACTGTATGATTTGTAATTATGCATGTTTACGTGAGCATGTTCTTTGTTTGAGAGATATAACACGTAGAAATGACATGGTGCACCAAATTTGCTTCCATAAAATGAAGATATATCAAGGTTTCAATAAATTAACTAAGGTCGAGGAAAAGGGAAGTAAGTCGCAACCAAAAAGTTTGATAGTAAGGGGAGTGCACATTAAAGAATAACAAACTTGCACTGTTGATATTATAGGCAATTGAACATACGTTAATATTTTGTACACCACAAAAAGCACAAACATAGAACTTACCTACCTTTATACAAAGAAACAAACACGTGATTCAGTGACAGTTAATAACATGGAGACCTTATGGATGTATAGGGACATGGAGGTGTAGTGCACTGGGGTGTCTACGGCCCTCAGTTCCTGCCACTGACCTGTAATTCAATAGAACCATTAGTTACGGCCTAAACGATTTTAAAGATTCACTACTTGCGGCCTGGGACAAAGGAAGAAACTTGCAGACAAGAAAGTCTAATTAAGTGGCTAACTGCAGGCTAACTGCGAAGAAAGGAATCTCTTATCACCTAAGGTATTCTTAACATGGTCATTTTCCCCATTCTTGCAACCCTCTGTCAGTTCCATTTAGCATTTTGAATGTTATCAATAATTTATTAGTTACTAGTTAGAACTTATTCACAAAAGATGTCTAAACTTGTAATTTGCAAAATAGGATTCAACAATCTTTGTGAAATATGTTTTTCTTGTATCTTGAAATATGTTTCCTTGTGTTATAAATATATGATCATCGTATCTAAAATGATTAGAAATATTGACAATCAAAGAAACAAATGAAATGAACTTAGGGTGCCACCAAAACGAATGAGTTTCAGACTTTCAACCAGTGATTCAGACTAAACAAATGTAGTTTTAAGCTGAAAACGTAACAATCGTCAACTCTTGGATTAATGTTAATTCTACATTATAAGAAAAGACGTAATTTTACTACAACAAATAACCTTTAAATTAGGATGTTTTTACACCGAGAACGAACTGCCTTATGGGATTGACTAAAGCTCTACTTCTTTGACCTTAGAAACTTTGACCTCAGCTGTGTTTTTTTTTGTTGATGTGCTTCATTGCATTATTTTGTTTCATCTTTTGTCTTTGTTTTTCTTAATATAAATATGTTAAAATATAAAACTAGGCGTTGTTATGCTTTGCCTTCAGCTTCCGTGTTTATCGAACGTCGACTGAAAATTTTAACCTATCTTTTAGCTTCAACTTTTAGTGATAAACAAAATTTCGTCAACTTCTGGATTAATTTTGATATAAAATTGTATAGGAAGACGTATGAAATGGCTTGTCGTCCTAATGTTTACGAAACTGGATATGAAGAATCGAGATTTAATACTGTTGTTGATGAAAATTTTTACTGTTCAATTTGTCTGAATGTCATGAAAGATGCCAGAATGTGCCATAATCAACACAGTTTTTGTCGTAAATGTATTGAAGAACATCTACGAGTTAATGCACAAAGATGTCCTCAATGTCAAGATGATTTAACTGTTGCCACACTTCTTCCAGCGCGTGTTATAAATAACATGATTTCAAAGTTAAAGATCAACTGCGACTACGCCAGTCGTGGTTGTCCTGAATTTATAAATGTCGAAGATCTTGAAAGACATGTTGAAAATTGTGGTTTTGCTCCAGTGTTGTGTTCTAATGAACGTTGTGGTCTGGAAATAAACAAACGAGACAAGATTAAACATGAAACTGAATTATGTGAATACAGAAAGATTGCTTCTCACGACTTTCGAGAAATTAGCGAAATGTTTCAACGAAGTTTTGAAGACAAAATGGAAATGCAAATGAACAACTTAAGCAGGAAAATAGACGAAGAATTTATTGAAGTAAAAGAATCCGTGAAACCATTGACATCTCAGTATAAAGAAATGATGGAATCTAGAAGGGAAGTAGAAAATGTACAACAAAACCTTGCTACAGTGACCAAAGAAATGAAAGAAATGAAAGCCATGATGTTTCAAATGTTAGAAAAGATGAATATAAATGAACCACATGTTCAAACATTGACATCACCTCTTGAAATGGTGATGAACTCTGTAAAATGTGATATTTTGATTGCTGGAGGTTACTCAGGTGGTTCCTCAAAGAGTGCTGAAATATTTTCATGGAAGGAGGAGAAATGGTTTGAGATTGCATCAATGGAAAATGAACACAAGTGGGCTTCATCATTTATTTATAACGATAATTTATTTGTTGTTGGAGGACATAAATGCAAGTCAATGGAGACATTGAATATAAAACACTCACCTTTGACATGGAAGACATTTCCCACAGAGCTTCCTTATGGATGTTGTCAGCATCGAACTGTTGTTTTTAAACAACAAATCCTTCACATTGGAGGATGCATTGATGTTAAAGGAATATCAGATTTGGTCAGTGAAATAAAGATTACTGGCACAACATCTCATGTTTTAAAAGAGTTGTGTCTTATTCCTGAACCACGTTGGCGCAATGGAGCTGTTGTTGTTGATGATAAAATCCTTATTTTTGGAGGAAAAACAAGAAATAACAAAATTCTTTCAAGTGTTTTGGAATTTGATCCAAGGACTCTTACATTTAAGGAAATGCCTCCATTACCGCGTCCGTTGTGTGCAATGGCAACAGTTCAGTGGAGAGATCAAGTTGTTCTTCTTGGAGGTGAAGATAATAGATTAAAATGTTTGAACAGTGTTATCATGTATGACAGTAAAACAGGAAAGATTACAGTCTTACCATCCATGTTGGAAAAGAGATATTGGTGTTGTGCAGTTATAACAGATGATACAATTGTTGTCATGGGAGGTCTGAATGACAAAGATGAAGAACTTAATTCAGTGGAGTGTTTGAAAATGGGAAGTAGTTCTTCATGGACATATCTTCCTTCAATGAACAAGGTACGAAATGCATCCATCGCCGAAGTTTTACCTTTTGGACAAAAATATGTATAAGAAAGAAAACGTTCATCAAATGTTCTAACTTACTAAAAATTCTTGTAGCTTACACTGGATGATAAATATGTAAAGTTAAATGTGTAAACCTATAAAGCTTGTTAAGAAATTATTTCTCCACTCATTCACTCTAATGATATATATACTGTATATTGCAATTTGTATCATAAAATACTATATACAGCACACGTCTATCACAAACTTTGCTCACCGATTAAGAATTATATATTTACATGTTATTTATATAAATGGTATTTTTCAAATATATTACATGGCTTTGCTTACATCATTATTAAATCATGCATTGAGTTTGTTTTGACTATTTCCCATGAAATATATAAAAGCAATTTACTTAGAGACTATTTACATGGAGGTACAGTAACCCCAGCAAAAGGTTATCCTAGAAAGCGAGTCACCTTACGTAAATATGTTTTATAAGTAGCGTTCCCACATGCGCCCTAGGGACACCCTAGTGGCAGGCTTACCCTAATAACACCAACATTCAACCATTTCTTAAGACTAAAACAAACTGGATATCAATTTTCCTTAATACTGCCATTATTATTATACGCAGCAAAATTTAAAACGTTACATACTTCATATGCATGGTAAAATTACAAGAATGGGGAAACTGCACCATTAGCTGTTGGTGTACTGTACTTTGACCACCTACGACGTGTATACTTGTACGAAAGCACGTGATAAGTTTCTTGCTATTTACTGGCTAAAATGAAATAAATATGACAAATTGTTATTGCAGTTTAAGATTGAAAATTTTGCCATCTTTCTAGTTTCCGCTTACAGTGAAATAACGAGGAAATTTTATGTCTGAGAACTTTGTATTCTTGATGTAAACGTGACGTCATCAATAATACAGTCGCCATGTTTAGGGTTTGTAACCTGGTTTTTGTAAGGCCAAAAAAGTACATTTTGGCTTTCATATTTTTGTTTTGCGTTTTGGCTGCATTTGATCTTTTTCATTTCAATGGACTGTAATTTTTCTGTCATTTAAACCATTATAAGATGGTGGTACAATCACAGTGATTTGTGCTACACAGTGAAATTTAATATTCCTCGGAAAAAACGGTTATAACGCACAAATATACCAGCAAAATGTCCCTCAGTTTAGCAAGTTAATATTTTAATAATAAACAGTTATTACATGAGGTTGAGCATGATATCAGAATTATTCAGACCGAGGTCAATGTCATCTGTCGAAGCAAAGCTGGGGACGGATAACGTTGAAAGAGGTATGAATAATTGTTGATATCAAGCGAAAAACGAATTGAATAATTGTTTTATCATTCACCTCAACAAACTGAAATATTATTTACACTCATCAATGTAAAACATTTACAAACCTGCCTTTATTTGTAATTGTCAAACGGTTTTTTCGAGTTATTTTGTTTAAATATGCTGTAAACATGTTCGAAACTAGCTTCATCACTTTTTAAAGATATTCCGCTTCAATTTTGTTCGAAAGCTTTCGCTTATTGTTTTTAGAAACTGTGGTAAACATCACTTTATTTGATTTTTTTCAAATTCGGTTTTAAATGGCGTCAGTCAATAAATGTAGAAACTATTTTTCTTAGATATGACGTCATACCTACAGAACACAGCCAAAGTCACTCGGCGAATCAGCGTCCAGTATTTGATGTTCCATATGGCATAGTGCCTAAAATTCATGAAGTGATGTAAGCTTTAAAGCCCAAGGAAAATACGGAGATGGAGTGAAAACAATGCAATTCTACTACGTCATCAGCTATGGTCGTGTCAGAGTTGTACGAGAGAGCATACGCATGCGCAAATTAGCCAGTTGTGTACGTCTTGTCGCAAGCGAAGCTACGGAAAAATTTAGGAAGGATATTTATTCATTATAATCCTTCCATCCATAATACAATTTCTCACAGGATCTTCTAAAAAGGATACAATCGCTAATTACAGATAAGTTTATCGTTTTCCTAACGTTATTATTCATAACTTTTGTTCCATTTATATAGAAACAATTAAAGTATGTCATCCGAATCATTAACCGATGACGAGCACGCCGTGTCTGAATTTTATGAAATCAGCGCGCCGCAACGGCCTGATAGTGCTCCCACTAGCGGTGACTCACGTTTATACTCATTGCTTTCGGCTATGGAGGCTAACATGTCAGAAACGAATAAATATCTGAAAGGTATATTTGACAAGCATAATGCCGCCAAAAAGCGACCACGTGCGTCTATTGAAAACAATGAAATATTGATAATAGACGAAGCCGAACAAGGCGAACAGCATGAGCACTCGGCCCCAAAGAGGGCAAAAAATTACCACAAAGTCTGGGCACAATTCTGACGGCAATGACCGCTCATTTGACCAGCAAAGTCCTGAGTCTGAAAGTACTGAGGGAAACTCTGAGATTGTGCATGAACAATCAGACAATACTTTGAGTTTATTCGGAGGACCAGAAATTGATTCAGAAATTGCAAACACGGTCGATAACGATGATCTTCTTTCTGAAATTGCTCAAACACTATCTTCTAAGGAGCAAACCGGGCCCCCTATTTCAGAAAAATTGGCAAAAATCATAAAAGCCAAGCTTAGCAAAGATTTTGACGCCAGTGGCGGATACAGGCCAATCGTTTACCTCCCTCAAAGTAGCATTACTATGAGTGCTCGTTTTAGCGCCGCAGCGCTGTAACTTTTTTTGATCGTAAGAGCAGCGCGGTAACAGGGGGCGGCGCTTAAAAGAAGCAGTGGCAAAACAAGGATTTCGGATTAAAGAAGCACTTAATATAATCAATAATTCTGACTGTTTCGCTCAATATCAGAGCTCATCAGCATGCCTAGGCATGCTTCTAAAAAGCAGCCAGACATGGACAGTCAACTTGACTGCCATTTAGTTAAATGGTTGCGAAACTTTGCCTTAATGATGCTATTATTTTAAGTTTCTTGTTTTCATGTTTGATGTTTGATTGTTGTTAATAATGACTATACGAACTTTAATCTTGTGTTATCCATAGCAAATCTGTCGATAACTTCTGACGTTTCGGGCACAATTTCTTGATGAACTCTCATCATGGCCAAACCGTTTAGACGCTCTGAAACCATCGTACTTCGCTTATAATTTTTCAGTTCGCGCAAAACTGAGAAAGAGCGTTCGCATTCGCAAGATGTGATAGTAAGGGTTCCAAGAATACGAAGAATAATTTTGATGTTTTCAAAGCCTTCAAATTTTAAAGCTTTTAAAGTTGCTGAAATTGAGTCTGGAATGGTTCCTTCGTAATCAACCCAATAAGTTTCCCAAAGCAAAATCTCTGAGTCCAAAGCCAATGGATTGGGTAGGTCATCGTGATAAAATTGGAAACAACTTTGAATTTTTCTTTCCAATTCATGCCATTGTTAAGAAGAGAAATCATTTTATATGGTACAATGCTAAGCCCATTGTACACATTAACGCTATCAGTATTGAAACGAGCTTTCAACGCAGAGTTTAGGTGGTCAACAAGTGGAATAGAAAAATTCTTTTATAGTACTCAGATGTAGTTTTATAGGGGACATTAGCTCGTGTTGTCTGTCTTCCCACTGTCCTTGGCTTTGCTTCATCAATATCTAATTCTCGAGCCAGTGCGAGAGACTCTTCATACCATGTATCGTGATACTTATCAATGGAATTCCTAACATTAACAACAAAAGTTTTCAACGATGTAATAAGATGTAAACCATCCATAATGTCAATACTCTTCCCTTGAAGAAGCTGAGTAACACCAATTGTAGAATCAAACACATTTCTACAAATAACCAGGGCAACAACAAAATCAAACTTTTCCAAAAGATCAAGAAGTTCAGAGGCATCCGAAGAAACATTGAGACTGTGATCTTTATCTACATTTTTCTTCATTTCTCTCAACGTTTTAAAACAGGAATAAGAAGCTGCTGGAAAGTATCTAAGCCGTCGATTCTCTCAACCCACCTAGTTCGACACACATCTATTAATTTCTTTTTCCTACCGGCTGATAAAGAACCATGAAGGTCAATATTCTTTTCTAAAGGTATTTGTCGTGTAGGGAAATATTAAAAAATCAGAAACTTTTTTAACTCTATTGAGCATCGATTTTACATCCATTATATTAATAGACTCACAAATCGCTAAATTTAATCTGTGGCTGTAGCAATGGGTAAAAAGAGCCTTATCATTCAAACGACGCAAATGAGCAGCCATCCCATTAATATGACCAGCAACAGCACCTGCCCCATCATATCCCTGTCCTCTACAATCAGCAATAGAAAGACCAAGGTTGCCTAAAGCATCAAGAACAACCTTAGCAAGCTGCTCACCTTTTAAGCCCCATTTACAAGGAAGAAATCCAAAAACTCCTCCCTAATATCCATATTTTGGTCGATAAAACGCAAAACAAGAGACATCTGTTCAGTATTTGAGATGTCTCGAGCCTCATCAGCAATTACAGAGTAGAACCTGCTTGCTTTTAAGTCAGAAATGATTTTATCTGTTATTACTTCACCACAGCATTTAATAAGCTTGTTCTGGGAAGTTTTAGAAATATACGTCTGATTCCTACCACATGAATTCAGATGGTCCTCTAACACCTTGTCCCCAGCACGCACTCTAAAATTAAGAAGTTCAACAAAATTCCCAACACCACCTGCAGAAAAATTACCAGTTTCAGGATGATAGTGCCCATCATCACGATGACCTCTAAAGGCTAAGCCCAAACGACCACATGTTAAGACCGTATCGGTAATTGAACTTAATTTAGCCCGGTTACCTTCAACTTCTTTCTTAACCTTAGAATCAATAATAACATTAATGCCTTTTGTTTTACCAGACATGTTAGATTTGAAGGCAGAATAAACTGGAAAAGTAGAAGCATGCAAACCATTCAAACCATGAAAACTCATTTTGCCATCACTCTCTTTGCCATCATGACGTTTTAGCATTTTGGATGCATCTGTCCAACGACGAAGTGGCTGAGAGAATAGGTTGGAAATTTTGAGGCCTTATCTTTAAAATTATCACCAAAAGGACACATGGCAAACAAAACCCCATCCAAGGATGGAGAATAACATAACCATTCATACCTTTCTAACCAATCATAACGAAAAGATCTTCCATTCGTTTTTGGGAATTCAAAATTTTCATCTGGTCTATAAACATTTACTATGAGATTGTAAATTTCCCCATCGCTCATGCCTTTTCTTTTTTCTCTGAAAGTTGCAACATCAAAATTAAGGGGAATATGACAGTCAACAAGAGAAGAAGCCTCACTAAATGACACTATTTTATCAGAAGGGGGTTTTTTGTAGCAAGTTGCATCAAGAGAAGAAGACTTGTCAATAGATAAGGTGCTAAGGCTAGACTTATCAGTTTTAAAATTACTGTTAGAAGGTTTATCAATGCAAGACAGCTGGAAGAATCGCTTAATATCTTGGTGTTCTTGTAGAGAAGAGTTGTCAGGATGCTTGGCTTTTGTTACACACTTTATGTTTTCATTTTTGTTGAGCAAAGAAGAGGAACATAATGGTTTGGCAAAAGCTCGCCAGACTTAACCTTGCCTTCATAGCAGAATAATATGTGAACAGCAACATCCTTCACAATTGCTTCATTTGCCAAGCGAGGGTTTACATGTCTATTAAAAGTAATTTGGGTCTTATGTCCCCACAATCTGGATAATAAGTAAATATTTCATTACCAATAACTGATGATAAGCCCAGAATACACAAGAAAGGTGACCAGGTACCATCATAACAATTTAAAATAGCTTCTTGCTTAATTAAATCCTCATTCTTTAAGCCGAATCTAAACATGAGGCCGATACTGATAATGGCAAAAGATTAACAAGACTAAGGTCATGGTGCTCAGTCACTGCCAAAGAAAATGCAGGATGTTTATTGTAAAAATCACAATGAAGGTATAGCTCAAGGGAAGTCAGTATTCTTAAAATACTTACTAAGCTGTTGTCTCCTACAAGCAGCAAAGATACTGAGCTGTAAAGACAATTCCCTGATGCTTGAGATCTACAAGGTTCAAAATAATCCCTCTTTAGTTTAAATTTCTTTTGTGTTGTACTAAACAGCGTAACTTTAAATATTAAACATCCAATAATGTTATATTACGTATTTAAAAACATCTAAGCACATGTAACATTGCCATATAAAGTTATTCATTCCGATTCTTAATTTTCCTTACATAAATAGTATACCAGTATTTCAGTTAAAATTTATAAGTTATTATTCGCTAATTTAATTATTCGAATAAAATACAAACTTCGATTGGTAAACGAAGGATTTCTGCACTGGCAAGTAATGCAAAATATAAGAATTACAAAACATCAGATATTGACAAGCTTATTAAAAATTCAGATAAAGCATCGTAATCGGACAGAAGTAGAATAAAAGCTAAATTGAACAGCCATATAAACACATAGTTACCTGATTGCAGTGTAGATCTTTCCCTGCGATTTCATACTGCTTGGAATATATGTCTCAGCGACAATATGCCGGTACAGTGAATTGCCCAGTTCTGATCGAAGCAAGTAAGATGAACATCTTGGCTTTGAATTCAACTGCCCGCGTAGCTCGTTGTACAGAAGCAACAGAGCTTCTTTGTTGTTGCTGTTCATTGCCTCTTGGGCTTCTAGAAAACAATCTCTATCCATTTTCAGAAGAAATTGCGTGCGGTAAATGTTAACGATACTAGCATCTCGAAAGTCGAAAGTCGAAAATGGTGAAGTACGCTTGCTGTACTTGAGGGAGTTGATAAAATGCACCAATAAAATGCACTGTTAGAATAAACATGGAACATCGTAACCAATCATAGACATTATTCCAAACAAAGTTCAAGGTCAAAACCAGCTAGTGCCTCAAAATATTCTCCTTATGCCTCAAAATTTTCCTTGGTACCTCAAAATTTCCTCAAGTCCCTCAGAAACCATGGTAACTGCAAGTTTTAGCCAATCAAAACGCTCATTCAAGCTTGGGTACCTCAGTAGCCGCTGACAAGTACCTCAAAAAAATCGCTTTGCTTCAAAAAGCAAACTATAAAAACTGGAATCAGATTTGAGTATTTTGCGATCAGATACTGAACGCTGATCGCAAATAGTAACTTAACTCAGTTAACTGGGCTAAAACCAATGATCTCAATTATTACGTAATTCTTTGAAAATTTTATGTACCTCGCGTGAGGGTCTTGAGGTACCCTAGATCCGCCACTGTTTGACGCTACCAAATTAAAAGAAATTCTTAATAAGTACCCTCGCCCTAAAAATTGCGAGCAAATGTATGTGCCGAGAATAAATCAAGAAATATGGCAAAAAATGAAGCCATTTACTAAAAAGGGGGATATCAAAATGGCGAATCTACAAGATTCCACCATCAAAGGTTTATCAGGGCTTGCTAGTAGCATTGACAACCTTTTACAATGTCGGGAAAATAAGACAATTCCAAATTATAGAGCTCTTATACCAACACTGCTTGATGTAACTGCTTTATTTGGCCATGTATGCAAAGAACTTTCATACAAGCGCAAAGAGGCAATTCGGCCCATACTTCATCCTGATTTTAAACCGCTCTGTGCAAGGACTCACAAAGTGGGCCCTCTTTTGTTTGGGGAAGACCTAGCAAAATGTGCTCAAGATATTCGAAGCTCTAGTAAGACAGTAATGAATCTTATACCCAATCCAGGCCAACGGGCACAAACTATTTTTACAAAACGGTTTTCATCAACCCAATCACAGGCACGCAAGCCTTTTTTATACCAACAAGGGAGGGCACAGTTCCTCCCAGAAAACCAAAACTTCCAGAACCGGAAAACATTCACAAAGAACTAGAGTTATTAAAAAATCAGGTAACACAATTTTCAGAATTTGTTGAGCATGTACTTAAACCTTATTTGACCAGAAAAGTTAATTCATTTCAGGCTGGTCAAATTAAACTATGCCACAATGAATGGGCAAAGCTTACTACAGACCCCGATATTCTTGAGATGGTTTCAGGGCAAAATTTCTTTAAAGGTCTTAAACCAGTTCAGCACCAGTCTCCTCCTAACTCTCTTCCTAAACAAGGAAGAAGCGAAATCGATGAAGCTATTCAGGCATTGAGAGATAAAGGAGTAATTATTCCTAGTAAATTTGATTCTACTGAATTTGTATCACCTATCTTTACCACTCCTAAAAAGGATGGTGGTGTCCGCCTGATTTTAAATTTAAAGAAACTAAATGAATCGGTCGAAAACTTTCATTTTAAGATGGAAAATATCCACACTGTACTTAAACTTATCACAAAGATTGCTGGATGGCCTCTTTAGATTTAAAAGATGCCTACTATAGCGTACCTGTCCATCCAGAATCTCAAAAGTTCTTAAAATTCCTTTACAAAGGAAAATTTTACCAATATACAGCATTTCCTAATGGCCTCTCCTCTTGCCCGAGGAAATTTACTAAGCTACTTAAACCAGTTCTGGCCACATTACCTGTAAAAGGTCACATTGTCATTATATACATCGATGATTTACTCCTGGTAGGCTGTTCCTATGAAAAGTGCCTTGACACAATTATACAAACCTTAATTTTATTAGACAAGCTCGGTTTTGTCATTAACCCATTGAAATCTGCATTTATTCCAGTACAAGAAATAACTTTTCTTGGTTTTTTAATAAATTCACGAACCATGACAATTCAACTTACAAATAGTAAAAAAGAAAAATTGCTCTCCCTTATTAAAGCAATTCTAGCGCCCGCTAAAGTTCGGATTAGAGAAGTGGCTCAGGTAATTGGTCATATAGTATCAAGCCTTCCAGCAGTGGAATTTGGACCGCTTTACTATCGAAAGCTTGAGAAAGATAAAACTTTAGCATTATCACAAAACAAAGGCAATTTTGAATCGTTTATGATTATTTCCGATGAATCCAAAGCAGAGTTGAAATGGTGGCTAAAAAATTTAAAGGACTCTTTTAAATACATTCTATCTATACCAGTTGACATCGTCCTCTATTCAGATGCATCTCTGACTGGTTGGGGGGCCGCCCTAGGGAAAGAGTACACTGGAGGAAACTGGTGCAAACATGAAACTGAATATCACATCAATATTCTAGAAATGAAAGCCGTACTATTTGCGCTAAAATCGTTTCTTTCTAATCTAAAAAATAAACATGTTAAAATGATGGTAGACAATAGTACTGCAGTGTTTGTCATAAACAATATGGGCACTAGTCATAGTGTCATGTTAAATACTACAGCATTAGAAATCTGGGAATTTTGCATAATGCACAAAATCAAAATATCTGCCGCACATTTACCAGGGTCAAAAATTGTAATTGCGGATAAAGAGTCAAGAAAATTGTACCGTGAAGGTGAATGGAGGTTAAATCCCGTTTGTATCAAGATTGCCATGAGCAAGTTTAATTTCCGGCCTGAAATTGACTTATTTGCTTCACGACTAAACAAACAGTTTAATCAATACTGCTCTTATCGACCAGACCCTGAGGCAACATATATTGATGCGTTCTCCATCCCGTGGAAAAACTTAAACTTTTATTGTTTCCCTCCTTTCAGCTGCATCTTACAAACTGTTCAAAAAATTCTACAGGAAAAAGCCACAGGCATTTTGGTAATACCAAATTGGCCAACACAACCTTGGTATCCCCTAATCGAACCAATACTTTTACAACCTCCTCATGTTTGTCCACCGTCGCAAAACCTGCTCAAACTACCAGCTGCACCAACAGAAGTGCATCCACTAGTAAAAAAGCTAGAGTTGAAAATATGTCTTGTGTCAGGCAACAACTTACGTCAATAGATGTCTCTCCAAGTTCAGCAGAGATAATCATGGCCTCTTGGAGAAAGGGAACAAAAACCCAATACCAAACTTATATAACTAAATGGAGTCAATTTTGTGTTGCAACAAAATGTGAATTTTTTAATCCCTCTATTACCACAATCATTCAATTTTTAACTAACCTTTTTCATTCAGGGCTATCTTACTCTGCTATAAATTCTGCACGCAGTGCATTATCTGCCATATGCCAGACCAACAATCACACTATTCCATTTGGGCAACATCCTTTAGTGAAAAGATTCATGAAGGGTATATTTGAATTAAGACCTACATTCCCGACGCTACAATTCTATTTGGGATGTTAATATTGTGTTTAATTACTTAAGGAAACAACCCCCTATACATGAGTTAACATTAAAAGATCTTACTATTCGATTAACGTTCCTTCTTCTAATACTAAGTGGAAAACGAGGGCAAACTATCCACCTGCTAAATTTAACCGACATGGATCTATCTGAATCGAAATGTGTATTTTCAATCCGAGAAAAAATCAAAACAACTAGACTTGGTCATCACATTGCTCCTATTACATATGAAGCCTACCCTCATGAAACAGAACTCTGCATTGTACGGCACCTGAAGGAATACATTGAACGAACTAACGAATTGCGCAGCTCTAATTGTAAAAAACTTTTAATAAGCTTTATAAAACCGCATCAAGCGGTTTCCCGGAATACTATCTCACGTTGGTGTAAAACATTATTAAACGCTGCAGGTATTGACACCAAAGAGTTTGGCAGTCACAGCACTCGAGCTGCATCCGCTTCATTTGCTGCAACACAAGTAGGGGATATGACGAAAATTGTTGAATCGATTGGCTGGTCGAATGCAACCACTTTTCAGACATTTTACAATAAACCTATTAAGAAAACTTTTAATCTAGGTTCCACCATTTTACGGCAAAACGAAATTAGCTAAATCGTTATCTTTTGTGGAAAAATTTAAATTTTAAATATAATCAATGTATGTAAAATTTGCAACCATCTCTTTTTCTGTTGTTAACCTTTTTTGCAGGCAAACTACTTTGTTAATATACACATTACATCCTGACTCCATTGCTTGCTGTGAAATCTCGTACAACTCTGACACGACCATAGCTGATGACGTAGTAGAATTTAAGAATTAAACGAAACTTACCTTAAGTTGAAGTTTGATTTGAATTCTACAAGTCATCAGCGTGAAGAGCCAATTCCCAAATTGAATTTTACCCACCTCAAACTCTTCCACTCTTGCAATGGATTCCGGCTGGCTTTGAAATCTGGCTAACTTGCGCATGCGTATGCTCTCTCGTACAACTCTTCCACTCCCCGCTGATGACTTGTAGAATTCAAATCAAACTTCAACTTAAGGTAAGTTTCGTTTAATTCTTAAATTAAAGCTCAATGTTATTCAGTAAATCTAATTTGTATTCCCTATATAGAGAATACTAACAAGATATTGTTTTTTATTGTTCACTTTCTTATTAGTATCCTCTAAATAGAAAATATTAATGAGGTTAAAGGATACTAATGACTGTCGTAACTCCACATTACATTTCATCTCTGAATAACTAACAAGGTGATGAAATTTAACGCGTTTCTAACGCATCTCGATGATGTAAATATATTCATGATAAAACTAAAATAAGTCTTACGAAAAAATTGGAAAAACTAATAATTGCTCACAAAATTAAAAGCAAACACATGTATATTATATAAAATGAAACAACATACGTGTTTTCCCATGTTCAATAACTTTTAAAGTACGTCGTGTATTTGTCGTACTAACACATACTTCTTTCTTCTTATCTACGTCAATTTTCTTTGGACTTGAAGCATCCACTGGAGCAGGTTGTTCAAGTGCTTTTAAAAACTGACATAACCAGAGTAGAACTTGGCCTTTTGCATCATCTAACAATGATGTGCTTCGATAACCAGTCCGAGACATTATTGTTTGTTCTTCACTGAAAATGTTCCTTTCTTAGAGGGTTGTTGGGCACGTAACCTTTACAAAATAATTTAAAATTTTCAACCATTTATGTCAATGTAATCTACCTCGCACATTGTTCGTAAATATTTATAGAACGTGTTTAATTTAACAGGTTGTGAGCTATACCAATCGGATGTCCCCTGGCTTATAACTTTCGAGAGGTTTTGAACAAAAACCTGCCTTTAAATGGAACACATCTCAAATACTCGTTGAAAAGAATCATCAGCTGTAAATTAAAGATACTTGTATAAGAATACAGCATCTTAAATTCAGTACCATAAGTAATCCCTTCTGGCTTTGGCCATGCATTGTTCTAAGACGGTGCCCGAGTGAGTGAAATTTTATGTAATGCGAGGGTGTCTCAATCCCATAGAGCACACATGATCGTGCTCTACCCTTACTAATTTGCAGGTAGTTGACCAAATCACTAGCAGTTAGTCATGTAAAATATTTCAAAAATTCAAATTCCATGTAGGTTGGTATGAAGAAATGTCTAGTACTTATATGTTCCAATGATTAGGTACGGTCTCTAAAATTTTAGAATTCCCGTGTGTATGAGAGTCTTTGTACTTCTGTCATACAACTGTGGTCTTTCATCAAACATTATAAAATAAACACAATGAAACGCGTGCGCTGATTGGTCTAGAGCTGTGTTTGCATTAGCCTGTGCAAAACACATCTGAGTTCAACCAATCAAATCAGTCATTACATTCAACCAGTCAGAGAGAATTTGCAAATCGATCATGAATACATTTAAGAGAAAAAATTAAAATGTTCGTCTGTTTCGCATTGTTGTTATTTTATAATAGAAATAAAAGATATTTTCCGTGTTTGCACTGGCTTATGCAAACCTCGGAGATGTTTGTGAGAACTCTCGAGTATGTCGATCTTTGGTCTCGGGCTTGCACTGATCTGCTCTCAAGTTCTCCAAAGGTCTCTTCGGTTTGCATAAGCATGTGCAAGCACAGTTAACATCTTTTATTTCTTAAATGAAACACAATTCATACTAGGAATCAAAAAGGTAGGCACTAAAATGAAATCACTAACCTTACCTCATGTTAATAGTATGATGCCCTTCGGAGCATTATTGTCCAAGGGCGCAACATCATTGGTCAGCGGTGATCCAGTCTTAGGTATCACTCTAAGTAGGAACGGATAATGAAAATGAGTAATGTGGATAAAGGACGTGGTGAGGGTGATTGGAGGATTAAGATGATGATGGTATGGGATAAAAAATGATGGTGAGGGTTAATGTGTGATAAAGATAATGGTGGTGAAGGTGATTGTGGCTATGTGAGTTTTGGTTAAGAACAAGACTTTACGTAATATGAATGACAAACCTCTCCCCAGGTTTTGGAGCTCTCATACTGTTAACACGAACAATTCACGAGCGAAGTTTTTGTAAAGTTTCATAGCGAAATAACGACACAGATTGTAGTAGAAGTTTTGTTGACTCATATTTCAAAATCTATAAATAAAACTTTCTATTTGATCCATACTTACGTTCCCTGATATTACGATATTTACAAAAAGTATGAAGAAGAATTTTTGCAGTTGGGGGATAAGGAACAAGTATGCGCGGGTTATGGGGTGATTGGGGAGCAGGCTTTAAAATGATGGTTAACCACAACTGACCATTATCCTACCTGAGCTATTGATTTTACAAGAGAGATTTGATAATGGCATTCTAAAAGTAAAAAAATAAAACTCTGTGTTTTATAAAGAAATAAAACAACACTTCTTAGCAATGAACGGTTGTATATTTTGGAAAATAGTTCTAGTCAATTGACGAAATTCTTTACGGGGAGGATTGTGTCAAATAATTTCGATCATTTTACATGGTGTCGTAACTCTTTGTTTTACTCATTCTTTATCAAATATAAAATTATCAATATACGTACGTAAGATAGTGACTTTCTCCCTCCTTCAGCGTCCGCCACTCTGGAAGACAAAACATCACATATGGTTGCTGACAAACACAAATTATAACAGTTCATCCTAACCTTGACTTAACAGACATGTTGTCAGTCACTGATCCTGATCCTGAAGCTCTGTTATGTACGCTGTCACCTAGCAACAAACAAAATCACGGAAAGGTGGTAAACAAATTGTGGCAAATGAAGTCTGTCATGCTTTGGAAACTTTGTATCGAAGACTCGTCTCCGATATTTCATCAATGCTAAATAATTTGAGAGTGTCAAAAGATCAACACATCGTACGTAGTCTTTGTTAAAAATACAAGATCTCGGAGACAGTAAAGTGTTTTACAAGTATTAAAACAAATTTCACTTTCATGAACAAATTCTCTGTACGTCAGAGAACAAATCAATGAGCTCGTCCAAATGTGTCACATTCACAGACTTAAAGGATTGTCTACGTACGTAGGCACCTGCGCAGTAATGGCTCAATCAACATTTCCTGCGTTGTCTATAAAAAGAAAAAAATTCTATCATAGGAAGAGTAACTGATACCAGAAGAGGTCCATCTACAGGTGTCCCAAAAAACGGAACGCACATAAATTAATTATGTATTCGCTAAAATTGCCATGCAAAATGATATAATTAGCTGTTTTTAAGAAGACGACGGAAAGGCCAGCGAGGGCCTTATGTTACTGAGTATTGAAGGTATTGGTTGAGTTATAATGTGAAAATTACTTTGCAATTTTTTTGCCTTGAATCATAAAATTCAAAAACCTCTGAAAATCTGCCAGGAACCACAAGTTACATAGAATGAGATTATTGTCCCAATGAAACTCTTTTTACAAATATGTGATGATATAAATGTTAAGTATGTACATAATATGCTATCTGTTTGCATTCTATATTTTAGTCACCAATTAGTTAATTATTTTCAAGGTAGTGACACAGGTGCCCCAAGTTTATAGAGACATCAATGGTGTAACAGAATTTCTCAAAAACAGCAAGATTTGCAAATGTTATTCCATATCAGATTTTTCAGCCAGGTTGTTTGACTAAACACTGTACTCACTTAGAAATTCTTTAAATTTCATTTGGCGTACATTCTGAAAAAGGTAAAAACAACATTTCAAGACATGGAATGATATATTGATGTAGTGGAAAAGCTGGAAAAAAACTTGCAAACCTGGATATGCCAATGATCTTGAAGGATGGGATCTAGTTTAGACACCACTGGTTGTGCTTAGGTAATGAAAGACTTGTCCTAAAATACCAAACATTGTATTATTTCATCACAAACAAAACAGCATACAGTACTCCTAACAGACTAAAAACTGTATTCTTTTTCACATGCAACTCTAAAAGTGACAAGTAAATAGTTGGTTTAATTTACATTGGACCTACTTATCTCTTGATGTATGACACAGACGTTTATATGGTGGTGAGCCATATAAGTCATTTACATTGGACCTACTTATCTCTTGATGTATGACACAGACGTTTATATGGTGGTGAGCCATATAAGTCATTTACAAGATAAGATAATCCAATATAATTTCAATACCTTAACAACTTCAATGCTTGGACTCTTATAAGCATTTGCAGTCTGTGCTTTGGCTTTTTAAATGCATTTTAATATTCTTTCACGCCTGTTCTGTACTGTAGAAATACAAATACATATGCTTAAAATAACAAACATCTTCAGCGGATGATTGGTTATTTTATCCATAACAATACTTAATGTTACCATAATTTCTAATTAGCAGCAATTTTAAAAAACACTTGAGAAAAACGACAATTTTTTTGAAAGCAAACATGTTTCAACATTATCAGAATGCCATCTTCAGTGCAGAATGGTTAGTGTTAAGTAATATGATATGTAATATGATATGAATAAATTAATTACAATGAATAGGATTATGATTTAGTTACAAAAATATAAAATATTTACAAAAAGGAAAAGAAAAATAAGTATTAAGAACTTATAACAAAAAATATTATGAAGTAAATATAGTGTTGTAGTGGTGAACGTGGATATTTAAATAAACGTTATTTCAAACTACCTTACATAGGTGATTACTCACGACACACACAACGCAAACTCACACAAATCATTAAACGCTACTGCACTGACATTGACGTTAAACTTACTTTCACACCTTTTAAAATAAAATCTTTATTTTCGTTTAAAGACCCACTTCCCGAACTTTCCAAATCTATGGTAGTTTATCAATTTTCATGTGCGGGATGTAATTCCCGCTATATTGGTGAAACTTCCCGCTATATTGGTGTTTTAAAGGCAGCGGAGAAGGTATGTTGTAGAAGTAAAGGCGGTGTAGTAGAAGAACAGGCATGGTGGTGGGATCAACGAGTCAGCGAAGTGATTGGCGCGAAGAAGTTGGCATTTAAAAGGTGGAGAAAGTCGCGGACTGAAGCAGATAGGATCGATTACATCCGATTCAAGAAAAAGGCGCGAAAGGAGGTGGCTAAAGCGATAGAAAGACATCAGAAAGAGCTTCTCGTAAAAATGCAGGAGAATGGCGTTGTTGTTTAGAACTGCTAAAAGAGCAAGGAACGATATTTTGGTGCTCCGGCGTGCAGAACCACGATGGGGTTGAAGGTGTGGAGACAGGTTAGAACCAAGAAGGGCGTACTGTGACCGTTTGATGAATGTAGAGAATGATGGAAGTTAAGGAAGCGGATGAAGTTTTGGGCCGTGGGAAATAGTGACTGTTGATGAGGTGGCGGCGGCTCTGCGCAAGATGAAAGAGCGACGGAACCAGGAGTGAAGTGGGTAGCGAAATGTTGGACAATGAACTATGCGTGAAGAGTTGTGTAATGTAGCGAACGAGGTTTTGAGGGGCTCAAAGATGCCCGAGTACATGGAGAAAGAGTCTAGTGGTCCCGCTGTACAAAGGAAAGGAGCAGCGACGGTATGTGGGAATTACAGGACTATTAAGCTGATGGAGCATGCGTTGAAGATAGTAGAAGTGTTTGAAAGAAGGTTGAGGTTAGTTGTTCGGATGGGGAAAGCAGTATGGATTCATACCGGGGAAGGAACGACGGATGCGTGTTTTGTGTTGAGGCAGCTGCAGGAGAAATTTTCGGAGAAGGACAGAGAATTGTATATGGTGTTTGTAGATTTGGAGAAGGCGTTTGATAGAGTTCCGAAAGGTGATCGAGTACGCGCTGCGTAGAAAGGTGTGACAGAAATATGGTTCGGGCAGTTATGGAGACTTATGAAGGTGTAGAGGCGGTGGTTACGGAGGAAGGTGCTAGATCTGGTGTTTTGAGGTAAAGTTGGTGTTCATCAAGGTTCAGTCTTGTCGCCGTTACTGTTTGCTTGTGTGATGGATGTACTGACAGAGGAAGTGAGAAGAAAAGAGGATGCTGGTGTTTGTTGTAGGCAGATGACATTGTCTTGGTGTGAAAGCAGAAAGTCATGGAATGGTACCGAGAATGGAAAGAAACGGCAATAGAAGTCAAGGGACTGAAAGTGAATGAGGCAAAGACGAAGGGCATGAGATGCTCGAGGCAGGTGGAGGTGAAGGACAGTGATAAATGGCCATGTGGTGTGTGGGAAAAGAGTTGGGTGAATTCGATAATGTGGGAAATGGGTAAGTGGGTTCATGGAAGATGTTCAGGTGTCCGTGGTGCATTGACAAGAGTAGCTGATTTTGAGTGCGGGACGTGTCGAAGTGGTGGGCGAGTCGCGATTGAACGGTTTGAACTGGGTGACGTGAGTTTGGAAGGTGTATCGGAGTTTAAATATCTGGGCGATGTGTTAAATGATGGTGGAGAGTGCGAGAGCAAGCGGTGAGGAACAGAGTTCAAGCAGTGGTGGAGTTTTAGAGATTGTCGGGAATGTTGTGCGGAAAGTCGACTTCGTTGAAGCAGAAGGAGAATTGTATAAGGCATGTGTTAGAAGTGTTTTGGGATATGGAGCAGGTGTTGGGCGCCGAAAGCAGAGGACCCGAGAAGATTGGCGTCGACGGAAAGGAGAATGCAGGATGATGTGTGGTGTAACGTTGATGGATAGGATTCGAAGTGAAGAGATTAGAAAGAGTTGGTGTTGAGTGTATCGAGAATGGGTAAGGCGCCAGCGTTTGAGGTGGTTTGGGCATGTGGAAAGGAGGGAAGAAAGTGCTGAAATTCGAAGAACGTTGCATATGAATGTTGATGGAGTCCGCAAACGAGGTAGACCGAGAAAGAGATGGATGGATGCTGTGAACAGTGATATGAAGGCGATGGGTATAACGAGAGATATGGCGAGAGATAGAGACGTGTGGCGTGGAAAAATTCATGGACCGGTCAACCCCCCTGGCGGGGATTAATACTAGCCGGTATATAAATGTTGTTTGTTTGTTTGTTGATTGGTGAAACTTCTCGCCAATTAACTACCAGGGTAAAGGAACATACTCACACAGACAAAAACTCCACTATCTACAAACATCTTCAAGCCTCTCCTTCATGTAAAAACAAATTCTCACCTTCCTGTTTTAAAATCATCGACACTGATCAATCAACTTTCTCACTCAAAATCAAGGAGGCTCTACACATTAATAAAACTAATCTCGATTTAAATATCCACGTTCACCACTACAACACTATATTTACTTTATAATAATATTTTTTGTTATAAGTTCTTAATACTTATTGTTCTTTTCCTTTTTATAAATATTTTATAATTTTGTAACTAAATCATAATCCTATTCATTGTAATTAATTTATTCATATCATATTACGTATCATATTACTTAACACTAACCATTCTGCACTGAAGATGGCATTCTGATAATGTCGAAACATGTTTGCTTTCAAAAAAATCGTCGTTTTTCTCAAGTGTTTTTTAATACTTAATGTATAGACTTAATTCTTGTGCATTATTTGTAGACAAAACCATGTAAAATTTTTTTAGGTCAAAGCAGACGTAATCTCGATGATATACACCTCAGTTTAGGGTGTACTCCAAAATTTCTTCGGGGGTACAAAATACGGTTTTGAAAATAATAACAACATGGGAGGTTTGAATTAAATCAACAGCTGATTTCAAATTTATTATTATTTTTATCCTTAATAATTCCATGAACAGTCAATGATAATACACAATTTTGTTCACAAATTTACCTTGGAGTAGAAAATCTGCTGTAGAATCGTTTAATTTATTTTCTTGCTCATCAATCGACATGGATGTATTTAATACCGTAATAGGGCAAAATGTGCAGTTTAATTCCTTTGACTCTGCCAACCTTCTTTGGGACTTCTCGCTTTCTTTTCGATGCCATTCACCTTCACTACAACTCTATATATCTGTATATCTTTAACATAGGCAGAAAATTTTGCTCCGATATTCAAAATTTGAAGTGAAGTAACAAATATTTTAAAAACATTGCTCGCTTAAATTCTCAAATTTCGTGCGGTCATAATCAAGTCGTTTTCATAATGGTTTCCATCCATCAAAACTACATTTATATCACGGTCTACTGGAAGAAAGACTAGGACCGGATAAATATTGAAAGTGAAACAAAAACAAAATTTACAACATAAACGGTGCTTTTTACATTTTAAGAATAATTATTCATTTTTCTTGATAAAACTAAAATTCCCCGCGAGGCTTTAGCCGTCGACTCCAGTCAAGAATTCCATCTGGAAAGCAATAACGGAAACGAAGAATCCGTAAGCGATGGCGAGACACAAACACAATGCACTGATATAAAGAAACCCAAACAAGTTGCATTCTTGTTGCTGATTCAAATATGGATTAATGCATTAAGCAATGGTGTCATCCCTTCAATTCAACCGTTTGCCTGTATACCTTACGGCAACAATATCTTTTATTATACGCTTATTTTATCCAATGTTGCCAACCCTTGCTCAAGTTTACTGTTTCATTGGGTTCCGACAACTTAAGTTCTGTTCATTGGATTACTAAGTATGGTGTATAGCAGTTTTGTAACTTATATTGTGTGCATCGCATCTCTCAGTTCTGATCCACCATTGACGGAGAACAATATTGGTGCAATTATCATTGTAAGTGTATAACGAAAGTTTTCTTGATCTTGTTAATCACGTGAAGAAATTTCTTATGTTAATTAATGTATTTCATAATTTAATATTTAGGTCACAATGAATGTGTTAAGTGTTGCCATAGTCACCTACACTAAAGTTGCAATTTCAACTTGGATGCAGAAAGAAGGAAAACGTCATCTGCGATGGGCAGGAATTTCCATGCAGTCTGGCTCGTTCTTTGGAGCTGTGATCATATTTTATTTGTCAATGTGTTTGAAACTTCCGAGATGTTAACATGAAGGATTCTTCTACATGTGACATCAATGGACTATAAATGTCAGTCTGTTCCACACAACCTCTTTAACTGACCTCCATACCCAAAATTTTTTAAAGATGAAGATATAAGAAATAAACAAAAGGAGCAAATAATTTTACTTAGAGCTGTATTGCTATAAAATATCTATGATAACAGATCCAAGGAAATATTTATACAGATTAATCATGACAGGTGATAACATTTGTCAAAGTAAGCAATCAGATTGTGCTCTCCAGCTGAAGATTTATAGAGATAAAATATTAGAACTTAAATATATCATTATGTAAAGACTATTATGGTTTTCATATTCATCTTGTATCTTTTCTACCCAATTCTAAAAATAAAGTTAGCCAAGGGAGGGTTATGGTAGAAGTTGAGTTTACTAAGTATTCAAAAACAACAACCGATGACTATTGGGTTTCAGGAAACATCAAACATTGTATACAATAACCTTATTGGGTTACATTGTTTATTTTGCTGTATGTTTTATTATCATATAGGAATGGTTCACCATTATATTTTGTTCTTCATTTCACATGGGTCATGTGCATGTTGTACACGCACCATTGATTTTGGTCCTTTCACTTGGCTCATGTGCATATTCAACCATTATACAAGAATGCTTTACCATTATTTGTTGGTTCTTCCATCACTTGGATTGTTTGATTGTCTTAATAATAAATCATATTCCTTCAGCTGCCTCCAAAAACCTTCATTAGGTTTTACTGTTGGTCGTGCTTTCTTTACCAAATGAAATGCATCATCTAACCCAATATTCTTAGATTTCATAAGGTAAGCAATGACAACAGTCGAAGACCTGGACACCCCCCTGCATTGCTGGACATTTAAAGGAAAATCATTTCATTGGCTGAAAATTTTTTGCTGCATAAGCAACAATTTTTAGTTTAATGGCCATCATCTATAAGTTACCTATGCCTCCAATATGAAACGCAGGCTTTAATTAACATTTCAACAAGTTAACAGTGAACATGCTGGTTCAGCATTTGTTTTTTGTAATCAAATTAATATCTTCCATGAGAACATATATTGCGTTGAAAAGCATGTAGAAAAACCTACATGTTTGTATGTATTGATCATTCAGGTTAATTCAGTTGATGTTGACTGATGTTTTGACGTCCTCAGATGTAGTCATCTTCATGCAGAGTCAAGTTCAAAGTAAATAATTATTGCTAAGTACGTTAAAAATCAACATGTAATAATAAAAATATTCAAAGTTTAATTCATTCATTTGAAAACCTAAAATCTTACCATAATAACCTTCACAATACACACACATTAAGAATATCAATGGCCATTGCCATTTTACACTTACCAATGAACCAAAACCTTTCCATCCTCCAGTCCCTTTTCAATGAATGAGGACAGCTCAGCAAAATGCTGATCTATTCTTGTGTCAGGTAAATCCAAAATTTCTACTGTTTTGTACTGAAACTCCTGAGAGAAAAAATCAAAATTTTGACATAAACACAAGAGCCTAGGCTAAAATTTGAAATCCACCATATAAGTTATACTCACATTTGGAAATTGATTTACAATTCCTGTGGCAACATTAACAATATGAGTAATTTTGTGCAGCCTTAAATGTTCAAGATTACAAGCTCCATCTTGTGAAGAAATGTACAAGTTGTCTGCTACATGATATATCTTGTCGTCAATACTTGTATCTATGCAATAACCATCGACTTTACCAATTACTGCACAGACTTTGTCCCCACAAGTCAAGTTGCTTGTTAAAACCTGAACAAAGAAGCAAAAAGGTTTAAATCTACTTTTATTAATCAAACACACTACCAAGTACATTCATACAAATTAAAAACTAATACCTTTGTGCCATCAGTATGAGTTGAGACAGTCGAGACGTGCTTCAGTTGCTATGTTTTAACAAATATTTCATCAGCAAAACTCATTCTCACTTCCCAGTAATGGAAAATTTGACCATTTCGACAATTTTATCCGCACATTTGAATAATATTTTAAGGATAAAGTACGAGTATAAACAATGTATAATAATTAGTGTGACGAAATCGTCTGTATCCGTTCTTTTCTGAACTAAAGATGGTGTGTAGTGTGAAACTATATGATTTTGTAATTATGCATGTTTACGTGAGCATGTTCATTGTTTGAGAGATATAACACGTAGAAATGACATCGGTGCATCAAATTTGCTTCCATAAAATGAAGATATATCGAGGTTTCACTAAATTAACCAAGGTCAAGTAGCAACCAGAAAGATTAAAGGAAGGGGGGGGGGATGCACATTAAAGAAAAACAAAATCACACTGTTGATATTATAGGCAATTGAACATACGTTAATATTTTGTACACCACAAAATGCACGTATATAGAGCGTACCTACCTCAATACAAAGAAACAAACACGTGATTCAGTGACAGTTCATAACATGGAGACCTTATGAATGTATAGGGACCATTGAGTTCTATAAGACCTGGAGGGGAAACGTCAACCAAATTGCTATAAATTATTAGCGCGCGGCCGCGTGGTCAAAAACATGGCGGATTTTGGTTGTCAAAGTCAGCGGAAAGACGCGGGCTCATAAAATGAAATTTTTTTCGCCCACCCGGATTTGACAACCACAATTGCGATTATATAAAATATCAATGCCAAGCACAAAAACTTTAGAATTTTTATCTTTAAAACATGCTGCAAACTTGTTTGGTATACGGATGCTGAAGTAATGCCAGAAAAGGAAACATTTCATGACACTGGTAAGCAACGTAAGATTGTTTACTATTTAAAGTGTTCAGTGTTTTGTTTTAAGTCAATACTTGAAGTGTGATGGCATATATTTTGTGAATGTTTTTACTCCTAAGTTATAATTTAAGTTATGTTTATCCAGTCTTATTTGTTCTTTACTTAATCGCTTGCTAGACGAGGCAAAGCAACCAGTTCTTATCGAGATATGCATATCTTAAAACTCCTTGTTTCAACTGAGTTGAAATGGAGGATTTTTTCATGATATTTTTCTGAAAATATGAAGCAAATATTAAGGACAGAGCTGTATTGAAATCAAATGCAGTGCAGGATTAATTAATGAGCTCTTTGGTACATGTCGTACAATAAAAAATACCTGTATTAAACAGCTAGCTGTTGATGGTGTGTAAAGGTTTGCTTTATGCTAAAATTTTTATAAATGCCATCTGGTGTTTCTGTAAATGAATTGTTTGTTACACAGTGTAGTAAACAGGTTAGTACATCAAAATCAAGATAAAAACTACTTTGTTCAATAATGTGCCAAATTTTGCTCCTACCTTGAAATATTTGCTCAAGAAAAGCTTATCATGACATGCATGAAACATTAAATACAGTACTGCATCATCTGACAAAATCCATATGTTTTCAATTCCAGGTGATTAAAATTCACATAAGATGCATTGGTTGCAATGAAGTTGAATGTGGAAGAAGCAAAATTGATGGCAAAGAACTTTTATGTCTTTTGAAGAATTCGATATCATTTAAAAGAATAAGAGTAGCAATCTAGTAAAAGGCGACATCTGTCTTCAACATGAGACTTTTCAATTATGTGTAGTTACTTTGTACAAAATACTATTTTAGATAAACTTGATTTTAAGTCATTCACTGATATTTTACCAAAAGACAAAAAGAACAATTCAAAGGCATAATGTAAAATTCAAAATTTGTCAAGTTGTTCGAACCTAGAAAAAATTAGTATAGGTAACTGTAATTTGTAAGGACACAAAAGAAAAGTAGTGCAAGAAGGTTAGCATTTTTGAGAATTAATAAGTTCTTGACATACATTACACAAGGCCATAATATTATAAATAATGTCTGTATAATAACAATTATACAACATGCTAAATATCTTCACCTACATTATAATTATTTCAACAGGTTTGCCTTCATGCAGCAATAAGAAAAGTGTTATGTCAGAGAAACCAATGCACTTTGATTTAAGAAATAGTATTTTCAATTGGAAATTAATGTAGTTCTGTTCAGTAGTAGATCCATGGTTGTCAATAACAATCCATTTTCTAATATCTTGGCTCAAGAACCAGCAACATGATTATAGAATTTCTGAATTTCGTTCTTTTGCTCTCCTAGTTCAAGATATTTTCCTCATAAGTTCTCAGTAGATTTATCAGAATATCATAATACTTTATAAGACACCCAGAATCAATCCTACCAAAAAAAACTCAAAAAAATTACATACCTACTTATAATATATTTCCAGTTGACTTAAGTCGTAGGGGTAAGCTAACTTTTCTAACTCCTTTTTGGACATTTTAAGTAAGATTTACCCATCTATTCAAGAAAGACAGTTGCACCAAGCTTTTAACAAACAGTCAAAAACACAAGCAATGCGCATGGGATTATGCATTAAAGCTTAACGACACATTGACAGTGTAAAGAATGCCGTTTTATATTTATTTCTAATATAGCTAAAGCAATACTTGAAAAAATATACGTTATTTTACAGTAGATTTACCTCATTTAAATGTGTATGTCTATTTCACAAAAACCTGAAGCATTATTTTCAATATTTTATGCTTACGGTATCGTGGTTGTTTTGGCTGGTTGTCATTACTATGAGCAGTGTTAGAGTTCCGGTTTCGGGAGGGAGCGAATGTTAAAAATTTTTCTCAAAGTGGAAGTTTTGACAACCAAAATCCGCCATTACCGCCATGTTTTTGACCACGAGGCCCAGGCCCCTTTGCCCCTCCAGGTCTTTTAGAGCTCAATGATAGGGACATGGAGGTGTAGTGCACTGGGGTGTCTACGGCCCCTAGTTCCTGCCACTGACTAGTAATTCAATAGAACCACAGTTACGGCCTAAACGATTTTAAAGATGCACTACTTGTGGCCTGGGACAAAGGAAGAAACTTGCAGACAAGAAAGTCTAATTAAGTGGCTAACTGCAGGCTAACTACGACAAAAGGAATCTCTCATCACCTAAGGTATTCTTAACATGGTCATTTTTCCCATTCTTGCACTCTTTTGTCTGTTCCATTTAGCATTTTGAATGTTATCAATAATTTATTTGTTAGAACTTATTCACAAAAGATGTCTAAACTTTTAATTTGCAAAATTGGATGCAACAATCTTTGTTTAATATGTTTTCCTTGTGTCTTGAAACATGTTTCCTTGTGTTATATAAGCATGATCATCGTATCTAAAATGATTAGAAATATTGACAGTGAAATAAAGAAAGGTAATGAATTTAGGGTGCCACCAAAAACGAATGAGTTTCAGACTTTCAACCAGTGATTCAGACTAAACAAATGTAGTTTTGAGCTGAAAACGTAACAATCGTCAACTCTTGGATTAATGTTAATTCTGCATTATAAGAAAAGACGTAATTTTACTACAACAAATAACCTTGAAGTTAGGATGTTTTTACACCGAGATCGAACTGCCTTATGGGATTGACTAAAGCTCTACTTCTTTGACCTTAAAAACTTTGACCTCAGTTGTGTTTTTTTTTCTTGATGTGCTTCATTGCATTACTTTGTTTTATCTTTTGTCTTTGTTTTGCTTAATATAAATATGTTAAAATATAAAACTAGGCGTTGTTATGCTTTGCTCTCAGCTTCCGTGTTTATCAAACGTAGACTGAAAATTTTAACCTATCTTTTAGCTTCAACTTTTAGTGATAACAAAATTTCGTCAACTCCTGGATTAATTTTGATATTAAATTGTATAGGAAGACGTATGAAATGGCTTGTCGTCCTAATGTTTATGAAAGTGGATATGAAGAATCGAGATTTAAGATTGCTGTTGATGAAAATTTTTACTGTTCAATTTGTCTGAATGTCATGAAAGATGCCAGAATGTGCCATAATCAACACAGTTTTTGTCGTGAATGTATTGAAGAACATCTACGAGTTAATGCACAAAGATGTCCTCAATGTCAAGATAATTTAACTGTAGCTACGCTTCATCCAGCGCGTGTTATAAATAACGTGATTTCAAAGTTAAAGATCAACTGCGACTACGCCAGTCGTGGTTGTCCTGAATTTATAAATGTCGAAGATCTTGAAAGACATGTTGAAAATTGTGGTTTTGCTCCAGTGTTGTGTCTAATGAACGTTGTGGTCTGGAAATAAACAAACGAGACAAGATTAAACATGAAACTGAATTATGTGAATACAGAAAGATTGCTTCTCACGACTTTCGAGAGATTAGCGAAATGTTTCAACGAAGTTTTGAAGACAAAATGGAAATGCAAATGAACAACTTAAGCAGGAAAATAGACGAAGAATTTATTGAAGTAAAAGAATCAGTGAAACCATTGACATCTCAGTATAAAGAAATGATGGAATCTAGAAGGGAAGTAGAAAATGTTCAACAAAATCTTTCTACAGTGACCAAAGAAATGATGGAATCAAGGAAAGAAATAAAAGATCTTCAACAAAATCTTTCTGCAGTGACCAAAGAAATGAAAGAAATGAAAACCGTGATGTTTCAAATGTTAGAAAAGATGAATATAAATGAACAACATGTTCAAACATTGCCATCATCAATTGAAATGGTGATGAACTCTGTAAAAGGTGATATTTTGATTGCTGGAGGTTACACACAAGATTCCATTAAGAGTGTTGAAATATTTTCATGGAAGGAGGAGAAATGGTTTAACATTGCATCAATGGAAAATGAACACAGGCGGGCTTCATCGTTTATTTATAAGAATAATTTATTTGTTGTTGGAGGATATTGCTGCAAGTCAATGGAGACATTGAATATAAAACAGTCTCCTTTGACATGGAAGATATTTCCTGCAGAGCTTCCTTATGAATGTTGGGATAATCAAACTGTTGTTTATAAACAACAAATCCTTCACATTGGAGGATGCATTATTGGCAAACGACTATCAGATTTGATCAGTGAAATAAAGATAAATGGTACAACATTTCATGTTTTGAAAGAGTTGTGTCATATGCCTGAACCACGTCAGTGCTATGGAGCTGTTGTTGTTGATGATAAAGTTCTTATTTTTGGAGGAGATGGAAAAGATCGGAAAGTTTTGTCCAGTGTTTTGGAATTTGGTCCAAGGACTCTTACATTTAAGGAAATGCCTCCATTAACTTATCCATTGACTCAAATGGCAACAGTTCAATGGAGAGATCAAGTTGTTCTTCTTGGAGGTTATGATGGAAGAGAAAAATTGAACAGTGTTATCATGTATGACAGCAAAACAGGTAAGATTACAGTCTTACCATCCATGTTGGAAAAGAGACAGGGGTGTTGTGCAGTTATAACAGGTGATACAATTGTTGTCATGGGAGGTGTGAATGATAAAGGTAATTATCTTCATTCAGTGGAATGTTTTAAAATGGGAAGTAGTTCTTCATGGACATATCTTCCTTCAATGAACGATCCACGATACTTGTCCGTAGCCAAAGTTTTACCTTTTGGACAAAAGTATGTATAAGCAAGAAAACGTTCATCAAACGTTATAACTTACTAAAAATTCTTGTAGCTTACACTGGATGATAAATATGTAAAGTTAAATGTGTAAACCTTTATAGCTTGTTGAAAAATTATTTCTCCACTGATTCACTTTAATGATATACATACTGTATTATATAAATGGTATTTTTCAAATATATTACATGGCTTTGCTTACATCATTATTAAATTATGCGTTGAATTTGTTTCGACTATTTTACATGAAATATATAAAATAATGAAACAGAGACTTTGTCGTGGTGACAAACTTAAAGATGGATTTTAAAATAGCAAATACCATGGTGAATGGTGATAATAACAATATAATAGTTCTTAAAAGAACTGTTTTAACCATAAAACTAACCCAACAATTCAAAGGAACCGTTATTTACAGCTAGAAAGAGACACTATGCATTTCGGCAGACTACTCGTCAGATGTCAACGTCTGCTAAATGAGAAACTCCAAATCATGCTACATTTATAATGTTACAAAAGGTCAATGTCATCCCTATTTTTAAAGATGACACTTAAAACAGAGACAGATTAAACACGTAATCCTTTTGTCGGCAAAGGACAGGATTAGTCAATTTAATTAATACCGACTCCATGACGCCTATCTGGAATAACGAGCGACATTTTTTAATAATTTTAAAGTTTTCATCAGAATAAGCATTGGTAGAGCGAGTGTTGCTTAACAGATGTTTTCCAATTGCTGAATCACATAGAATCGTATTTTTATTTTTACACCCACGTTTGGTAGTTGTCGTAAAGGAACAGTTTATTCTGACAGAAGCTGGTACATGTTCTTTTATTCTTTCACTCAACCTTTGAGAAGTCCTACCTACATAGCGAGCATCACACTCACATTTAAACTCGTGGACTACATTGCTTGATATTTGAGAAGGGAGATACTCTTTGGGAGTGGGTGGAAGTATAGTTCTTTTTTAGAATATAAAGACCACATTGCATGCAAAAAAAAAACTCTCAGTGATATTTTTAGTTTCCTTCTCAATGTCATTAGAGGCCTAGAGAATAAAAGAGCATGTACCAGCTTCTGTCAGGAATAAAACTGTTCCTTTACGACAACTACCAAAACGTGGGTGTAAAAGTGAAAATCCGATTCTATGTGATTCAGCGATTGGAAAACATCTTTTGAGCAACACTCGCTCTAATGCTTATTCTGATAAAACTAAAATTATTAAAAATGTCGCTCGTTCATGAAGTCGGTATTAATTAAATTGACAATCTGTCTTGCCGACATACGTCTTTCTGTGTCAATGTTAAGTGTCATCTCTAAATAGGGATGACATGACTATAACTAACATTATAAATACTCTTCAGAGACTCATTGAACGTTATTTTCTAAATGCATAGTCTTTCTATATGAATTATGTTTAATCTGTCAGTGTTTTTAGGTAAATGTCTCTCTAAAATAGGGATGACATTGACCTTTATGACATTATAAATATAGCATGATTTGGAGTTTCTCATTTAGCAGACGTTGACACCTGACGAGTAGTCTGCCGAAATGCATAGTGTCTCTTTCTAGCTGTAAATAACGGTTCCTTTGAATTGTTGGGCTAGCTTTCTGGTTAAAACAGTTCTTTAAGAGCTATTACATTGTTATTATAACCATTCACCATGGTATTTGCTATTTTGAAATCCATGTTTAAAGTGCTTATATTACGAATTTTAGCCCCCCTTTTTTATGAGCTTCATTGAAAATTTGGATTATTTGAAGAACTATGACATGTCGCTGGACTTAAACAGATAAATATAAGTTCCTTAATTTTGCCTCCAAAGTCGAGTACTATTTGCGAATTTTTTACGACGCCATATTGATACTTGTGACGTAGATAGTTTAACACGTCTGTTTCCGTCAATATAATATTATATTATAGGAGGTGATTTTGTTGTCGTTTTTTTTGTCTTAAAAACAAGTAATGACAGTATTTTCAATAAAATATTAAAAAAATATCAATTTTCCGGAAAGTATGGCTTCAAATCAGTGCTCAGATAATTCGAATTCGATGTCTGAATGCGTATCTGATTCGAGCTCGGAATCCGTGGGTTATGTCGAGCATTGAAACGACTTAGCATATGATGATGAACCGCTCGCAGGAGATGGTGATGAAGTGCATACTCCAGATGATCTCGATGGAATTCTCCCTGCGACATTAGAACAACGAAGTGATGGCGTAATTCCACTCGGTGAATGGTAAGTTGTTGTTTTCTCCTGTTTGTAATGAGCATAAAGTTACTTTATAAACCACAATGCTCCCACGTTTCAGGTGTAATTGTCAATGCTGTCATACCGATTTGTTAGAAGGCATTAGAGTACAGATGCTGTAAGGAAATAGGACCAGCTTTGCAGAAAATGACATTCGATGGCAGCATTGAGAAAGAATCATGCATAACACAGCATGCCAAATTTGGGCCTTTAGTTCTGAGGCTGTTCTTGAAAACGTCGGGCCACTATTGAGAGATAGGAATGGACGTGCTTATCGCCTTAAACATCACAATCATTAAAATGTAAGATTGTAAATTGTATGAGAAACAATGTTATCATCAACATTGTTTCATCAACAATAATTAGTCCAACCTTTTATTTACTTCAGGTACTTGAGAGCTGTGGCATACAGATGGTTAATGCGATGGTTTGTGGGTCTATGGGATGGGAGAATACTCGGCCTTTACCTGCTTGTGTTTACCACTTTATTCGGAAAGCATATCCAAGTGGTAACACAACAGGTTACATACATCAGAGGGCGATGATGGAATAGTCTTTAACTTGTGCACTGTAGAGACTGTTGACCTTCTTTGCTGAGTTTGGAATGGTCAGGAAATATGCCTAGATGAAAACCAAATAGGAGATACATGGATGCACTATATAAGTTGACATGCAGTTTAATGGTTTGAAACAAGAGTGAACAATAAAAATAAATTGGTGCAACTACTGAGAGGTTAAGCTGAAAGAATTAAATGAGAGAAAATCTTTTCTTCAATGTCAGTTTTGGAAAAAAGACAAAAGAAAAAATATATAGAATTAAATCATAGCATAAATGTAAAAATGGAAAATTGCAAGCCGTTCAAATGGCGAATCGTTTGCTTCCCCAGTGCATACTTCAACATGCTCAGCCCCATCACTAGTAGATGGTACTTCCTCATCGAGAGAACATGTTTCCTTCATCGATGGCTTATGGAGAGTATGTCGAATAATCTACAAAACTTATATCGAATTTACATATGACAAAAGAAAAAATTAACATAAACAAGCGTAAACTTACTTGTCTCCGCTTTCAATTGGTTATTTCGTCCTGTAATGGTTCACGAATCCCAGCCACGTCAATGGTTGGGATAGCGTCTTTCTTCAACCTTCTTTTGTGCTTGACTTGCACGCTCAAATTAAGGTCAAAACAAGAATCGTCAAAATGCGCAGAACACAGACACGAGGTGAGGAAGCCTCAAAACCCGGTCTATGTTTACGCAAAACCTGTTTCTTTTTGGAAACAGATGCATCGGCATTCCTTCGGTTTTTGAATCATTGGCGCAACTAATTTGATTAGGTCCGCCAGCAACACAGCGTTTTCCTCCGCGTTTCTTATTAAGATTACTAGTATAATACGCCATGTTGATATATGTGTTCAACTTTCTACGTCACAAGTCATTAGCATACCGATCAAAAAGTTCGCAAAAAAAATGCTGAAAATCGTGACTTTGAACGTCCGTAAAATCACTTTCACCAATCCAATTTCAATTATAATTGCAGATTTAAAATCACTGAAACAAGGTCTTTCAATTTAGCTAATAAAAAAGGGGGGGCTAAAGTTCGTAATATAAACACTTTAAATATATAAAAGCAATTTGCTTAGAGACTATTTACATGGAGGTACGGTAACCCAGCACAAGGGTTATCCCAGAAAGTGAGTCACCCTACGTAAATATGTTTATAAGTAGAGTTCACACATGCGCTAGGGCACCCTTGTGGTAGGCTTGCACTAATAGCACCAACATTCAAGCACTTCTTAAGACTACACCAAACTGTAGCGTTCACACATGCGCCACTAGGGGCACTCTATAGTGGTAGGATTACCCTAATTACACAAACATTCAATCACTTCTTAAGACTACACCAAACTGTAGTGTTCACACATGCGCGCTAGGGACACAGTAGTCGTAGGTTTACCCTAATAACACCAACATTCAATCATTTCTTAAGACTACACAAAACTATAGCGTTAACACATGAGCGCTAAGGGGCACCCTAGTGCTAGGATTACCCTAAAACACCAGCATTCAATCATTTCTTAAGACTACACCAAACTGGATATCAATTTTCGTTAGTACTGCCATTATTATTATACGCAGCAAAATTTAAAACGTGACATACTTTATATGCATGGTAAAATTACAAGAATGAGAAAACTGCACCATTAGCTGTTGGTGTACTGTGCTTTGACCATCTACGACGTGTATACTCGTACGAAATCACGTGATAAGTTTCTTGCTATTTACTGGCTAAAATGACATAAATATGACAATTTGTTATTGCAGCTTCAGATTGAAAATTTTGCCACCTTTCCAGTTTCCTCTCAGACAATAAAATAACGAGGAGATTTTATGTCTGAGAACTTTGTATTCTTGATGTGAACATGACGTCATCAATAATACAGTCGCCATGTTTAGGGTTTGTAACCTGGTTTTTGTACGTCCAAAAAAGTACATTTTGGCTTTCATTTTTTTGTTTTGCGTTTTGGCTGCATTTAATGTTTTTCATTTTAACGAACTGTAATTTTTCTGTCATTTAAACCATTATAAGGTGGTGGGACAGTCACAGTGATTTGTGCTACACAGTGAAATTTAATATTCCTAGGAAAAACGATTATAACGCACAAATATACCAGCAAAGTGTCCTACAGTTTAGCAAGTTAATATTTTAATAATACAGTTATTAGATGGGGTTGAGCATGATATCTAGAATTATTCAGACCGAGGTCAATGTCATCTGCCGAAGCTGGGGGCGGATAACGTTGACAGAGGTATGAATAATTGTTGCATCAAATTGAATAATTGTTTATCATTCACTTCAACAAACTGAAATATTATTTACACTCATCAATGTAAAACATTTCGAAACCTGCCCTTAGTTGTAATTGTCAAACGGTTTTTTTGAGTTCTTCTTGTTTAAATATGCTGTAAATATGTTCGAAACCAGCTTTGTCGCTTTTTTAGTGTTTTCCTCATCAATTTTGTTCAAAAGCTTTCGTTTATTGTTTTTAGAAACTGTGGTAAACATCACTTTATTTGATTTTTCAAATTCATCTTTTAATGGCGTCAGTCAATAATTGTAGAAATTATTTTTCATAGATATGACGTCATACCTACTGATATCAAGAATTAGAACATAGCCAAAGTCATTCGGCCAATCAGCGTCCAGTATTTTGATGTTATAATTGCCCACAAAGTTAAAAGCAAACACATGTGTATTACATAAAATGAAACAACATACGTGTTTTCCCATGTTCAATAACTTTTAAAGTACGTCGTGTATTTGTCGTACCAACACATGCTTCTTTCTTCTTATCTAACTCAATTTTCTTTAGACTTGAAACATCCACTGGAGCAGGTTGTTGAAGTGCTTTTAAATCTGACATAACCAGAGTAGAACTTGGACTTTTGCATCATCTAACAATGATGTGCTTCGATAACCAGTCCGAGACATTATTGTTTGTTCATCACTGAAAATATTCCTTTCTTAGGGTTGTTGGGCACGTAACTTTTCCAAAATCATTCGAAAATCTTCAAACTTTCATGTCAATGTAATCTACCTCGCATTGTTCATAAATATTTATAGAACGTGTTTATTTTAACAGGTTGTGAGCTATACCAATCCAATGTCCCCCTGGCTTATAACTTTCTAGAGGTTTTGAACAAAAACCTGCCTTTACATGGAGCACATCTCAAATACTCGTTGAAAACAATCATCAGCTGTAAACTAAAGATACTTGTATAAGAATACAGCATTTTAAATTCAGTACCATAAGTAATCCTTCTAGCTTTGCCATGCATTGTTCTAAGACGGTGCCCGAGTAAGTGAAATTTTATCTAATGCGAGGGGCTCTCAATCCCATAGAGCACACATGATGGTGCTCTACCCTTACTAATTTGCAGGTAGTTGACCAAATCACTAGCAGTTAGTCATGTAAAATATTTCAAATTCAAATTCCATGTAGGTTGGTATGAAGAAATGTCTAGTACTTATATGCTCCATTCGAATGCCATTGTCAAATCTCTCTTGTAAAATCAATAGCTCAGGTAGGATAATTGTCAGTTGTGGTTAACCATAATTTTGAAGCCTGCTCCCCAGTCACCCTAACCCCACTGGAGCAGGTTGTTGAAGTGCTTTTAAAACTGACATAACCAGGTAGAAGTTGTCCTTTGCATCATCTAACAATGATGTGCTTCGATAACCAGTCGAGACATTATTGTTTGTTCATCACTGAAAATGTTCCTTTCTTGGGGTTGTTGGGCACGTAACCTTTCCAAAATCATTTGAAAAATCTTAATCTTTCATCTCAACGTAATCTACCTCGCTTATTGTTCGTAAATATTTATAGAACGTGTTTAATTTAACATGTTGTGAGTTATTCAGTACGATAAGTAATCCCTTCTGTCTTTGGCCATGCATTGTTCTAAGACGATGACCGTTTAAGTTAAAGTTTATCTAATGAGAGGGTCTCTCAATCCCATAGAATATCTATTATCAGGTGGTGGTCTTATTATCACTAGCAGTTAGTCATCTAAAATATTTCAAAAATTCAAATTCCTTGTAGGTTGGTATGAAGAAATGTCTAGTACTTATATGCTCCAATGATTAGGCACGGTGTCTAAAATTTTAGAATTCCCGTGTATATGAGAGTCTTTGTACTTCTGTCACACAACGGTGGTCTTTCATCAAACATTACAAAATAAACAGAATGAAACGCGTGCGCTGATTGGTCTAGAGCTGTGTTTGCATTAGCTGTGCAAAACACATCTGAGCTCTACTAATCAAATCAATCGTAATAATCAACGAGTCAATGAGAATTTGCAAATCGACTATAAATAAATTCAAGAGGAAAAATTTAATGCTCGCTTGTTTCGCAGTATTGTTATTTTATAAAAGAAATAAAAGATATTTTTCGTTTTTGCACTGACTTGTGCAAACATAGAAGACGTTTGTGAGAACTCTTGAGCATGTGCAGCACTCGATCTTCGGTCTCGAGTTGCACTGATCTACTCTCGAATACTCCCGAAGGTCTCCTCGGTAACATTAGCCTGAGCAAGCACAGTAAACATCTTTATTTCTTAAATGAAACACGATTCATACTAGGAATCAAAAGGCAGGCACTAAAATGAAATCACTAACCTTCCACCTCCTGTTAATAGTATGATGCCCTTCAGAGCATTGTTATCCGAGGGCGCAACATCAATGGTCAGCGGTGATCAATCATGGGTATCACTCTAGTAGGAACGGATAATGAAAATGAGTAATGTGGATAAAGGACGTGGTGAGGGTGATTGGGGATTACGGTGATGATGGTTTGCGATAAAAATGATGGTGAGGGTTAATGTGTGATAAGATAATGGTGGTGAGGGTGATTGTTATGGAGGGTGATCTCCGCCAAAATTAAAAGCCATATTTTCAATTGCTAATGCGCATTTTGTCCTTTGCAATGTGCATTTTGTCCTTTGCAATGTGCATTTGTCTTGATCATATTGCATTCTGGAATCATAATCGGATTTTGTCCTGTTCAATTTCCGTTAAAACGCATTTTGTTATTAAACATTCCATTATGATGACGTAACATTATTCGTGACTCGCAGAACATCAAATTTTACTCGATCACATTATAATTTATTTATAATTTTTACCGCCAAAAATTGTTAATATCAATAAATTATACTGTTGCAATATTTTATGCAATAACTATCACGATCTTTGTCCTTCGAAGCAACTTTAGTATTCTGTAAAGAAACGATTTTTTGGTATGGGGATGATGGAGCGAAAATCGAGAGGCAGCAGCTTTGCTTCGCCGAGCAGCAAATTTACTGAATCCAGACTCTTCTGGATCAGCAAGTCTTAGTTCTTCATCGACTGCTCATGAGTTGCAAGATGTTGCAAGATCTATCTGATGGAATGAATGAGTTTGGACTGGTTGATTTCCTGAAGAAACACAAAGATGTTGTTCAACCTCAGCTTTTTCCACAATCAACTGCTTCTATTATTCATAAAGACGACTTAAAAAGAATTATTGAAATTGAAGAAGAAGGCGTTCATTGTAATCAACTGATGTTGTTTTTGAAACAATACATTGATCTAATTGATGGGACAACTAGTGGTAAGTGTTTTGGTAGAAAGATGCAGGGAAGGTTGTAATTGGTTGTAGTCAGTCTATGTATGTGTTTCTTTTGTGTGAATATGGTTTGCTTTTTAATATTTGCACCACAACTGATTATATATCATATGTTGGAGCAGCAGTAACTTTATCTGTTTGAACAATATCAATGTCAGTAATATTTTCTTGCTTTTAAATTGGACCTTTGCTTGACTGTTTGAGGTACTAGTTATATTAATACTTTAATACTTATCCATTCCTAGGGCAAATCTTAAAGATCTGTTGTCTTTTTGGACTGGGTGTGATTTACTGCCTGCAAATGGTGCAATCCTGCATTCTCAAAGTTGACAGAACAAAAGATCGTACTCTGCTGCCAGAAAGTGGAACTTGTTTTCATTTGTTAGTTCTTCCATGTTATGAAAACTTCGATGAACTGAAAGCTAAACTGGATAGGGCTTTGCAATTTGGTTCAAGAGGATTTACCAATATTTGATCTTGGAACAGTTTATACATTTCTTTCAGCAATAACATAGCTTGTTACAACTAATATGGATGATGCACTAAATTGAAATATTTTCATTCTTTGTTTTGGATATCATTTTTATAGTTAAAGACTTAAAGTGAATATGTTAATGTTTCATTAAATTTTGTTATGTCAGTGCATCAGCATTTATGTGCTAAAAAACATTTTCTGCTAAAATGTTGAAATAATCAACATAATGCAAAATTTATAGCCTTCGTTGCCATACATATCTTCTTTTTTATTATCTGAATTGACACCAATGAACAATAGGTCAAGTAGCTTTTCTTGTTTTGTGAGTTCACAATGTCACTCGTCTTCCTGGTGCAGTCTGGTATTTATAAACTGAAGCACCTCAATGTATATGTCAGCACCATTATGATTAGAAGGCCTTAAAGGATTAATGGTTCTTTGCAGCTCATCAAGATCTATTTCATTCAATGGAATGTTGGTTTCTGGAACAATCACATGTTGCTGATCTGTTTCATGACATGCGTAGTTTTGTGTAAAGGTGGGTGGAAATTCTTGGTTTACCTTAGTGAATTGGAACATTAAATTAGATTCTGACTTCAACATACATCAATTAGCTTTGGATCCAGTCTGATGATTATAATGTAAAGTGTAGTCTAAAAAATAAAGTCATGAGTTATTGCATAAAATATAAAATACCTGCTGTATATGGTCGTTTGAATTATTGGCTAGGAAGATCCTTGGATCCATAGCTGTTCAGGTGATAGATTTCTTTCTGTTCTTATGGGAGATCTATTGTAACCTTCCTGGAAAATTTCCAAATTTCTGTTAATAATTGGACAAAACACATAATGCAATGAAAACACATGTTCTTCATTTGATGGATCCAATATTCCATTACTTTCCATATGATAGAATAAATGATAAAAAAGACTTGTACAACCAACAAAAAGATCTCGCCAAAAGCGCTCAATCCGTTGGTTGTGCACACTTCTTCCGGTAATATGACTGCGACCAGGTCCTCGTAAATGGTGGTTTAACATAAATTGAGCAATACCAACATTTTCCCCTCCTTTATCAGTTCTTACTCTGGATGGCAGTCCATATTGAGATACACCAGATAGAAATAGTCTTAGAACTGTATCAGCTCGATTGTTTGTGCTACAGCGAATAAATACCAGCAAACGTGAATAGCCATCTATTCCTGCATGAGTCACAAATCTCCATCTAAAAATATGAAACTACTAGCACATTTGTATGCAAAACTGAGATTTATTAACGCCCCGAATAGGTATTTTTTAGTAGCCCACCTAATCAATTTGTGATTGCCATCAACATGCCAAAGTGACAAGGGGCTAGTAACATGATACTTACGTCTGTTCACTGCTGTAAGAGACAAAGCACGAAACAATGTACCTGGATCAACTCTTCGCATCATTTCACGAATCCTATCCTGCTGAATTCGCAAACCTCTTCTAACAGCAATCCTGGAATACGTTTGTAGCCAAGATTGGGAAACTCGTTCGTTAAGTTTCTTATGACCAAAAACGCAAAATCCCGATCTGGACTTCCTTCGAGGTCAGCAATACAACCAAAATAGAGTTGCGAAGGAGTCTTACAAAGTATAACCTGTCTGCCGTTTTAGGGTTGTAGACTTGTAGGTAAAACAATTGGTTTATTTTGTTTTCATTTATATTTCCGCATGAAGAAAATAAATTATAAATAAATTATAATGTGATCGAGTAAAATGATGTTCTGCGAGTCACGAATAATGTTACGTCATCATAATGGAATGTAATAACAAAATGCGTTTTAACGGAAATTGAACAGGACAAAATCCGATTATGAAATTTCAGAATGCAATATGATCAAGACAAAATGCATTACAGGACAAAATGCACATTGCAAAGGACAAAATGCGCATTAGCAATCGAAAATATGGCTTTTAATTTTGGCGGAGATCACCTCCATAGATTGTGGCTATGTGAGTTTTGGATAAGAACAAGACTTTACGTAATATGAATGACAAACCTCTCCCCAGGTTTTGGAGCTCTCATACTGTGAACAATTCACGAGCAGAAGTTTTGTAAAAGTTTCATAGCGAAATAACGACACAGATTGTAGTAGAAGTTTTGTTGGCCATATTTCAAAATCTATAAAATAAAACTTTCTATTTGATCCATACGTACGTTCTCTGATATTACGATATTTACATAAAGTATGAAGAAAATTTTTGAAATGGGACATCAAGAACAAGAATGCTATGGAATTTGACTGGGGGCAGTTTTCAAAATGATGGTTAACCACAACTGACAATTATCCTACCTGAGCTATTGATTTTTTACAAGAGATTTGGCAATGGCATCTAAAAGTAAAATAAAACTCTGTCTTTTATAAACAAATAAAACAACACTTCTTAGCAATGAACGGTTATATATTTTAGAAAACAGTTTTTGGTCAACTGACGAAATTTTTACGGGTGAGGGAGGATTGTGTCAAATCATTTCGATCAATTCACATGGTGTCGTAACTCGTTGTGTTACTCATTCTTTATCAAATATAAAATTATCAATATACGTACGTAAGATAGTGACTTTCTCCTCCTTCGGTCCGCCACTCTTGAAGACAAAACATCACATATGGTTGTTGACAAACACAAATTATAACAGTTCATCCTAAACTTGACTTAACAGACATGTTGTCAGTCACTGATCTGATGCTTGACTCTGTTATGTACGCTGTCACCTGGCAACAAACAAACTCACGGAAGGTGGTAAAGGAATTGTGGAAAGTGTCTGTCATGCTTTGGAAACTTTGTATCGAAGACTCGTCTCCGATATTTCATCAATGCTAAATAATTTGAGAGTGTCAAAAGATCAACACATCGTACGTAGTCTTTGTTAAAATACAAGTTCTCGGAGACAGTAAAGTGTTTTACAAGTATTAAAACAAATTTCACTTTCATGAACAAATTCTCTGTACGTCAGAGAACAAATCAATGAGCTCGTTCAAATGTGTCACATTCACAGACTTAAAGGATTGTTTACCTACGTATGCACCTGCGTAGTGGGCTCAATTAACATTTCCTGCGTTGTCTATAAAAAGAACAAAATTCTATCATAGGAAGAGTAACTGATACCAAAAGAGGTCCATCTACAGGTGTCCCAAAAAACGGACGCACATAAATTAATTATGTATTCGCTAAAATTGCCATGCAAAATAATGTAATTAGCTGTTTTCACGAAGACGACGGAAAGGCCAGCGAGGGCCTTATGTTACTGAGTATTGAAGGTATTGGTTGAGTTACAATGTGAAGATTACTTTGCAATTTTTTTTAGCCTTCAATCATAAAATTCTATGATAAAAGTCTACAAGGTGTACACCTCTGAAAATGTGCCAGGAACCACAAGTTACATAGAACAATGAGATTATTGTCCCAATGAAACTCTTTTTACAAATATGTGATGATATAAATGTTAAGTATACATAATATGCTATCTGTTTGCATTCTATATTTTAGTCACCTATTGGTTAATTATTTTGAAGGTAGTGACACAGGTGCCCCAAGTTTATAGAGACATCAATGGTGTAACGAATTTCTCAAAAACAGCAAGATTTGCAAATGTTATTACATATTAGCTTTTCAGCCAGGTTGTTTGACTAAACACTGTACTCATAGAAATTCTTTAAATTTCATTTGGTACATTCTGAAAAGGTAAAACAAAATTTCAAGACCTGGAATGATATATTGATGCAAAGGAAAAGCTGGAAAAAACCAACAAACTTGGATATGCCAATTATCTTGGACTGTGGTGGTGAGCCACATAATCATTACAAGAAAAGATAATCAATATAACTAATACCTTAACAACTTCAATGCTTGGACTCTTATAAGCATTTGCAGTCTGTGCTTTGGCTTTTTGAATGCATTTTAACTTTCACTCCTGTTCTTTACTGTAGAAATACAAATACATATGCTTAAAATCACAAACATCTTCAGCGGATGATTGGTTACTTTATCCATAACAACACTTAATGTATCAACTTAATTCTTGTGCATTATTTGTAGACAAAACCATGTAAAATTTTAGGTCAAAGCAGACGTAATCTTGATGACATACACCTCAGTTTAGGGTGTACTCCAAAAATTTCTTCGGGGGTACAAAATATGGTTTTGAAAATAATGACAACATGGGAGGTTTGAATTAAATCAACAGCTGATTTCAAATTTTATTATTATTTTTATCCTTAATAATTTCATGAACAGTCAATGATAATACACAATTTTGTTCACAAATTTACCTTTGAGTAGAAAATCTTCTATAATCGTTCAATTTATTTTCTTGCTCATCAATCGACATGGATGTATTTAATACCGTAATAGGGCAAAATGTGCAGTTTAATTCATTTGACTCTGCCTGCCAACCTTCTTTAAGGACTTCTCGCTTTCTTTTCGGTGCCATTCACCTTCACTACAACTCTATATATCTGTATATCTTTAACATAGGCAGAAAATTTTGCTCCGATATTCAAAATTTGAAGTGCAGTAACAAATATTTCAAAAACATTGCTCGCTAAAATTCTCAAATTTTGCGCGGTCATAATCAAGTCGTTTTCATAATGGTTTCCATCCATCAAAACAACATTTATATCACAGTCTAATGGGAGAAAGACTAGGACCTGATAAATATTGAAAGTGAAACAAAAACAAAATTTTCGACATAAACGGCGTTTTTACATTTTAAGAATTATTAATTATTCATTTTCTTTATGTAGCTATTTTAAATCATATTTTAGAAATAGTCTATTTGTTTAAAAAACAAATGAGACTATGACTAATGCAAAGATAATATATTAAGTTCTATCTCTAGTTCATCAGCATTAAAGAGTCGATTGTTTATGTTTGGTTTTTAAAATGTTTGATAGAATTTTTTTTGTACACTTTCTTTAAACTTAATTTTGATTTTGAGTTTGACAAAGTAGTCAAACATTTAGGGGAATGGGTTCTAAATAGTTGTGCGCAACGATTGCAATAAAAAATTCCATCCTTTTCGAGACGTTTCAGTGATTTGACGTACATTTTTATAAGGTAACTGTCTGGTAATTGCATTGAACTAAAATACATGGTACGCTATCTGAAGCAAATAATGAAGCCAATCTTACCCCAGACAAGCGTGTTAGAATTTCGAGATTCTCTCGCGGAGTGAAAATTGACTGACTACAAACGCGTGTCTGGATGTAATCTCGCGTGTCTGGGTGTAAAATTTGGCTTCAAAATATTATTAGGCTTATCTATTACAGATAGCGTTCCATGTATTTTAGTTCAATGGGTAATGGAAGGAGTTCGTATTTTTGCGTGATATACAAATTTGAAAACAAAGTTTTCTTTCTTTATTATCCCCGTACTCTTAGTGCATGTTATGTGTTTTTGTGTTCACGTGCACATCATGTTTAGGTAAAGCTTCTCATTGGCTGAAACGCGTCACATGCTCACTGAATATCATTCTCTGATTATGCTCGCACTTTATAGCAAGAGTGTATGAAGCATATTACATTGATCATGATGTTTGTTATTCATAGCTCAGGCTTTTTTATAACAAAGAAAATGTTTTTAGTAGTTTTCATACTGTTGATGAAGCTGTCAACTGCATCAAGTTTTACTATGTTTGTAGCTACTTTAATTTAAAACAAATTCCGAAGAAACAAGACATCTTGAGATTGCAAAATATG